CTATTTATACTTTATTCACGTCCCAAATTAATTCCTTTTTATGGCCTCTAATATTGCCTGAGAAATTCACATTTGACACGCAAGGCAAGAAGATGTGTTTATTTTTTATCCACCTTTTTGTTCTTGTTACATTATTTTTAAGAAAGCTCTCCAATAAAGACCTGCTTGTGTTAGTCATTGTGTCGAAATCAGCTTTTTCGGCATGTCTCATCGCAGCATCCAAGAGTTGCGTTGTTTTGTAGTTAACGATTATTGACGATGATGAAATCAGGAACGATGTTATTGCCAGAAAAAGCAGAATTATATGCAGGGATTTCCGCTTGTTTCCAGTCCGCCTTATGTTTCTAAATATATCACGATCATCAACAAGGCTTTCTGTTGAACCTTCTGTCTCATACAGGTCATCAAAGTAGAAAGTATTCATTGCAAGAACAGCATGTCAGTGCATGAAACAAACCAAGCAAAAATAGGCATGATAGTTAATAACGCCTTTACCTGAACAACTATAAGCGAATTCTCAGAATATTCTAAGATTTCATCATTCGATTTACGAGGCTTCTACTGATTCGAATCATTTTCCGTGCATTTCGCAGTTCAGAAAATTTGGCGTTGGGCGAAGACCACACCTATTTAGCAGTTTGTCTGTGGAAGCAGGGGCACCATTGTTGGGGTGTCGCTCCTCCCCCCAATAGTTTTAACCAGCCGGATCCGGTCTAAACTACATTTATGAAAAGTTGGTTTCCTCGTGGGTCTGGAACAGGTTGAGAGTATCAAAGGCGAGAAACAAAGTCACACAAAACGAAAAGGAGGTACGACTCACAATGGAATGCAAAATAGGTTTCCACCCAGTATGTGAAGCTTCCCTATTATTCGCCCTAACAGAGAGTGCAAAAACGACTCTATGTGACGTTGTCCTTATTCGAACCAATGAGAAGACCGGAAAGTGAGAATCTTGATGCGCTTGTGATGTTTATGCCAGAAGAACAGCGCTCCCAACCACTCTCTAACCAGACCAGAAAATGTTATTTTTGAATTAACTTTCAATAATCAACTGTGCTAGAAATGATTTGATTTAAAAATACGCCATCTGACACAAATGAAAAAGTTATTTTAAAATATAACGTCTACCACTACCATATTTCCATCAAATATTCCGTCAAACTCGATTAATTCTCCCTGTATATGTAAAACTTTGAAAATGTGGTCATCAAGAACGTGTAATCAGGGCCGTTGGAACAGGGGGCAGGAAGGGCCATAAATCTAATAGTCACGATAGTCAATGGTTCAGTACTGGAAGATCTTTGTGCTTTTTCAGTGGAACGTTTTTCGGAATTGCCATGTCTGTGATATAAAATGCTCTGAAGTTTAGACACTTATTTAAAGCATGGTGGGTTTTACAGTTCTGACTCGATCGGCGCAGTGCGGAGAACCGTTGACTGTACACTATGAGCCATTGCTAGAAGTTTTCAGCTCGATTCTGAAATGAAGGTGAAAGTGAATGGAACAGAAATAAAAAAGACTTCTGAATTTTGATTTTATTTTGGCTTTAACTTAATGAAGACTGCAGTGCCATGCCAAAGCCAAAATCCTGACGAAGGAGTTGTAAGAGGAACAGCGGAACAGCTCTGTATCATAGAGGCTTTTGAGTTTGATCGATGCTGTTGCAGTGAAAGGAGGCGCACTGGTAAAAATGCAGTGCAACCACAAAGTTAGGCCATAATTACGGAGGACAGATGACAACCCTGCCCCTTTTAAATGCTTTCTTTTCAAGAATCTTATAGAAGAAAGTGCTTGGTTCTAGATTCGTAATTCAGGCTGCCTTGAAAAATAAAATCTTTTGGGGAAGGACTGCAGCCAGGAATTAAAAAGCCTAGTAAGCCGATGCTTGCAAGGTGAAAGCTGAAGCGTTATTATTTTAGCTGGAGATTTTTGCAACCTTGATAGCAGACTGCATTACAAACAGGTTCAAACGCTATCTAGGAGTCTGTTGGATTTGCCGCAAAGCATTTGCTACAGTTTGTAAGGCTTTCCTTCTTTTCCTAAATGCTCCTTTACCAATTGCAAAAGACGAACGCACGTTCAGTAGGCTGATATGTGGAAGAGTGATGTTCAAGAACGGAGGATAAACGATTAATTTGAGAATTATTGTTGGCAAGTGCTAAAAGTGTAACTTCTTCCTAGGGAAGCATCTCCTAAAACAGCTGCTTCCTAGCATTTTTTTTGCAGGACCCTATACCTTATTCTAGCGGGAAATGATAACTACACACCGTCCAACCAAAACCTCCTTCAAAATTGCCTGCCTACGCAAGTAACGAATTGTAAGTAGGGAATTTCCCTGCAGATGAGTTAATAATTGGTATCGAAAGTGACTTCGGAAAGTGCTGCGTTAGCAAGATTCCAGTACAAACAATAGCGTTGAGATAATTTTGTTTGTTGTTCACGTTGTTTAGCATAACTTCTTCCTAGGGAAGCATCTCCTAAAACAGCTGCTTCCTAGCATATTTTTTGCAGGACCCTATACCTTATTCTAGCGGGAAATGATAACTACACACCGTCCAACCAAAACCTCCTTCAAAATTGCCTGCCTACGCAAGTAGCGAATTGTAAGTAGGGAATTTCCAAGCAGATGAGTTAATAATTGGTATCGAAAGTGACTTTGGGAAGTGCTGCGTTAGCAAGATTCCAGTACAAACAATAGCGTTGAGATAAATGATAATTTTACGGAGGTGGTAGGGGAAGAGTCTGAGTTGAATAAAAATTTGGCCAGTCTTTGATTTGGAGCTAGTCTATTTGCCCAGTTCATTTTATGATTTATTTAACGTTAGTTGTTACAATAGTGGCAAAAAACACCAATTCAGCAATTTCATCATTAAACAATTTCAAAGATTGCATTAGGCAGTTCACTTACCGCAAAAAGAACACGTGCATTATATTCCATGGAACTAAGTTTCAATCGGGTTTTGAATTCTTTCGAATGTCGGGCTGTTTTGGTTTCACCTGGAAGTGACCCTAGAAGTGACTCAGATTTTCGACCCTAGTGATCCCTTAAGATATTCTTCAATCCCATCACCAAGAGAAGTAGCATGGCCTTCTACTTTTATCGTAAACTCATTGTTACTAACAAATTTTTCTATATGATTACCCTTATTCCCAATTGAAATAGCTTGAAATTTTGATGTATTTGCAGTCTTTATTCAATTTACACCATTCCAGGCATTTACTGATGTTTGCCTTTATAAGTTGTAACAAGTCATCAGCATCAGTTGCAGTGACAGAAAGTGTGTTGTCATCCATTATTAAGGTAGTGAAAAATATCATGCATAAAAATGTTGAAGAGCATAGGGCCAAGCATTGATACCTGTAGTACTCCATGTCCAAGCCTACCCCAGGTGCTATACTCCCCTTTTACTTTGCGTTTCTTTTGTCTGTAAGGTAATCTTTTTAAGCAGGAAACAACATTTTCCTTCTCGGTTACCACTTAATTTTGCCAAAAGATGATTTTAGGTAAGTCAAATCCTTTCGATACATCCGTAAGGATATCACAAACACACTTGTTACTTTTAACTCTTTTTTCCAGTCCACTGTGAGTCTAAACAGAGTATGCTGGAAGAGTATGATTTTTTTCTAGGCCCATTTAAAATTTGAGAATTTCTTTTCAAGAATGGGCGAAAGTTGATGCTGTTAGTAGATTTTTAGGTCTATTTTCCTTGTTAAAGGGATCTTTTTTCTTATAAACAGGTAATACTTTTGCCTTTTTTAAAGATTTAGGAAAGTTTCTTGAAGACAATTCTTGTTTTCTTAACAGAATTCTTGATAGTTGTTATTGTCTGTCTCCCAGATGAGCGGATTTAGGGTAGCATTGCATAAAAATGTTTGGGATGAAAGAAACAAACCTGATTTTGTATATTCTACGTATATGTCTAAACCACAGAATAGGAATTAGGCAGAAGGGGAACTCCTGCCTATCAGGTGATGCCTGAGAAACTAGCGCATGCGTTAACTTATACGAGGCTTAGCATGTATCTGTCGGGGAAATTTTAAAAAAGAATGAAAGTAGACAACTTTATTTGAGACGAAATGTCCCATGATAGTGAACAAATTCAATTATGTATCATAATTCGTTTATATCTGATTGATGAATGATAATTTGTCATGGCTAAGTTCGTCTAATGAAATCGAGGTTAAAGGGGAGTTAAGGAATTCTATCGTTGACTCAGGCCTCAAAAACAACACAGGGACCGACAAGAGTTACCCTTCTGCCTATTTCCTATTCTGTATCTAAACCCAGATAATGTTTCATGCCTGCAAACACCTTTCTGTTGGCAATGTCCCCTAAACTTTCCTAAACATCTAAAACAAGTACTTTGATCTTATCCAAGTGTACTTTCTTTCCCAGCAAGACCGAGGGTGTCATATTTGAAATTATTGATCTAGGGAACGGGCTTAGAAAGTAGGAATTTCATCATGACAACCCATTTTGTCGACAATTAACTAGTAGATGAAAAACATTGACCTTTGACGGTTTCAAGTTCAACCCAAAATTTCGAGATATCTGCTAACTCGATTGGCTCAGAATTGTATATAGCCAAGGGAATCGTTTTTCAGAATTCGTCCAGCCAAGGGAATCATTTTTGTGGAAATTGTTCTCGCAAAGGATATCCTCCTGGTAGAAATTTGTTTAGCCAATTTGTCTATCACTTTGCATATGCTAGCGGCAGAACACTACCCAGTATTTAGCCACGAAACAACCCCCACCCTCCCTCTGACCCAGGGTAACAGGTCGCATAGATGCGCATAACGTTGACATATTTTTGAAGCAGATGTCTCACGTTCATTAAATAACATAAAGAATTGTGGGCCCAACCATAGTCATAAGAGAGGGATAGTCTGGAAACTGACAAAAGCCTATTGTTCTAGCTCTTTGTCTTCCGTTTTCTAGTACCCAGTTTTCGCGTTAGTGCACAGATCTCATTAGTGAAAGTTTCGGCCTAAGCGATGAAATGCCGGGTGCAAACTGTAGAATCTACGGTTGTAGCGTATCAAGACGGAAGAGATATAAAGATATCAGTATCTTCAGTGTACCTAAAATGGATGATGAATTTCATAACAACTGGAGAGCTAAGTTTGTTGCAGCAGTTACAAAAGATCGTGTGGTAGATGCCAGTCTTCGAAAACAAATTGAAAACAAATCTATTGGCGTGTGCGAGTTACATTTCACTCCAGAACAAGTTATTGTTCGTAAGTATTACTTTTTTAATTTGCCTTTTCTGCTTCGTTGTCTTCTTAAAAAGCCATTATTGTGTTAAATTTTGTTTCTTTGAGGCGCATCTTTTTGTTTTGTTCGGCCTAATGTCATTCCTGATTACAATTCGTCTGATTTATTTCCCTGATTATCTCTAGATCGTTCAAGAAAGTCTTTGGTCCCTGGCTCCATACCTACACAAAACATGCCAAAGAAGAGTATACCGTCAATAAGGTATTATTTATTCTTCGACTATTTATTAAGAAAAGCCTATATATTCTTGTCCTGCGTTCTATTTTCCATTTTCTCAACACAGTGGTTTTCACAACTTGTTCTGATTAGTGACCATATTCCACTCACCTGAAAAGGTTATAATATAAAAAGTACATGTTTTAGTCTTTCACATACCAAAAAAATTCAATGCATAGTAATACTAAAAATGTTCTTGGCCTTAGTAACAAATCTTATCCGATTCAAAAGAATATTCTCTGAGAAAAGATAACTTTGGCAATCAAAAATGTTGCAGTTATAGGCCTATATCTTAGAACCAGTAGGATTGCCAAGAAGAAGAAGGCTTTCAGAAAAAGGCTCCTCAATCAAACCCTGTTCTAAGGAAACTCTGTTGTAAAACCATTATTTGTCGAGATTCATGTCTGTGTTTATGATACCCTAGTAATTAAAGTTTTTATTATCGCTACATATTGAAAAAGTTTTTTATTTTTATGTAGCTCAGCATCTACAGAGGGTCGCATGTCATATGCCTCTGTCACTACAAAAAGAGAGATGGCTGCTAACAGCATAACACAAGAACCTCCAACATGCTACAAAACATTTGATGAGCTTGTAAAAAGAAGTCTTGCTTTGAAGCTGAATGCACAGTGGAACATTGATGTGCTACCTGACCAGAGCATGTTGGTATCACAAAGACAGGCTCAGTTTACCATAAGCTCATTTGAGATACATGTAAATGCTGATTTGATCTTTACTATCAGAGTTTTCGGGTGGCTCATTCCACAGGAAAATATACTTTACAGGAAGTATTCAAGAAGCATGGAAAATGTCACTTTGTCAAGCTTGATATCTGAGTTAGAGCACAATTTTATCTGTTCTGGGATAACACAAGCAGACCTACAAACTTCACATGCTTTCATTCATCATATTGTCCCAATGCAATTTGATTACATGTCAAGTAGCAGTACTCCGCTTTGCCAAAAAGTATTTTATAGGTCACCTGGTTGCTTGATAATTGTTATCAAAGATGGGGATACATGCACTGAATGTTGCCAATTGTTAAAGAAGGAAACAAAATTGCTCAAAAGAAAGAGAGAAAACCTTGCTACCCCAGCAAAGTTGAATGCTCCGATTCAATTTACTTCACCCATGAGAGTAAAATTAGCACTTAAGCAGCATCGTGATGAGAACAAACTTCTTAAAAAAGAAATAGCAAGTCTCAAAACAGAAATTGAATCCAAATCTGTTCCAGTTAGTGATCAACTTAACACTGACATACAATCTATAATGAAGCAAGCTAGTCCCCAATCTGTTTCACCTTTTATGAAGCTGTTTTGGCAGGAGCAGTTAAAGTATATTGATACTGCAAAGAAAGGGGTTAGATACCACCCTATGCTGATCAGATATTGTTTAAATCTGGCCTCAAAGTCACCAGCAGCATATGATGACATTCGTTTTAATGAAGAAAAGGGGACAGGATTCTTAATCTTGCCTAGTCGTCGCCGCCTTCGAGACTACAAAAACTTTATTCGCCCACAGCGTGGTTTCAACCATGAAATCATAAAAGAGCTTTGCAATAAAACAAAGAATTTTTCTGAGAAAGAAAAATATGTGGCCATCTCCTTTGACGAAATGAGAATACAGCAGGATTTGGTTTGGGATAAGCACACAGGGGATCTCATAGGATTTGTTGACCTTGGTGACAAAGAGCTAAATGTTGCAACACTGGAAGGAACTGATGCTCTTGCTAACCATGTTTTGGTCCTCATGGTGAGAGGTCTAACCAATCCTTTCAAATTCAGTCTTGCAACTTTTGCAACAACAGGATCCACTTGCTTCCAAATGTTTCCACTTCTGTGGAAAGCGATTAGTATCCTTGAGCTAACTTGTGGCTTAAAGGTAGTTGCTGAAACTTGTGATGGTGCATCATCTAATCGCAAGTTGTTTAAGATGCACAAGCTGCTAGAGCCAAAAGAACCAAAAAAGGCAGATGTTACATACAAAGTAAGAAATTTGTTTAGCAGAGAACCACGCAACATTTACTTTTTCTCTGATGCCCCGCACCTCATGAAAACAGCCAGAAACTGTTTTGCTAATTCTGGTGCAGGTACTGGGACAAGATTCATGTGGAATGATGGTCACTTTATTCTTTGGACTCACCTTACCCAGATGTACAATGAAGACAAAGAATGTGGTCTTCAGCTCCTTCCAAAGCTAAAAGAAGAGCATGTGAGACTAAATTCTTATTCTATTATGAATGTGAGGCTTGCTGCTCAGGTTTTAAGTTCATCAGTCGCTAAAGTGCTATTTGCATATGGTCCTCCGGAAGCTGCTGGAACTGCCAAATTTTGCTCAATGATGGACCAGTTCTTTGACTGCACGAATGTGCGAAATAAAAGAGAACATCCATTGAAACAGAAGGCATTCCTGAAACCTTACACAACAACTGATGATATAAGGTTTGACTGGCTCATCAACTCCTTTCTTGTGTATTTTGTTGAATGGAAAAAGTCCATCCAGGAACGCAAAGGGAGTTTCAATGACAAGGAGAGGGCAAGTATGTTTATCTCCTCTCAAACTTTTGAAGGTTTGAAAATCACATGCCATTCTCTGGTTGAATGCACTCAGTACCTGCTATGCAATGGAGTTGATTATGTCCTTTCGGAGCGTTTTTCGCAAGATGCACTTGAGAATTACTTTGGCCAACAAAGAAGCTTAGGTAGGCGCAAAGACAACCCCACATTGAAAGATTTTGGATATAATGACAATTCAATCCGGAATCAGCTAGCAGTCACACCTATTGCGGGGAATGTTGGAGGTGTCAAATATGGCCAAATAGCAAATTTGAATAAGATTGATGAAACACCAGTTCCTTCACGTCAGACAAAGAGGTTCAAAGAAGCTTAAACTTTTTTAACATATATATGTTTTCTAGTAACTGTGCAGTGACACAAAATTACATCTATTGATACTGAAACTAATTCCTAACCTAGCTATATACTTTCAAACATTGTGTTTCAGTAAATATTTTATGTATATTGTAGTGAAAGTTTGTTATATATTGTAGTCAAACTAATATTTGTTCAGAGGCTTTGATAAAGTGGACTAGACCAGTAAGATCATATGATATTTCCCAATAAAAAAATAAATTAATTTTTCCCTTTGCTTAATGACAAAAACATTTTTCCATATTAAATTTCATATAAAACATCATATTAAAACAACATAGTCAAAATACACTTGAGGCCCTGCAATTTCCCCTTTTCTATTCTCTTAAATTATTTATCCATGGTTTTATTTAAGAATTACCTATTTCAATTGAACACACTTTTTCCAGAACATATTATTCATCAACTATCAAAGTATTAAGTACATAAAGTATTAAAAGTAATTAAAGGAAGTATGCTACACATGTCTCTGGAACTCTTATGCAGTGTTTTTGAATAACACAAATCACCTTGGAGGATCAGTGCTTTGACTGGACTGTTTTAGCTCCTTCCGTAGTGACTTCTTTTTTGTTTTCTTTAGAGATTTCAAGCTCTTTTCTTTTATATCTTTGGCATAAGAAAACATTCGAACACGTAGATATAATGTCAATATGTATTCAAGCAGGTTGAACGCCAGTTCCTTTTTCACTGTAATATCCCCATTTTGGTACAATGTTTTGAAAACACTTTGGATGGTACAATTTTTTATAAGGAAACTGATCATTTCATTTGTGTTCATGTTCTTGATGATACCAGCTGTTTGCTTACGAAAATATATTTCAGTTACTCGAAACATTTGAACAACATCTCGGTTCACTTTCCAGAGCCCACCACGATCTTTTAAAGATACAAATTTGTACCTTGCATTCTCTGCCAATTTTTCTTCACATTTAGCAGACAAAAGAATAGTCATATATGTCTGGTTTAAATCACTTTTTTTCAAAGACTGGCTGTTACGCAGGCGCCTATAAAGTGTTCCAAAGACATATCCACTAAGGTACACTAAGGCATCTTCTTCTCTCTGTGAAAGAACAAACTGGTCAGATGTTGTATTCAGCAATCCATCCTTTACAGTGCAGTTTGTCAAATATGCCAGAATGCTGTTAGCTAATTCCATCCCTAAGAGTAGGGATGATTCAGTGGGAAGACTATCAAAAAAGGGCTCTTGTTCAGAAATTGCTGCATAAAACTTTGGATAAAACTTGTCAGCATCTCCATTATAATCACTGATGATGTTTTCAAGCTTACCATGCACCAATATTGCTTGTGCTACTGTTATTTTGTACCCATTGAATTCCTCTTGAATTGAAATTGGATAACATTCATCTTTTGAAAGTTTGATTGCACAGTTTTCAATAAGTGTTTTTAGACGTAGCGGATGTAGTGAAACAGGGTCGGAAGAAGCTTCATCTGTTGGTTTTTTCTTGCTGTGTTTCATTGTTTCATGGCGCTTTAAGCCTCTCTCTGACTGGCATACTTTTTGGCATACACTGCATTTGAAGTTTGATTTTTCTTTTGAAAATTCTACCTTCAGATAAAAGAAAACAAAATTTAAAACTGATGTCAATAGCACAGGAACTATAAACAAAATGTAATAGGCCGAAAACTTATCATTCCTTTATGATTATTGCTGCTTCGGTTATAAATACAGACATGTGCGTTTGCGAGAAATAGGCCGAAAACTTACCATTCTTTTATGATTATTGCTGTTTCGGTTATAAATACAGATATGTTATTTTGGAGTTTTTGAAAACAAAATAATTGTGTCCAAAAACCCCCTTCATTTACTGGCTTTTTGGCAAATCAAATATCCCACAAGAAAGCGCATAAATGGTTAAGCCGTACTTTCGTCCGCGTCCCATGAAAACAACAAAGTTGGAAAAATGGTCGAAAAATGAAATGTAAAAACAGATAACCTACCTCGGAAAGAAGAGAATCGACATCAGACTGAAAATTTGAGTCATGAGTAAGTTCATCTTCTTCTAACAAACAGAGAATCGCGTCAAGATCGACACCATCAATGTATTCAGTACTACTCGCCATCCTGAGTGTGCACTTTCGTCGCGCTCTGTTGCATAATTCAAGTTATCCTGCTCTCACAATCGTTAGAACAAAAGCCTTTGTTCTAGTTTCCAGACTATCCCCCTCTTATGACTATGGCCCAACACATATCGATGCCTTTCCTCTGTCTTACAAACGTCTTAATTTACCCTGTACCTTTGTAATACGGCACAAATAAAACCCCTCTAAATACCAATCTAAATCTAAGCTAATGGTCAAGATTTCTTAGCTTTAACAGTCGCATCAGCAACCCAAGCTAAGATAGACGAGTTAAAAATGGGCACCTTTTTCATCTGCACAAATTTCTTTTTTACATGGAACGAGAACCTAAAATAAATTACTAAAATAGGCTTCCTTCTCTAAAATGCACAGCATTTTCATCTGTTAAAATCTAGAGTTTAACAGAAAACTTAACTTCGTACGCACAGCTTAATGACAAAGATCAATCCTAACTACTTAAGAATTTAATGCAGGATGTTGATTTAAAAGATTCCATTCAATTAATGTTTATTTTGTCTCCCTTTCATGTACACTGTTATATATGGGACGGTAAATGAGGTTCCTCTTTTCAACTGTTAAACTTGCTCTGTTTGATAAATCCCAGCTTCAATAGATCCTCCCTTAAACTTGTTCTGTTTGACAAATCCTAGTTTCAACCGATTCTCCTTTAAACTTGTTCTGTTTGCAAAAGCACGACCGGTGGCGGCCTGGATTCGCCTTCTTCCAAAACCTCGTCGTCGTGCACAAGTCCAGCCTCGCTTGCATTTCTTTTCCTATTTCGCTTATGGTTGTTAGAAGAGATCAGTTCGTTGTAAATCGCTTGCGCGTGCATGTGAACGGTCTTCAAAGTCTCTAGGTTCGATACGTCATCCAAGAGTCCCCCGCAAACCTCCAAGAGGCCTTTAGTTTGCTTTTTAAAGTCACTAGAGTCGAGCGAGTCAATTAACTGTATCTGCTCACTAATAAGTTCAGTTTGTGCCTCGTTATGGAATCCAACATCCTCTATAATTGCGTATTCACTCTGGCTCTGGCTTGTGACACCCTGTTCAGAATCGTACAAAGATTCGGGTATAATCATGTTGTTCATTTCGTTGTTGATATCATTACTTGAAATACGGGGGTCATGCACTGGCAGATGTGCAGCTAATTTTGGTACTGTGACCTCAAGTGCTTTCCAGCCTTCTTCAGTCACTATCACCCGTGTGTGTATGACTGCTGGGCAGCCAATTAGCTTGGAACCGCGCGCTTTTCTCCGTTTGGATCCCTCCCGTATGGCTTTTTTGCGAGGTTTCCCGCCAAGCGCACAGTTATGTAGTTGTGACTCTAGAGCCCTGTACACCACAATTTTCCCATTATGATTAGCCAGTCCATGATCAGATTTCTTGTTAACACGCTTCCCTGTTCGAATCCTGTAGCTCGTCCCGGTTTGTGAGCAAAATTTTGCCAACCATTGTTCCCAAGATTCCTTCGAGTACGGATACAAATAGCCGCGGGCGTAATCCGTTGGTTTTCGATACGGCAAAGTTTCTCCAGTAAACGAATTGTCCATGTTCAACAGCTGATCTTCTGGATCGTTCTTTACAATACGTGGCTGCGCAAATATACAGTCCGCATGATGAACAGTAAGGCTATGCAAGTCACTGAAACAAGGTGGAAGGAGATTCTTCACGCACATGTCTTTCAGATCTGCAGCTCTTGACAAAGGTGATGCTGTATTGATTACAATATTTGGTGGGTACGCATTTGGTCCCTTGTGCTGTTTCTTTCTTCGACAGACGACCGTGCTGAATCCTTTGGTTTCACACTCAGCGCAAGCTGCAGCGCGGACGTCAGTATGATTTTTTTCCGCGCGGCAGTAAGTAGTTGTACGGCAAAATCTGAAACATACGATGCATCTACCCAATACTTCAAAATGTTGTCCCCCCGTGCGACCGATTTGAGCTGGAGGCATAGCCGTAATGTGTTGAAGTTGTTCCATTGGGGTAACAGTGGTGTAAAGCTAAACAAAAAACAGTCTAACGTCAAAACCAATTTATTTTGTTAAAAAGTAATGGAGCTTAGGTGCAAGAGGCAGATCTATGCAACATAAAAGTTTCCCAAAATCTGTTTGCATAGATCTGCCTCTCAAAATCTATTTGCATAGATGAAAATTTTCAGCCGGTAAAAGTGAAGAGGAACTTAAAAAAATCGAAACTGCCTGGCTTCAAACATCCTCTTACAACGACCTATGAGCTTCATTTTTAGCTTTCTAAATCTTTCAGATGTTTAGTCCAACGTATAAATGTAAATCTGAAAAAAGCCTCTTCACTTTTGCTCAAGCTTTGAATAAAAAACCTTTAAGGTCAATAATTGAATTACGGGCGAAAGAATATAAAAATTAAAGTATTTTTTTTTAATAAAAATCTTCACTGGCACCGAGTCGTTAACATTGTTTAGAGCTACCCTGCACAACCTTACATATAAAAATGCAACTAAAAATAATTCTTTAATTCGTCGTTCATTCGTCGTTCATTCGTCGTTCACTCCTCGTTAATTCGTCGTTCATTCGTCGTTCATTCCTCGCTTATTCCGTTCATTCCCCGTTCATACGTCACCCATTCGAGGAAAAGGCAAATCAACAACATTGCATTGCATCCCGGCAGCAAACCAGAGATTTTAAATTAAGCTATGAAAGTTTCACTGGATATTTCTCAGAGCATTCTCGCATGCTAGTTTCATTTGCAAATAATAATATTGAACATTTCTTTTAACAATCTTCCCATTTAAAGTCAATAATCGGTCGTGATTATACATTGTCGCGGTAATATGAACAAAAGTCTCCTGACTTTCCTGCAAATTTCCAAACTTTTGAAATCGAGAACATGTCAAAGAAATGGACGGCCTAGCTCACAGCTCAGTTTCCTAAAACAAATTATACCTTTTCAAAAGTTTCTTTTCTTTCCTACTATCAAGCTGCCTTCAATGGAGGAAAATTCTTTTCTCATTCAAATCAACCTGAATGGCAAAAGTAAACAGTCTAGCGAAGCAATCATTATCCTTGTAAGAAACTTCTGTTTTCACAAGAAAAATTTTTGTTGCGCATAGAGAAGCAAACCTTGTGAAAAACTTTGATTACATTTATACGATCTCTCTTAATAGACTAGTATTTTGTGCGAATGACATTAACCTGTGGTGCTCCTGTAGATGCTGCTATTACCAACGGTGATGAGATTGGGACCGCCAACATACGCGGTGCTAATGGCCTTAGGCTTGTTGATGAATTTTCTTGCTTCAGCTGTTTCACTTTACCTCTGTTGCTCCCCTTTGTTCGTAGTCTCTTTGTCTGATTTACTTCTGGAGCTTCTAGAGCACTTGACAGAATGGGCACAGTTGCTCCTGCACCAAGTGATGACTGTATGTTACCACTAGAGACTTGGGATACCACAACCTAACATAAGGTGCCCAAAAATGAATACAGCGTCATAAATTTAAAAAATTCAATATGTTGATTAATTATACCTTTTTCACATTCACCGAAAAAAACAAAAAATTTGTGTGAGACAAATATGTACAAAAATCACAAATCAAAACAAATGAACGTGGAAAAACTAGTAAAACGTGGCACTACAAATAGACATTATTGAAGCAAACCTGATTTCCAATTTGTGATGTAGGTACTTGGAGTAAGACAACCTGGCCATTACTCTGCTGGGTGATTGCTTGAATAGTATTTATATTTTGCATCTGGGGACCAGTGATGATGTAATGTGTTCCCTGTGGCGTTGAATCAAATGTCATATCGCTTCCATTTAACATACCATGGCCGGATAAGGTTTGAATTTGGTTTATTGACTGTGAACTGAGGTAAGTAGCTTGCTGTTGTGTTGCTTCCGATGTTGCAGACAAAGTTGTCATTGTATCGAACATCTCCTTTTCCTCAACAGGTAACTGGTTTGAAGATGCAGCATCAAGAAGTTGATGCCCCCTTTCCTCTTCATTCTGTCCTACAACTTTCTCTCCGTCTATGACATCATTGGCAGAACTGTGCATGGAGGTTCCAGCGATGCCTGGCATGAGTGATTCAGGCTGGCTATCCTGGAAACCACTTACATCTCTTTGCGAATGCTCTAAGGGCTGAAAACAACTTCAATAAAAAGCAGGCATTAGAAATTTATCTTTCAAATATATTAGGGACTAGACTAGCAGGGAGTTTTAAAACAATCAATAACTACTGTTAGTAGAATGAAATTTCTGCATCATCCACTGTTGTTACAGCTATTTGACGTTCTGGTCTTTCAACAAATATATGTTTAGCTGTTTGCCCTTACTTGGCACCCATCAAAGTGACAAATACTGATAACTTTGTCTTTGTACTGGATCTATACCTAAGTTGTTTTTGCTGAATAGTTAAGCAAATAAAAATTGGTTCATGATGAATTGAGAACTTCAGATTTTAGGTTCTTTTTCTACACAGCACAGTGGTCCTGCTAAAAATTCTTACTCTCATAGACTTCAATCATTTGTGGTAATTGGGGTGCATTAAATTTAGATTAAAGAAAACTTGTTGCATTTCAGCGCTGTTTTGAAATTCTGTCCATCATCTACTTCATATGCAGGAAAAGATTGCCCAGAGGAAATGCAACTGAGTGTGATTATGGATATATTGAATATTTCTGGGTGTAGAATTACACATGCTAATGGAATTTCAACAGCTTCTTTAAAAAAAGCATCTTGAAAAGGTATAAAAGAAGCAGAAGAGAAAGAGCAAACGAGAACTAATGTTTCAATTTAATGCTCAAATCATTAAGTATTGAATGATTTAAGTGTTTAAAAGAAAATACCTCATTATTTGAAATGATTATCACATTCTCTTGACTTGGTTGACTTTCAATATGCATTTGTTCCTTTCCTTGCAGCACATCTTCTTGCTTGATACTACAATCAGCTATGCATACCTTTTGATCATCAGCCTCAGAAATTGTGTTACTGGAAGAGGTGTTTGTTGACAGAAGACATGCATCATGTTGAATTTCAGTAACAACCACTCTTTGAAAACCAGATTCTTTCATGGTTGCAGCTATAGGAAGAATCTTTCCTTCAGAGTCCTGATCTTTTTCCATATAGCAACAAACATCTGGAAAATGAAAGTGTACACTTTTGAGTGCAAGACAATCACTAAGAACAGTGGCAGTTATTCAAAAAATTGACTCTCTGGGGAGATCCTGTTTGCATATTTTTGATATCAGTATAATGGAGTTTCTCTGGATTGGTCGAAAATTGGAAATCAAGATCAATTTGTTTTGTTATCAATCACTGCCACATACAAATTAACAAACAGTCAAAAAATTCCAATTTATATCAACAAATTAGGGAACTTTTAAAACCAAGTAGAGCCTATTCTTATTTTCTTATTTTTTCTTTTCTAATCATCTCAATTTCTAATCCAAGTAAATTTAATGGCTAACGCAATAGGCTTTTTCATACGGGACTGCTACGTTATAAGCTCCCCTGTGCTCAAGCATTTTCAAACACAAAGCAAAAGAATAAGAATTAAGGCGTTTGCAATATTTTCAATAACCTCTAACTGTAAAAGTCTTATGTAAAAGTCTAACTGTAAATGTATGTTATAGTTACTCTGAAGTAGCTTACAATTAAAGGTTGCTTTTTATTGAGGTATTTACATAAAAAAGACATATTTTCATCCAAGTAAATAGTAATTAAATATATAAAAATGTGAGAACAGCTAGAAACTGAAATAGATGGAGAATTGCATGGTTTTGACTCTAATTCTTCAAGCACAGAGACCATAGTATCCCAGGAGATTATAGAACCCATTACAGGAAGAACCAAGACAAACTTAAACACTGAGAAAATCGCAATTAAGCTGAACTGCCTTGAAGACAAAAGAACAATGTATCAGCCACATAAAGGTTTCTTAACAAAATTCATAGATGAAAAAATTATTCCCCATGGACAGAAAGTACAGGTTGAGCCAACACTTGGAAATCACAACGAAGAATTCTTGAACCATTGGAGTGAAGGAAAAATCATTACAAAAGGAATAAGCAATCCAAAAACATGTCAATGGCCCCCATACCTTATGGGGGCATAGAACAAACTGTCAACACACTACATCAAGCTACACAAGCAATAACAAAACTCAAAAACTCATTGGTTCAAACATTACGACAATAAACAACCCACAAAAAAACGAGTAAACCTATCAAGACCAACATTTTCAAAAGATGAATTCAAGCTACTCAACAAAAACCTGAACTTCTGCCCTAGACCAAACAATTACAACTCAAATAACATGAATACAGATCTGAACAAATTCTTTAAAAAAATCTAATTTAAAGCTCATTCTACCAAACAAGATAGGAACAAAGAAGAAGATAAAGAAGAAAAGCAACTGGACTTCAAAAAATGCACATGACACAGACACATTTATATTAGCTGTTAGTAATGCTATTAATAATTCAAGTACTAAACCATTACCCAGAGACAACCTTATCAAAAAGAACGTAAGCACTAACAGATTTTTAGAAAAATGGACAGAAACATTAAAATCACAAGAGCAGAAAAGGTAAGAGATTGATTTGTGATAAAAAAACCCAAGACACCAAGATTATATTTATTCCCAAAAAATTAAAACAAATTAAACCCAGGAAGACCAGCAATCGGTTCTGTTAATTGTCAATCTAGCTAAATTTCCGCATATGACAAACTCTACAAGAGCCTATAAACAAACATAACCTACAAACAGATCCTGAAATAATTATCAAATTCTTAACCCTTATCCTCACAAGAAATAACTTTTTAATCAATAAAAAAAATTTTCTACAAATCAAAGGATGTTCAATTGGCACACTATGTGCACCATCCTACACCATATTTATGGGTAGATTTGAAAAATTCTTTATATACTGACAAATCAGTTACTTACCCACTCTCAACCAAAAACATCACACAAATTCGATTACAAAATCTCTCCAAAATCAATTAATTTCTTGACACAACAGTATGCATTGAAAGTAATAAACTTTTTACAAATCACGCTGTTCACCTTGGCTTCAACCAAATAATCAATCATTCTTTACCAAACTTCAAAATATAAATACCCCTTTGCGCTTGCCTCCACACTCCTCTAATAACCTGAGACAAGCTGTGAATTACTCTCCTAAACAGAAGATGAAGGAAAAAACTGATATTTCTATCATTTGCCTATTTCGTATTCACAGAACCCTGAAAAACGTTTGAGGGGTAATTGGTTTATTTTTGTAACAGCAATTTCGCCCCCATTGCATTTTTTGCAATTAACTTTTTGTCTGACCAGCAGTTTTTGATATGATAGTCAGGAACTTCAATATATTTGGAAAAGGATAGTGAAGTGAAGGATACATTTGCAGAGCTAAGAACTTTTCAATCTTATGAAAACAGGCATATTCTTGGTAGAAAAGTCAAAGAAATTGATGAGAATTGTCAATTGAGGGATAGAATACAACAGCAGGTCCCCTCCAGCATTAGAAACAAAACTCTCCCTCAAAGAGAACAGCATAATCAGTCTTGGAGATAAAAAACAAGAACTAAAACATGCAATTCCACTATTGAGCGGAATTTTCTGGAAAACCCAGATGGCGTGAGAACCAGGGGTTGAAAAAAGATTTTTTTCCATTCAGCAAAATATCAAATTTAAGATTTCCTGCAAAGCTTCGATAAAGTTTCCAGGCACTGAAAGTGATATTTTAGGTTAAAATTTTTTTGTGGTACAAAACATGTGCTCACGTTTCTGATTGGCCTATCTCGATCCATAACAGGAATACTATATAATTACTACCGTAGAGTTTTTCGGCCTATGTTCTGACGTTTTAAACTCTGCAGTGTGTCAGACAAAAAGCTTCAGTTTATTCAAAAAAAAATTTCAAAGCCATATTTTGAATTGCTTTTTCATTTGCATTTTCAATTAATTTGATCATAGCTTTTTGCACAGCAATCATTTTTTGTATCAGATGAACCAGGAGAATGTGATTGAGCACAATACTCATAGTTTGTTTTCGGTTAAAGTTAGTAGATCTGAAAATAATAACTTTGATTTAATTTCTAACTAGATACTATTGAAGTATTAATGTGTTACAACACAGGGTTCCCTTACAGAAAATGTCCAGTGACAACTGCAACCTTGTGCTGTGATTGGTCAGCATCTATAAATGTTTTTTTGTATGACGTAATTATTATTTCAAGTTCTGCTAAGAGTATATAAAGGGTTGTTTCTAAAGTTAGGTTAAGTCTTGTCGAAACTTTTGATGTACAGCTAGAAGCTCTGTCACCAGTTTTGTCATGCCTGTTGAAGCCATGCCATTATTTGCCAAACTTGTTGTTTTCAGACGTTAGTTGAATCATTGCGGTAAAAAGAAAATTTTGATTTTATCCGCCGTTGCCGTATTTTTTAGCATTTCTGCCTATAAAAAACTCATGTCTGGTCAAATCCCATTTTAATTAAATTAGTAGCTGAAAATCATACCCGAATTGTCGGAAATTTGAAGATTGTAGATGCTGATAATACCAGAAGATTGTGTTTTGAAAGCTAATCTTCATTGTTCTGTTAGTAGTGCAGAACAAAAATTATACAGTATCTATGTATATCACAAGAAAACAGCGTTCCGTAGAAAGAGAGTAACACAAATTTAATGTTAATTTTAAAATCAAGCAATGGAGATTTCACGCTAAAAATTTCCTGGCAAACAGCAACAGTCTCCTGCAGCACTGCTGCCAGACATTTTCCAGCCCTGGTGAGAACTTTAATGGCGACATGTTTCAGATTTTTGATAGAGCCCGATTTTTGTTCTGTCAAGCAGTTTTGGAATCCATCTACATAAACATGACAAAACTTTTATTGTGTAGACAGAAATAGTTTGTTTTCACCTTAGGACTCCATTGGTAACAAGTCTCAACAGGCATGTGGCACTGATTGGGCAACTTCAACAGTCATGTGCCTGCGGTTCCTGATTGGCCTATTTTGTTCCACAACTGGGCATATACATTTTCTAGTATAGAGTTCTCCATCTATGTTCTGACGTTCCATACTGCGAAGAGTGTCAGACGAAATCTGATTCGATTGTCTCATTTCCAGGGTATGGATTTCAAATATGGATCACTATATTAATAGTAATGTAATACAAAATTTTGAAGCACTGAGTTAGCCATGATCATGACCTACAAATGTTGGCATTCACCTTGTATCTTTTTACTAGTGTCTATGTGCCTTACTTTTGTTTGACATGGGCACTGATGCAGGTTGGAAAGTAGGAGGCCAAGGGAAAACTTAACAATCATAACAAAAGATTTTGAAAAAAGCTCTATAGTTTTGCAAAAAAGTTCATGAGAGGCACCGCTTGATATATAAAGAAAAATATTATATATATGTGGTTCTGAGGAAAACAAAGAAAATATAAACAAAAGAAACAACTGCTTTGGTTAAGTTCTCCAGGGGTGAATTTGAAAAGTCATCAATCATTTCATTAGGCCGTTTGGCTTGGAGGAATGATTGTTGCTTTCAAAGCTGGAAACCCCCCCAGTAACTGTCAAACTACAGTCGGCCTATATTGTCTAATAAAAAGGAATACAATGGGCAACTCCCCCCCCCCCCCCCCAATATGAATTTCTTTCCGCTGACACTGGAGCAACGGACAGTGCATCGACATTGGCTTAAAATATGTCAATACCTCTGATACCAAAGCTTTTTCAGACAAGCATTTGGCAATTTTTGACCGAGTCCGACAATTTTGCTGTGTTTTCGAAATTTTTGAATATATCAAACTGCACATTTAACGAAAGGATCGCTTCTCTCCTCGAAAAACAGTCATCCATCTTTGTTTCCACACGCTTGGTTTGCAATTTACAACAACTTAAAGTACGAAGGTGCAGGGACTAATTAGCTAACGACAGCTACAAAAAAGCTACCAAAAAGAAACATTGATGATGATGTCACTATGCTTAAAGGGTCCTGAGATTGGATGAGGCAACTGATGAAAAGAATGAGATGCCTCTTAAACAAAGTTCTACAGTAAAATAAAACATACCGGGTAACAGTAATATTTTCTCTGGTTTAAGCTGTTATCGTAAATCGAGATGACGAATGGCGGCCTAGATACACAACCAAAACATCTGTCAGTCTGTCAGTGGTTGCCACATTATGCATGCGCACGCAGATATTTAAGGCCGATTTCCACTAGGCGAACCGATTTCCACGCGAATCGAATAAATTTTCGTAGCGATAGAGTAGGACCGTGATCTAAGAACATGACACCACGCATGCTCACATTGGCAAAAATTCGATTCGTGCGAAAGAATTCGCCTAGTGGAAATCAGCCTTTAAGCACTCCGCGAAGCACCTTAGCGAAGCATCCTCCTTTCAAGAGGAAAAGGCGTGTGTGACTGTAAGATTTTGAAGTCGTACTAGTTAGAATCCAATTTCCCGAACTGTCCTATTGCGAAGGAAAACTGGGATATTTTCTTGTTCTGGGGCAACGGCGACCATACACCCAATTGGGAGTTGCTTGTGACGTCAGCAGGGGGGGAGGTGTTTCATTCAATTTAGTATTCAATTAGATTAATTTTATCTCTATGATAAATCATTCAATTTTGGTTCCATAACCTTCAGGTGACTGGAAAATGTTGGAAAGGCCCATTTTTAAAATTCGGTATTCAACTTCTAAGATAAAGAGAATATGTAGATAAATTAAGTAAAGTAACTTTTGCATCATTTTGTTACTACTGATTATCAAAAGATTTTTTACCTATTCGAAGCAAAATTTACTGAAGGAAACAAAAATAAGGTGTTGCACCCCTACAGCCCCCGGTAAATCCATCTCTGGACGTCGGTCGTGTTCTCCGGGGACAATTCTGGTCTTGTTTTAAAAACATTTTCTTTGTATCAAGTCTTCAAAGTCAGCGATTCAATTTCTTTTTACTTACGTCAAAACATTTTCCACGCAGAATAACAACTATTAATCTGTAAGTTATCGTACTTGATCTGGTCCTTAACATATTTGTCATTTGTTACTAACATTTAAGCACTTTAGTTGCCTTGCTACTATTTGAGCAGCAGTTGAGATTTAAATGTAACGGTATTTTTTAAAACTCAAGCCCAAATCGACATTAAAACTTGTTTTATGATTCCGAGGTGTTAATTTTCATCAATTTGACTAGAGCTTTACGTATCCAACAAGGAAACTAGTGTACAAAGGAGTTTTCTATTTTGTTCTTCACTCATTGGTAGGATCGACTTCCCTAGGTTTGAGCTGGCACGATTCACTGCTGGGTGGCGCCAGGACGTGTGTGACTGTGCTGGGGTTAAACTAATGCTGGGGTTAAAAATACTGCCACGAAATAATTGATTGATGTTTGCTGCCTTTAAAAGACGAAAGAAAGAAAACAATTTTTCGAAAAAGATTAGATCATATTATGCAGGCACTTGTTACGAAACTATTAAATACTTAATTACAAAGCTTTTTAGTAAATTTGATGATCTATCTCGATTTGATATCTACAACATGATACTTTACTCTTCTTGTAAAACCTGATATGTGACATAAAAACGTTTTAACAAAATGTCAACGAAAATTCTAGTATTTTACTCAACTAAATAGTTCTCGCTTCCATTCTCTAACGGGTAATGCGTAAAACTTTTAGTATTGCCTCGCAGATACACCAATCCCCCTTGGACATATTTGCCAAGGCGCTCCTTCGGTAGATCAGTACAGAGGGAGTCCCAGCTTACTTTCTCGCGAGAATGGCCGACAGAAAGTTTCTTAGAGTTATCAATCCTATACAGTTCAGCGAATCTCGTGACTACAGCTAAATAGAGAAATACCTACGAAACAAATTAAAACAAATAACTTAAATCTTTTTAGTGTGAACAAAGCATCATTTTAAAAAGTTAAATATTACCTTTAACTTACGACCTCAACATATAGATAAAAACATACATCAAATACACTTAATACCAAAACGCAGAGACATGAAGTCCTTGGCAACAGCATCTTTAATCTTAACTTATACATAAACTGGCTGTTGTGTTTTGCAATCTAGATATCATGGGAAAGCTTATCATTTGATGTAGAATAAACGAATGCAAAATAAAGCGGGATATGTCTGTAGGAGCCTCATAGCGCTATCTCCAATCGAAAATGGTTGCAGCGCTCTAAAGATAAGGTCGTTATAGAGACAAACAGCCTTTTAAACGGGATGTTTTCAAGGGAGCTTAAAGAATAGGTGAATAGGTGGATCCTATGGTCAGACACTTAACCTATAAAAACGAAAGCAACGGTAAAACAATAAAAATCTTACTAATCAACTCGTTCACTATTATACTCGACCATATTCGTACCAAACGGCTGACTTTTTCTTCTCTGTTTCATCCTTACCTCTTACTTTGTCGTTTTTCGATGGCGTCTCTTCTTTGACCCTGTTTGGTGCGGGGCTGTCTCTTTTTGGTGTCAGAACCACCTCCTGGCTTCTGATGACCCTCTGCCTACGTGTTGCTTCCTCGTAACTCGGTGCCTGACCTCCTACCGGACTACTCGCAACAGCAGCCTCTTCCTGAAACAGATGTTCTGAATTCTTTCTCGGGGTTCTTTGATCGGCTTCAGGTAGGTCGTCGGGTCGACTAGGGTCCGTCGGCTGATAAAAGATACTAGATCGTGTCACCAGAGGCGAGTTACGCAAGCCATTGGCGTCTACTCTTCGTTCATCGGCTTCTGCAATAGGCGTACTATGAGTCCCATGTACTTCTTTTGCCAACTCAGTTTGAAATGAAATTTTTCTTGGCTGCACTTGTGATGCTTCCGAATACTAGAAAATTTGGACAAATGGACAGTATCATCAAACTGATAGACGATTCGTGGGACTTCTAGCTGCTCAAACATCGAAATGACTTAAAATTACCCTTTTCTGGAGCAATGTTAAAAATCGCGGGAGAAAGAGCTATTCCTGTAATGCTGATGAACCAAAATAACAACCAAAGATGAAAACAGATGAAAGTAGGATGTCATCTTTAGTGGCAGATATAGCAGCTTTAGATAAAGACAAGGATAAATCAAAATATAAAACCTATGGCGATACTAGATTTAAAAGTCTTTTGTCTGATTTGGTTGGAATGAGAAAAAAAGCTTCGCATCTTTAACCGAATAGCAACTTACCAAGACAATATCTGTATCGTCGACCTCTTTTTCGGTGTTACTTCTCACATTCGAGTTAGGGCTACCGCCAGCCACAACTTTGCGCATTACTCGCACTCTTTGCACTGGACTGTTGCGTACTCGGTCACCTCGATTGCCTATCACTCCAAATGCAACCTCGTTTTGGCCACTTGTTGTGGAGGGATTGCTTCCTGTGAGAAGAATAAATGGCTTGCTATAAGAACCACAGGTAAATGAAGGGCAACAATTACGTATATTGGCCAAAGGAAGGCTACCAATAGGACAGAATTGAGGCATGCAACAGGGAAAAGAACCGTTAACGAAGGGATAGAAACGGACAACTGTAGAAGACACAAAATAAAAGTGCTTTTTGAAGACAACTAGTTAAACCGTATTACATACAGGGACTTGGATGAGCCAAATATTTTTAACGAGAAACAGAGTTTTGATAATTAGAAATATTCAAGGGTATTACAAGCCGGGGTGCGCTAGAAGTTGCCTTGATAAAAACTGAAACGCTACATGTTATGTGTTGAGGCTCTGTAGTTATGGAAAAACTGAAATATTGAGGGACCCTTTAATGTGAGGCCGCCATGGGTCTCTCAGTATTACACGACACAATTGTACGTTTGCTTTCCACGTGCACAGAAAAGAGACAATACCTGTCGATCTATTGCTGTTAACACTGCTTTTTCGAGTACTGATGGAAATGCTTGGATTCTCGCCATCATGGGTCCCAACAGAAGAGGTTCTTGAAACGTCCGATCTTGAAAGGCCATCCGATCTTGGAGGGCCATCTGATCTCTGTAGGCCATCCAATCTTTGTAGGTTTGAGATCGCTTCCATGCTTTGTGGCCTGTGCAGATTTCTGTGTACGGAGACGTGGTACTCGGCAAAAGGTGCAATGTACTCTGATCTTGGTCGCATATGGCGTTCGCCATTATCGCTGCCTAAAAGATTTAGAAAATATCGGCTACATAGCAATTTCAATATCTACAGAGGATTACAGAAGTTTCGAATTTATAAGAAAACATTTGTCAATTATAACAATGTTCAAGTGTAATCACTGCCATCTGTATCTTGACAATACCTGAGGATGGACTGTCGACAGCAAAACTTTTCGGTCTTCTCAAAATGACACCATCTCTAGAAAATGGCTCATCCCTTCCAAGGAGATCTTCTTTACTGCGTGATAAAGCTGATCGTATCGGTCCGAATGAGGAGTTGTAAGTCACAGACGAGGAATGCAAACTGCTTTCATCAAGGACTTGACTCCTTGACTCTAACTCGTGAGAAGGACTGCTAAAACTCGAGTCTGAGTGATCCGAGAAGAAATCAACGCCGTCTGGAGATCGATGTAGCTTCTTCAGAACGACATCATCCTTCCTTTGCTAAGGGGCAAGAAAAAACACGATGTCAAGAAATTAACTTACATATTTAAAAAATAGGTACCTTTCAGAAATGTAAATATGTGAGAGACATACGAAAAGTGAATTGGGGATCTTTTCAGACTTGGGTAGGCGGGGATGGATGAGGGTAGACGGGGACAACGATTTCTTGCAGGAAATATGCCCCTCAGATTTTACCTTTCTTAGAACTTCTAAAAGTACGAGTTCTATACACATCCGTCCTTATCCATGATAAATTGCACAAAGACATATAAATATTTGACAAATACAAAGATCTACATACCCCTTTCCTGAGACCTGCTTTTTTCAAAACTTTGTGTGCTCCACGAACAAAGAGATTCCTCCTGTTGAAGGGGATGCGGTTTGAATTACATAGAAATCATAAATATCGCACTAGACAAATTATTAATCGCCATAGTCCACCTGATAATTATCGCCATATTTCATCAGATAATAATCGTCATATTCACCATATAATAATCGCCACATTCACCAGATAATAATCTCAATATTTCATCGGATAATAATCGTCATATTCACCGGCTAATAATCGCCATATTTCATCAGATAATAATCGTCATATTCACCATATAATAATCGCCACATTCACCCGATAATAATTTCAATATTTCATCGGATAATAATCGTCTTATTCACTGGATAATAATCGCCATATTTCATCAGATAATAATCGTCATATTCATGCACAATGTTAAAAATTGTCATAAACTAAACTTACTTTTTTGATGAATTTGCCATGTCATATAGAGTTCGATTTGCATTTTCCAACTTATCAACTAGTTTCTCTCTGTCCCTCTCCAACATGTACAGTCGATCGCTAAAAAATTTATTTTCGGTTAACTGAGATACGATATTTTTCATTATCTTAAACAGGAAAAGGTCAAGCATTGCTAGCAGTACGAAATTAGTCACACAAAAAATAGCTTGAAAGTATAAACAATTTAACTTTGTACTCTACAAGTTCATTCGAAACTCACACAAAAATGAAAAGGTGACCAACAATGATAATCACTTACGAAAAGGCTCTCTCGTCCTCCAAATACGTGTCTCTACTTTCAAGTGTCTTTTCAAGCAGTGACTGGTTCTGAAAAGAACCAAAATATTCATTTACAAAGCAGTTATTTTATTCAATAAATCGATTGCGTCAGTTGATTCATCAAATCAATTGTTTCTTTACACCTACTTGAAGATTAGAAATTGCAATTTCTAGACATATATTCGCACTAGATGAAGAGAGTGAAAAATTCCGGCCTTTTTATCCTATAAAAAGAAAGGCCTTTTCTATCAGTAAGGGTATTTTACAAAGAGGGAATTAATTTGGCGTATTTCCAATTATAATTGGGTGAATTCTGTATGTTCAGCTATCTGTAATAATATGATATGAAAAGACTTGTACCTGCGCCAATAGCTTATTGACCTGGTCCATCAAAGCGCGGTTCTCCTCTTCGAGTGTACTATTCAGTTGCACAAGAACCTGCAAAAAGTGTCCAAGAAAACGTAAGTTTTATCCTAATGACGTCATTACTGAAGGAAGGTTGCATTTAGAAACTGGCCTAAAGTATGTCTATGTAAGATATGTCTACACAAATGAATGTTAGCTTTAAAAACATGAAATTGTTTTACAAAGAGTGAAAGTAGAAAGTAATCCACAAAAATAGTCCACTAATTCAACAAAATGATCCTTTTAAGAAGGCGAAAATATTACAAATAAGCGTTTTTATTAGACGCAACTTGCCAATGCCTAATAAACCAACCATATCAAAATTCATCTTACTTCACAACGATGTGCAATCTTAGATGCAGACATATCTAAGTCTTTATAGTGCTCCTTCGCATCTTCCATATCCTTCTGCAGAACCTCGTAATCAGAGTTGAGCAAATCAAGCTCGCTTCTCAGTGTCTCGTTTTGGGTTTGTAAAGCAGCGTTCTTGGCAGATATCTCCTCGCTCTGTCGCATCATGTGCCTTTTCTGAAATCAAAGACTAGATTCTCAAAAAAAATTGAATAATTCTTCCTTCTGAGTCAATTATGCACGATTTGCTTCAAAGCAACCATGCCAACAAATAGTAATAAAGGAAAATGGTAATTCAAAGGACAAAATGTCTCCACGCAATGCATCTCATAAACTCAATCCAAACTTTTATTGGCTCTTGAGCAAAATAAGAATAAACATGGGAGATTAATTTGAACCCTGTTGCCGCCCATTGCCATTACCTCTTTTTGAAGTAAATCAATTTGTTCTTCTAAAGCATGAACCTCTGGCTCCGACACAAGTCCTTGTTTTGAGGAATGTGTCTCGCTGCAAATAAAGATTGGCATCCAATGATTATAATTTTCAGCTAAAAGATAGAATTATTTATTGAGTATTGACAGGAATGGAAGCAAGGGGAAAGTTAGCGTTTGAAGGAGCAATGAGGACACCCTTATGGAAGATAGATTGAGTGAAACAGGGAGAAGCCGATACAACTGGAATCGTAATCACAATTAAAACTGAGATAAGGGAAAAAGCTGGAACAAAAGAAAGCACTCAAAAGACAAAAATATAGGATTCTAAAATAAAGTGACGAAGAATGAAAGACACAGAAGTGGCAAATAAAGTGACGAAGCACAGCAGGGCCTTCTGTGGTAAAATGACAAGCAACGTATGTTTACAAAAAGAAAAGGCGAAAGAAGCTTGAAGCAAACATAAATGAATCAAAATAATTTAACAAAAAACAAAAGAAGCTTGTAAGCGGCGTGTGGTGTGCGTTTAAAAAGTTGGAGCTGTTAAGCAGACGCAATAAAGCGGGTAGTTTTAAAAATTAAACTTCTTGTCAGAAATGAAGCCTTGTCAAATTAACTCTTCTCCATCAATGCGACATATGTTGATAAAGAAGGATGGTTTAAGGTTTATCGTGTTGTGTTTTGACGACAAGCAATGCCAAATTGTACAGTTACGGTGAACGGTAAACAGTTAGGCGTCTGTCCATTACAGTGTTGACCATGTTAAGAAAATAAATAACTCTCCAAGGCATCAATTGTTATTGTAACTTTAAGATGTTAATGAATTAGATTCAGAAATTATTTGCAAAGAATGCAGTTTCTTTATATCTTAGAAAGCAATCTCATTAGGTTAGTGCGGAAATTTAGGCCATATAGCAATTGATCTAAACAGAGCAATTAAGTTTTAAACCGTATGTATAAATTTAATCAAATATTGTACAGATAAATTAAAGGTTGGATCACAGCAGAAGAAAGCGTCATTAGCTTGAAGGTTAGGTTAGCATTGTTAGTGTGTATGATGTTTGTGTATTTTTCAAATAAAATTTTAAGAAGCAAAAGATTTCCAAACAGACTTGAGCAGTTATTTGATAGTCAGCTTTGTAACAGGAAAGGTTATGGCACGGCTTTGTTTGGTGACTACCAGTTTGCTGTAAAGATTGCACCTAGAACTCCTCAAATAGTTCTAGTTTGTCTGGAAATCCTATGCAATTTGATTCATTAGATTAAAACTGATATAATTTATAGGTATTAACGATTAAACATACAATTGATATATTTGATGGGCTGTGGGAGCACGTTTGATGTAAAGTTCTGTCCTGCAATGCAAACAAAACAAAAAGATATCTCAGGATGGTTGAACTCAACTGCATTACAAGAGATATCACCAACGCAAAAAAACTCATCCAAACATTAATCGCTGAAATGCTTACCAAAATTATTTCTAATGGTTACTATTTTAAAATACTGTCTAAATATAAAGCCACAAACAAACGTTTTTGCTTTTTATTCACATTAAATTCCATGTTCCACAACTGCTTTTCAAAAGTTCAATATTCCATAACTGCTTTTTCAAAAGTTCCAATTCAACAAATGCTTTTTACTTCACCACTAAACATGTGACAAAGCTTAAAGACTCATAATCAGTTTCTGTATTCTGTTTTAAAGATAAGACAATTCTGATACGACAATATAGCGCAATCACTTTGTGAATTATTTCCAGACAAAACAACAGCTAAGAGACTCATTGGCTTCCCCGTCTGTAGCTTAAGAATAAAGGGAGCCCCCTTATTTCAAACGACAAACCGCGGTTGGCCGGGGGTTTACCTTGCTCTTTTTGTTAGCTGAACTTTTTCAGTGACATTGACAACTCCAGAATCTCCTTTATGTTTGATTTCTTCCAATTCTGCAGCCAGTGCTGAGAGTTCCTATGGTCACGAAAACTTCGTTAAAAGACGAAGAAAAGGCCGCAGAAAACACAAAGAAGAATAAGGTAGAAAGAATGGTAGTAAAATAACTGATCTACTGTGGACAGTTTACAATGAAATATTCAAGTTTATTGAACTCAGGGAGGTTACTTCTTGCAAAATGCGGTACAGCTAAATGTCATGGAAGGAAAGCACTTCCTACCTCTGTTAAGAGCTGTTCTTTCTTTCTGTATTCTGCAAGGCTGCAAAAAGTTATCATATGATGTGAAATAAATATAATCTACCAATGAAAATTGTCAATGATAATCTACCAATCTACCAATCTACCAATGTAACATGTCTGGCGAAAAGAATGAAAGCAAGAATTAGAACACAAATCGTCTCCATGAAACAAACAAACAAGATTGACGACCGAGAAAAGGAGGGCGATTTGAAGCTTGTGCAAGATAAGGCAAAATCTACCTTCTCTCGAGACTTGCAATTTTCTCTTTCTTGAGTCCAAGATCACTTGCCAAGTTATGGTTCTTACTAACTGCCTCCTCGAGCTGAGATTTAAGTGACGTAATTCGCCCAACTTTTTGCTTTATCGATCCTTTAGCTCTATTCAAGTCAGAATTTGAGCCCTCGATTCTAGAAAATTAGGAAAACACAGTGATAGCTGCACTTCTACTAAAAAGACATGAAGAATAAAGGTCATTTTTAGAGGGGACTAAACAGATTACTTTGAAAAAGGCATTGTCGTACTCGGCTGGACGAAACATCGACCATACCTGAAGCATTATCTGCTCCTTTGGCGGTGAAACAGGGGATTGGTCAACACTTTACACGTGACTACATATACTGAATCTAATTGGTGAAATATTCTTTACCTCCGACAAGGAGAGTTAAATAGCATTAACAAGTGGTTGGTCCTGTCAGACGAATATTGAATTGTCAGAACATAAAATACTTCCGCAGATACAAAAGTTAATTTACGACATCAATTAAGCAGGTTCTGTCACATTAAGCAAGTTCTGTCACATAAATTTAAAACTCTATAGGCAGCCCTTAATGCAAAAATAAATTCGAGACGCACCTTGTTTCCATGTGCGCAATGTCTTTCTCGTAATGCTCGAGAGTTTCTCGTAAATACGACAATTGGCTGTTCTTTTCATTCAGGATATGATTCAACTTGTCGTGGTCGGTTCTCGAAAGCTGAAGCTCTTCAACTCTGAAACGTAGCAAAGCATTAAGTTGTACTGCCCTGTACAAGAGTAGGGTTTCATTTTGCAGAGACTTGCAAGCATAAAGCAAACAATAGGCCCTAAGCAGAGCATGCGCAATACATTTACATGCCTACCTCCTTTGCAAATCGGAAATCACGCCATCTTTTTCTTGTAACATCAACTTCATTTTGTGCTTCTCAGCAGATACGTCGTTCATTCTAAGAGGGAATCAAATTAATTATGATAATATATCAATATTTATACAGGTCTACTTGGTCAGCTAAGGACAGCTGCTATATATCAAGGACCTGTGTTGAAGGAAAAGAATTAAAAACTGTTCATTACAAAATTAGATTTCTTAAAAGTTAAAATCAAAGCCATTACATTTGTTCTTGAATCTCCTAATGGAGACCTCATTTTTCAGATCAGGTGGCAGTCTGTTATAAATTTTTACACCTTGGTAACTAAAAGCTTTTCTGGCAGTTTCTGTTCTCATACGAGGCACCACGAGATTTGATTTGTTTCCTTTAGTGTCCTTATTGGTGGTGCAGTCTTTTAAAGTGTTTCTCTAATATTTTAGGTGTAAGACCGTTTAAACACTTGAAAACGTCAATGGCACATTGCTTATTTTTTACATGATTACAATTCATACATCTTTTCAAACTGCAATTTTTTCATCATTCAAAAGCAGTCTAAGATGAGAATTGTTAGCATGTGTTAGCTTGAAAAAGGTCTGCACGCCAAAGTATATGTATTCAACAATGATTTTAGACAGAATCATTTCATGTATCATTTGCGAGTCATGTCGAATACATCAAAACGAAAATCTGCGCATAAATCAAATTTTATGGCGATATTTGCAAAACACCTATTGGCTCGAAAAGAAGTGAAATAACATAGAAGCAAAAAGCCCGTACATATGTTCTATGTTTTATGAATGAAAACACTCGCATCAAAACACTTCGCAACCTTACAAACGGGCTCTACCTTTTCTGGTAGTCATCGAATCTGCTTTCTGTGTCCTTGCTTGATTGCAGTAAAAGGGATTCTTGCTTCGCTGCAGATGATTCAAGTGTTCGGATCCTACAATACAAAATAAATGAAAACACCTCAAGCAGTTGAAAATGGCTGAAAACCAGTTACACATCAAGACAATGAATAAACATCTCTTTTTCGCTCGAGGATAAAATTTTTGAAAACTGGAGTTCTGAAGAGTGAAATTCTGAAGTAATGTTATTCAAATCTGTGTTATCAAAAACAAAATTGAACTAAAAATTTGAGATTTACGTGGATTTAAGTACGGTATTATGTGTCATATATCCTGCAACCATCGATTCTTAAAGCCTACAAGTATAGTGGACACATAAACAGTCAAATTGAAGCTTACAAACTTTTCAAATCAAATCAAATGCCAAAGCTGATCATGTTTTTTGCAGGCACGCGAAAAGGAAACCAATGGCAAGGACAACCCAGAGGAAAAATAACGGATGTAAATCTGTGGACTTACTGATTCTGCAAATTGCTGATTACGATTTCTTTTTCCATGACAGCAGCCGAGGATTTGCCGTTGTTTTCATCGTTCATACTCAGCTGTGATATCCTGATGGGGAGAACGATCGATTAAGAAACAAGAAAGGTTCTTCCAATGGTGATTGCAACGCATGCATAGGAAATGTGACGACATTTACGTTTAAAAGTAGAAATAAACGTAGAACAAGTGGTTTAAGGAAACAGTAGATAAAGAAGTGAAGAAAAGAACAGACGTCAAACTGAGATACTTTCGAACATTCTCACGTCGAAAAGAACAGACGTTAAACTGAGATATTTTCGAACATTCTTCCTGAAATGAGTATTTACACAAACACATCAAAGCAATGGCTATTAGCTTCTTAAAGTCTCCCCTGACTGTAGCAATCGAAGGTAAAATTGTTTGGGCAATCGACTGTTTGCTTTACACTATTCCATCCCGTTATTAATTATAATCCTAAATCCTACCTTTTTGTTTATATATAGAGACGGTTCTAGTCCCTCTATCTCCCTCTAATTATACACGGGAGAGTACATTTTTAAATACATACATTTGCTCCAGGTCGCTGACATCCTTTTCCCTCGCCGTAATCGCGTTCTCTAACTCTTCAATCCTGTTGAATATAAGAATGGTTTAGCTAACAAAGAAAACAAAAGAATCCAATTTCCGTATCCTTTTCTATCATTATAAGCATCAGAGGAAGATGATTCTTATCTAAAAACTAACCAATAATTGCTGCAAGTGACAAACTCACTAGTGCTTTCTGAGGTGGGAAAGAAATAGGAACTTGATAGTACGAAAAACAGAGAGAGTGATTTACTTTGTTTTCTGCCTGGTCAGCAATCGTTCTTTGGCGACGAAACTATCATTTAACTCCTCATTTCTATAAAAAAATATATAAAGCAATTATTGGCAAAAACTCGAATCAGGGATGAATTAAGAAAAATTAATCGGCAATCCATGAGTCAACGCAAAAATGATTCTGTTTCACTAAAGATTGTGTTAGGATCCCATGACACGTTCTGATTGATAATGGTTGGAGAATCAAATAAATCTAGAAGCTGCAAGTGCATTGCTTTTTTAAAAAACATACTTGTCTTCTTCAGTTTGTAATAGATTCTCCAAATCTCTGAGTTTTTCTTCTTTTGACTTGATGTGGTGATCAAGCTTGGTATTCAGATTAAGCGTATCTTCGAGTCTAGAAGAGCAATCAATGGTTCATTGAACAGTCATTGAAAAGGCAATCATTAAACATTTTCATGGTGGAAGAATGAATGTGATAGCGTGCACGGTCTATAAAAACACGGATCACTCCATCATTCAACAAATCAAAAAACATGAAGCGAATCGTGCAATCACTCTGCCGATCGACCACTAACTCTGCATCCTTTTCTTGAAAAAGAACAGTTACAACGAAAGTGTCAATATCACCTTCACAGCTCAATCTAGAGGCCAATGCCATACAAAGCCATAATGTAAACAAAACACATAAACAAACCTTTGCTGAAGACCAGCCAGTTGCGTCTCAAGTTCTCTGTTCCCTTCTTTCACTCGAGCCACAGCTGTTTCCGCATCTTCTGATCTGAAAATTTAGAACAATTTTTGAGAGAACCCTTTTAGAGAAAGTAATATCTTAAAATATATAATGAACAGTGTTTCATCGTGTATCTAATTGAAATAGGTTGAAAACAAATAAAATCGGACAAAGGACGCTTTTCTTATGATATTTTGTAGACTTTTTTTAATTCCAGCTGTTTGAAATGGCCTCCTGATCTATACTGGCGTTGATGCCCCTAGCAGGTCTACAAGATCTTGCTGATGAGCTTTGATATAACTCAGCCAGTGTTCATATGAAATAATTATGACACATCAAAAGGAGGTACATTTGCTTCAACTTATATATGATTATAGATATGCAGTCTCTGTAATCTTGATAACAACACTCTTATGGCAGCTTTGCAATGTGAAAGAGCTCACCTCTTGGAGAGCTCCTTCATTTTTTCCGCTGATTGTTCCACTAACGAAGCCAAATTTCGGTTTTCCTTGTACGTCTGTTGCAATTCAGATACCCTGACAAGAAAAGAAAAAATTGAATCTTTATCTTGTCTTGAACAGCCGAGTTGTACACTTCAACTGTTGACTATGCGACAAAAAATAAACGAAATGCTAGCAGGGTCTGTCTGTTGCTAGAAGAAAAGCAGTCTGGAAAGTTTTAAGAATATTGCATTTCAGTTGCACCTAAATATGTGTCTCTCTCCTTATTTCCCCAGATATCAACATCAAATTGCAGGCAATCAAGGATAATGCAGCAAAGAATAAGTGACGGTGGAGAGAGCTAGTTCGAGATAAAGTTCAGATAGAAAAAAGGTGTTATCCTACGATGGTCTCAAGGAGCCTCAAAATGATGTTGTTTTAGGCCTTTTTTCCTTTGCTTAAGATATCTGCCTTAGATAAAGAGTAGAAACAGTTCACTGGAAGCTCTCATTCTCTGAATGAAATCTTTGGAAAGCAGCAAAAACGTAGCTATGTGCCTGCCATCCTGGATCGATTCTCTCGCTATTTGTTAAAAGCTGATCACTAGCTGGCGCATTCTAGAAGCGTTTGGAACCCTTTGAGATGCTTATAAAGTACGTTCCGTGCCAACATGCCGATCAAAATCAGAAAAAGAGGACTAACCTTGACTCTAAGTCTCTTATTTTTTCATCCTTCTCTTCGTTGCTGAGATCAAGTTTTCTGAACTGTGACATGGTGCCCTCAAGCCTATAAAGCAATTGTACCTATAAAGCATATCGACTGCCAGTTGTCGTTAAACAGGCAAGAAAACTGTGATAAGTAGCATGGAAACAACGGGGAGAGAAGATATTACAAAACAACATTGTAAGGTTAGTCTTGTCGTGTGTTAATCCAATGTATACAGTATAAATAAAGCTTAACGCGACTGAATACAATTTCCAAAGAATGGCTGTTAGTATTTATCAAAATATCAAGTAGTTCACCTCGACTGAAGATCGTGAATCTTGGACTCTTTATGCTTTGTATCGGATGAAACATCCTCAAGCCTACAAAGAGTTAGAAGCTATGAACATAATGATCAAATTTAAATCAATAAGAAAAGTGTAAATCGCGTGATTAAACGCTAGAAATGCTGAAGCTGAAATGAACCTTGATTCGAGTGTCATTATCTTTTCTTCTCGTCTTCTAATACTCTGCTGTCGCTTCACTTTGACATCCATCAATTCATCCACCCTGCAAAACAATTTACGTTAATTGTCTGGCAAATTTCGACCTTGTATCAAATTCAGCAGATGTTGTTTCAATTATATTTCCAAGAATACAAGAATCATTTACATCGAAACGATTTTAAGATTGTATCACGAATTCACAAGACGATCAACGATTACATGCTGAAAGATTGAAGAAATAGTAAGGGTTGAGAGAAAAATTTGCAAATTGGCAAAGGTAGAAAAATGATCACAAATAGTTGAATACATCTCTAAGAATTATTGGTGCATAGTATAGCTCAATATTATTTTAAAATCTAAAGTATGAAGGGCTACTTACTGTCTCCTCAAATCTTGTATTTCATCATTTGCGTTTTTTTCAAGTGAAGCTCTTAATTGCTCAGCTCTGTGGAGCGAATCTTCGCTATCATGTACTCTGGCAAATAAAGAACAAAACTTTAAGAAACTGTTGCAGAAACTGTTAAAAAACAAAAGCAGAACACTTTTCACAAAAACATTTAAAAGCTACCGAGATAAAGGCAAACTTTGTGAACTTTGATTCTTGTACGAAAAACTCCTTAAGCGTGCAAAGATGCCGTAACGTTATAAGTAATGCTTTTACAATGAGGGATGCTCGAACAGCGTCATGACAGATCGCAACATATGGCTTACTAACATATGGCGTTTTGAGCTTACACATGACTGAAAATTAGGCCCTTCTTAATTACTTACTTTGCTTGAAGAACAGCTATCCTTTCATCTTTTTGGTGCACCTGTTGATTTAGCCTCTCATTGATGTTCACAACATCTTCCAGGTCGACGATTCTAGAATTCAATATGAATATTACAAACCCAGAATTTTATGAATTCAAAATGCAAGCCTAAAAGAAATTCGTTTCTACTTTTTAAGAGCCAAGAAACTCTAGGCAGCGTCAGTTCATAGTGATTGGCGACTCGAAGTCTAGAGAATCAAATGATATCGAAAATGACACTAAAGCCAAAAGAAATGATCACCGTTCTTGCAAATTGACGATTTTGTCCTCCTTTTGTTTAAGGTTTTCCTTCATTCTGTCACTGATTCTCTGAAGCTCATCCATACCGTCAACCCTGAAAATTTTGAAATATATTTGAGTTCTAACACAAAACTTCAAGAAGTGATCACATGGGCTCCCTTACAAAGACACAACATAACATACTCTATGGCCAGCGATTGCCTTTGTTCTGATTATGATCTATCGTTTGGTTAATGTGATAATTTATTAACATTCAGTTATGTTATGACACGAAAACGAGTTAGAGTAATAAGCCCAGTCACATCTGGTGTGAATAAAGAACTTTGTGCACCAAGACGAGGTGAAAAGTTCTCTAGAATTAGAAAATGAACTCTCTCCCCTTTTGCTCCTCAATGATAGTGATCCCCTTCATGCAATATGCGATTATCGTTTGGTTAATATTCAAGGGCAAATAACTGATATCTTTTCAAAAAATTTCAGAGATAGCTACACCTTATCAAGCTACCTTGAACACAATACACCAGGCTGCAAGAGAAAAACTATGGCAAACAATGTATTTTTTCCGTGTGTCGAGTTTAATCACGTGAAACAAGGGTAAGATAAATATAAGGTTGACATACTTGTCCATTAATAGCAAAATCTTCTCTTCTTTCTGCTCAACAATATTCTTTAATTTGCTGTTTTGACTCTGGAGATCGTTACAATCACTCAATCTACGGCCGAAGAAAATTAACCATGGATTATCTCAATGCGAAAAATGACACTGTTCATCATTTTCACGTGATGCATTCAAATTAGGTAACATCACAATTGAATCAACAATGACTACATCAACGTCTTGGTCAAATACTATAAATATTTTTCGATTTAAATTCAAGAGCCGCGCTAAAATGTCAAAAATTGAGAAAACTATCTAAAAATACTGTTTTCAGAAAGAGATTGATTAAATAGCTATGTCTGTAATATAATTGAAGCAAACTCAATTAATCTCTGTTTGTTTTTTTCCTGATATAAAATATCATCGGAAAAAGAATTTTTAATCGAACTCACCTCTGCTCACTCTGCTTCATTTGTTCTTCTTTGGTCTTCAAAGAGTTGTTTATCCTTTTGATTTGTGCTTCCCTCTCATCAAGTCTGTAATTTTCAAATAATTCACTTAAAATTGTGAACAAACTAGCTACCAACACGATGTTACAACAATTTAGGTGAAATATGCCTTACGGTAGGGTTTAGTCAATTTATCTCTATGGCACCTTTTCACAATGGAATTTCAGTCGCTATACAAATTGTTGGCGTTTGAAATTTCTGACATAATTCATTCAAAGGAAAAGTCTTCCATGTCCTCTAAGATTTGATATGGTCCAAAGATTAACCAATCTGTTTATGTTGTTTTTGTCCACAAAACGTCATATGTAAATTATTCAATTTATGGTAAAAAATCTTAATGTAAAAAAATTAAGCAGTTTACTTCGAAGCCAGAATATTTAATATTATCCTACTTTAGGGTTAAGTGTATTGTTCAGGTGAGCAACTGAAGATGAAAAACAGTCATTGAAAGAACTCTTTGTGCTTATTCTTTGTACGTTAAAATGATTTTGTTGGTTTAGGCGTAAAGGAATGTTCTCAGCTTACAGGCTTTCTAGTTGAACAACGCGGCTTTCCTGCTCGTCAATGATTGATTGCTGTGATAAGATTTTTGTTTCTTTAGCTTTCATAATCCGACTCATCTTCCCTTGGTCAGCTTTAGAATCCTCGAGTTCAAGGAGACTGTGAAAAGAGTAACCGGTGAAATTAAAAAAAAGGCAATAGCGAGACAAGTTAGATTCAGATAAGTCAACTGAGGGCAATGTGTTTCGGTCAGGTGCGAGAGAATTCAGTGGCAAGGGAGATGGAGATGTTGTCGTCTTGTTGATCATATTGTGGTTCACTTTCAAACTAGTTATTTCAAAAGATCTACTTGTAAAGATTGCTGGAAAGTATAAGCAAGGGCAAAGTCATTTTCCAAATCAAAATACATAGCAAAAAATTAGTACATTAAAATGTGTACCTCTTCTCCAAAGTGACATATCTCTCTTCCTTTTGTTTTGAAGTCATTTCAAGCCGCTTTACTTCTGCATTTATATCGTCGATTCTTGGAGGAAAATAAGGGCATTAAAAAGATATCTTTGGCAAAAATAGCATCAAGGTTAATAAAAAGCGACTTCTGATATAAAGAACGAAATGCAAAGTAGAAATAAAGAAAGGTGCAAAAATTTGTGCAATTTTGACGAACATAAACTTACTGAGCTTGTAAATCATAAATCTTGTTATTTTTCTCTTCTAGTGCTGCAGAAAGTTTCTCGGCACTTTGCGACGAATCTTCGTACTTTTGAAGCCTAAAAGAAAAGTTGAATGCTAGAGAGCAGTTGCTTGCATTCAATGATGAAAAAGTAACAGAAATTCATTCATCAGTTAATTAGCGAAATTAACTGGTTTTAGCCTGAAACAAAGTGAACAAAATTAAGAATTCAGAGGTGTTATATAGACATACTCCTTTTCTAGCTTTCGGATTTTCTCGTCCTTTATCTCGACACTCCTTTCCTGCTTTTTCATCGCAGTTGTTACATCTTCCAGACTAAAACACAGAAAAGTAAAGGTACAAATCATTTTGTGGTTTTTCTTACAAATAACAAGTCGCGCCAAGGCTCGCGGAGACGCATGTCTCATCGAAAGAATGCTTCCTCTCAGGCTAGTGGAGCAAAACACAACGTGACCCAAACATAGGGAAAAGATGATAACTACATTACCAACATTACTTTAATGGTGCCGTGACCGTCAATTATTCAAAACAAGGCTTCGCAAAAAACTTATTTCTTCCCAATATAAAAAACTTTTGCTTTGCTTTTAAGATAGGCTTCAAATGAGCCGAATCTAAATTGTTTCTAATGTTTAGAAAAACATATAGATTTAGCTACTATAAGAAGTTTATATGATGTCATCAAACGCAAAGCTCAATTCTAATTACCAGGACCCTGAAGAAGCAGTCCACTGGTCATGCTAGGTGAAACCCGTTTCAAATTTCAACGGCATAAATACATTAAAAAATTTTTCACTTTGAGCGGGCTGACAAAAGATGCAGCCATTGTGACATTCTTCATCATGTTCCCTGAGAAAGAGCAAACATGCCTCTGAAATTACAGAGCTAGAGACAGGGAAACCTGTGACTGTCAGAACACCGCCTGTATAATACTAAGTATATTTCTTAACTTTCTAAAATATGTCTACCCAGATTCAAAGATTCGGTTTATTTGATTCAATCAGTGCTAATGTGAAACATAATAGACAAAATATTCAGAAAGAGCTGGAAACGTCAAAAAGCGGACTTACTTATTCTCTAAATGGATTATTTCATCCGCCTTCTTCTGCAATCTTTTCATTAAAACTTCTATCTTCTCTCCATTAGAGTGACTTGATCTTTCTTCTAGTTTCGCTATCCTAAAAAAAGCATTCACAAAGAACTAATGTATTGCGATCATAGAACATAGTTAAGAAGCAAAACACTATTTCATAAGGTTTTAATTGGAATTCTACCATAGGTGTTTATTTCGTTGGTTCAACGCTGTGCATTCGGAGATTGGTTCTGTAGGGACGGTTCCCAACATTCTACGCTATCAGAACGCATTAAAAAACAAATCAGGTCCTGAAAATTACAGTAAGCAATTTTCCGGCATAACAGCAAGAAGCTCAAATGATTATGCTTAACCTTCTATTACTTAGCATTCAATGCAAAATTTCTAACAGCCATCAATATATTCGCAAAAATAACTAGCACAGAAGCGATGTTTTAAAGCAGGTAATTATATATCTGAACTCATGAAAACATCTGGGTGAGTCTATCAGTGCAAGATGTATTTAACCGTATATTGCAAGATGGACGCGAATAATATGAGTTCGTATGACACAAAATTCGTACTCTTCCTCTAATGACTGGATTCTGTCGTCCTTCGCCCGATTGCTGCTTTTTAACTTGTTGTTCAATGAGGCCATTTCATCAACTCTAAAACAGAACAGCAGTGTCATAAACTGAGAGGCAAAACAAATACCAAAAAAAGCCTGTGTGGTTTTATGTCCAATCCTAAGCAACGTTCGAAGCATACAAATTAACGTTCGAAGCATACAACGAAAGTGGAGTAAAGCTACCATTGTCCTCGATTTTTGATGTTTGTTGATCTAAAAAGAAAAACAACAAGGCAAGAAGATTACCTTGTTTCCAGGTCTGCAACTTCTTCATTTCTTGATTCAAGCGCCTTTTTTAAAGAAACAACTTTGTCTTCCATGAGTTTTGCAGACGCCTTTGCAGATTCGTTTAAACTGTAAAATTATCATGCTGTTACTTAAAAAGGAGCTTTAAATAGCAAATCAGCTAATTGGAAAAATATACAAAACCACAAAAGCAATACATTTTGGATTGTTTTTCTATTTATCGGTCAAATAAGCAAGAAAATACAGGCATCCTAAATTAAAGAAGGATATTTAATTATCTCAGAAAACAATACGAACGAAAACGTTCAAAGACTTTAAGATCAAGGAACGATACTTTAAAGTATTAAAAAGCTATACCTTGCTTCAAGGGCATTTATTCGTTCGTTCTTCAGCTTCAGAGTATGGTCTAACTTTTTGCAAGTGCCAGCTGATTTTTCGCATCTAAAACATGAATAATTTCAATATCAAGAATAGCACAAACTCATTAAAACAGACCTGACCCAATTTTACATCAAATGAGCACTGTCAATCATTTTGAGTATCCGATAACAACATAAAATCGGAGTTTAAAAAATTATAGACTTACTGTAATTCAAGCTCGTGAATCTGGGCTTCAAGAATTTTATTTGACGATATCAGAGAACTTATTTTCTCATCTCTTTGTTTCATCACAGCTTTAAGCTTTTCGTTATCATGAGACGCCTCTTGTAGATTCTCAACCCTGAAAAAAAGTTCGATAAAAATATTGCGAAAATTTCTTTGGCAAAGCGAAATGAAAGCTATTGGGCCTCAACACTGTAAACCAGTCCCTGAGTTCCAGATAACTGTTAGAGATTCATAAATAGATTCATAGTTAGAAATACATAGATATTCATAATGAAAAAGTATAGCCTAGTTGCGAAACGATAATATAGGTCAATCTTTGACAAAATAACAGAAAACCTTAATTTTTCTTAAAAGATCTTAAATATTTTTGCAATTTACAATATTCAATACAGGTTACTGTAACACAATCTGCCTTTAAAAAGAATTGCGGATAATGATTTTATTTATTGGTCTGGAGAACATATCAGGATCAACTCTTGCAGTGGTAGTTACCAAAAAACAAAACACAATGTTGGCTGTCCAGTAAAGGGGGCGATGGCGGTGCTTGATTACCTAACTTTACCGTGATATTTCGTACACTAGCAATCAAGCGTTAACTAAGGAAAGACAACTGAAGACAACAAAACAGTTATGAAGCCGAAGACTACCCCAAACCAGTACCAGGGAGAAATGCCGTGCCTCAGCATCTCTACACTTAAGCTTAATTAATACCCAGAAACAAATTTAGCGGAAAAGTCAACATATTGGCAGATAGGCAAGAACAGTTGCTAATAGTACATACTGGATATGAAGTTCCCTGATTTGGCGCAACTTCTCGTCTATAGTCTGGTTGACCTTTCGTGTGTCTTGGCTTGCTGAGTCCATAAGATGAGAAACCCTGTGATCATTAAAAATACAATTAAGTAAAGAGCACCGACGGCAACATAGAGCTGATAAATTATATACATAACACGATTAGCGAAAGTTATAACAGTTTTAAAATCCTCTGTTTTTACGCTTTAAGCTGGCGGTAATTTGAAATGAATTTCAGGAGACTCTAGATACATTAACGTAGACCAATACCTTTCTTCAAGAGCAGCTATTTTGTCTTCATTAAGTCGCTTGATTTGACTTAATGATTTATTCTCTGTACTTGCACTTTCACACCTGAAAGAAACGTAGAAAATCATTTTCTACTATTCATAAAATTGTAAAAAAGCATGAAGGTTCGAACATCAGTCAGGAAAGGCATTCTAGTTATGAAGTTTGTCTTTGCTACAAACCTTCTTTCCAAATTCGCAATAACTTTTTCTCTTTCAGCTAGCTGCTGTTCTACCTTGGCACAGTACGTCTCGTTATCTTTAGCCCTATCAGAAATATAAAAAAAAGTTAGATGGACTATTAAATAAATAAATCCCTGAGAAAATTACAAAACGTGATTCTCCTCAAAATTGTGAAAAGCTTTTGTTATTTGCTTTAGCAGCTGCACTAGACGCCAAGCTACATCTTACTAATCTCAGAGAAACGATGGATATGATTTTAAAGCAGTTAGAAGGCAAATGTTAACCAATTCAGCCATAAAAGCATTACCTTGCCTCCAGAGTAACAAACTCTTCCTTCTTCTGTGTGATCTGGGCGTCAATCTTCTTACTTTTTTGCTCTGCTTCTTGCAACCTTAAAGAATTCACCGTTGGTAAAAAAACAGTTCAAAAAAAGCTACTTTGATAACATTGATATCTTATTCAATGAAAATGGGACATTAAATGAAAACAGAGCATCAGGGGTGGACAATTCGGTCTCCCGCGCACATGGGACAAACCGCTTATCCTTACACAGGGTAACCGCAGGGCCACCAAATTTTTACTGGAATTGTCCGCCCCTGTCGCCAGTGTTTCCCTTCGGGAGATCACAGGTCATATGTGGGAGACTACAGGTAGATCTGCTGTTCTCCCACTGGCTGGCTACCTTGTTGCTCGAATTGTCCACCCACGGAGCTTGCAGAGATTACAAAAAAATTTTCAACGTAAGCACCATCGCAAGAATGTGGCCTTTCTCTTAATAATAACAAAAAGGATTGAAAAGCCTGGAGTGTTAAAAGCAACAAAATTTGTGTTTACTTCTTTTCCAGAACTGTGATCAAGGATTGCTTCTCTTCGATATCATTTTTTAATTCCATGAAATGCTTGCTAGATAGAATATCGTCATCTTCCATTTCATCTACCAAGTTATTGTTCCATTCGTCAGAATCTTTACTCCTGCAAATGCAATATTTTAAATTTGAAATTACGCGAAAGGAGATTGTCTTGTTTAACAACAGGTTTAGCTCGACAGATGAACTGTTTCCTGGAAAACAATGATAAAACTTGCAACAATTACATAGGCACACAGATAAATTTAATGCTGATATAAATTTGGAGTCAGAAGGTACAACTTGGCAGTCAATGACAAGTGGTGCGACATAACTTTGCAGTCTACTATCTAATATCAGAACTAAAGTCTGCAAAGAACATCAACAGTTTCAAACACAAGATCAAGCAAAAATTATTTGAAGATCTGCAAAGGCAAGAGGGTAGCCTCTACATATTTTATTGAAAACCCAAAATCAACGAAAAGGTTCTACTTAAAACTTTTCAGAATAAATTTTTTCCCAGTTTTTTAATACAAAATTCATTTTCCGTGAACACATTTCTTTTTGCTAACACCTCTGGAGGGACCATTATGGAAACAAGGTTGTATTGACCTTTTTAATGCTATCCCTGCCATTTTTAACCTGGGGTGTTTTTAGTCTACGTTTTTAGCTCTTACCTGTACATAACATATATCTGTAATTAGATGACTTTCCTCTTCTTAATTTTAAATTGTAATTAATTTTGATAGCAAAATTAAACATACATATATAAACTAACACGACTGCGTTCGTGATAAACCTTATCATTGTATGTTTCATTGCTCACAAGAAACCATAAGTATTGATTTGGAAATCGTGTTATCGTAGATGAAACTTATCCAGCGCTTTGAAGCAATCTTGAATGGAGAAAATACGACAACCAATCTATCTATTTGAAGCAGTCCGGGCTGGAGAAATTACAACATCCGATCTATCTTATCACACATACAAATGTAATGTGCTCACAAGTACTCACATGATCAACGATCATACATTCCTAATTGACAAAAAAGAGAGAAAAGTTTCACAGAGTATCGTACAGAAAATACAACGCTACGTACGGTGGTCGCTTTGAAGCCGCAGAACCCTTCTTCGCCAACGCAGCATTTAGGTCATCGACTTTCATGGACCTCTGGCTCAGCCTCGATTTGAGCCTTTGAATTTGGTTCACGTGGGTTTCGGCAACTCCAGCTAACTCACCAGCTTTGCTTCGTTCAAAGGCAAGTTCCTGTTGTATACGCAAGGAATAATAGCAAAATCAGTGAAAAGTAGGAAATCATGATTCCTAACTAAAAACCCGATAGTTTAGAAATCACCAAATCACTTCAGAAGTTGCGGTAATTCACTTCACTACAGCTCGTATCTTGGTTATAGGACGTTGAATAACGTAAATCTGGTCTACAAAATGCCGTACTCAAATTATATGGCATCATATCAGACCGTAGCAGTTATAATATGGGATCGTGTAAACGGGGTGTGAACAAAAAATACTGGCTTCTTTGGTACACAACAAGGGTCGTGGAAAAAAATTATTAAATAAAATAATTGTGATTGGATTGTGACTTGTTCAAAGAAAAGGTGTAAAATCAAACTGAAATGAATCTGAGAAATGTTCAGTTTATGGTAATAAACGGTTTATCTTGAAGGTTGATGAAAGCCACAAATTACATCAAAAGGCTTTCATATCTATTTGAGTTGGTTCTTCTAGTTCTTCATCAACATTTTTAGGGCTCTATGAGGATTCAAAGATGATTCTATTTTTCAAATGGTTTAATGCATCATTGTATCATATTTAATTGCATGTTATAGTAATTATAAGCAGCTAACTTCGTCACTTGGGGAAATGTTATTTTAACGAACAAGATTTTTTGCCTTGCGACTGAAAGTAGGGTTGGACTTAAGTTATGGACAGAAACATCTTAGGAGATTGAAATTTTCGTGGATATTTATACTTTACTAGAATAAATTATTTCTTACTATTATGCAAAATAACATTTGCAACTATCATATAATCAAGGATTAAAAAAAGCCAACCATATAAGGAGTTATTCTGAGGGATATTAGTTTACTTCCAAGAATTTAAAGTCAATAACAACATTGTATTCATGTTACTTGATTTGGTTTAAAAAAAGCTGTAAAAACAAACTTGCCATCAGAATACTTTCTCCATTCGAAAGTTCCTGTGTGAAAAGGTTTCAAATGCAATTAAAAGGCAATCGCTCTAAGGTGTTTAATGTTAAGGTGGCTTATCAAATTAGAAGCAAATTTAGTTTTTAATCGAGTTGCTGGAGGTTGTTTTTGCTACCATCTTGGCTAGGCTTTTTACGCATTAGAGGACTTTTCTTTTTAACACATCTTAAGATTTAACATCTAAATGAAATTTAGTTCATCCGAAGAAACAAACTCTTTATAGATTTACTTACAAAAATTGGAACTTATTAGTTCTTTAATAGTTAATATTCATGTTAATGTAGTAGTATAAAAACATTAGAAGTGAATGAAATTTCAAAAGATGAATAAAAATAACTGATGGATAAATAAATAAAAGCAAGAACTGAAGCAGAATGAATGGTAAATAAATGAACACATGGGTGATAGAACAAATCCAAAACATTAAACGAAGTGCCAAAAAGATTAACATCATACAACAGTCAAGCCTAGACTTTTTCATTTGCATGTTGACAATTTAAGGTGTTTTTAAGATCAAAGCATTACAAACAGCTTTCACAATTTATTGTGTTGTAAGAGTTTCCACAGAGTAATTTTGTGAGTGGCTAAGAACAGCTAATGCTACTTACTGCAATTTTCCATTCACTACTAAATTATTAGAGTAAGGTTTAAACAACAGTGAAGTTATATTGATTTTAACCAAGAGCATTAATCGCTTCTGAGCCCTGACATATATTCTAGAACAAACCTCTAGCAACCGGGCAACTTGTGCCTTTTCGTCATGCAAACTGTCCTCTAGCTTTTCCATTTCTCTCTCGAGCTCCCGAACTTTGGGATTTCCATCACGCAACGACTCCACCAACTTCATCAAATGCTTGTTTTCTTTCTCAAGCCGAAGAAGTTCCGTCGACCTGGTGCCAACAAATTTAGATTTTCTCAGCAATATTTAAAAGGCAAAATATCAAAAAGGAGCTCGGTTCTAAATATCAAAATATGGATTGATCTGATATCAAGTCAGTCTGTTTCTATAAAATATGGTTGGAAAGATTCACAACTTTTCTTCAGATTCCTGATTGTCGTATTTTGCTTACCATAATTGTCATACAACTGAGAGACAACTCAATATAGAAAATAAAAGGTAGCAAAACAAAGAAAAATCATTATTCTGACACATGTCAAATGCGAATAGGCAACATACGAGCTTTCTTTGTATTCCATCGAAAGTGGAACTGCAGTACCTAGGGGGAATATTCGAAAAATGTCATCGCATACACATGGGACGAAACCAACAAGGAAAGAAACAAGAAAATTCATAAGGCGCTTTCCGATGTGACATGCAATAGTAAAAATAGTCAAGGCAATGATTCATATTGAAGATATTTGATAATGTGAAATTCTATTATCAAATACATGGGTACTTTCTTTTTGACGTGTAAAAATCTACTTTCCCCGAGGGGACGGGCAAGACGTCAGGGACATCAGGGAATTGCATGTCTGATGGTGCAAAGAGATAAAGGAGCAAAAGTGATACGTGTATATAAAGAGCCTGACTCACCATCCGGAGATCTGTCTTTCATTCCATTAATTATTTGGTTCAATTGAACAACTTCAAACATGCTGTGAACAATAATGCATCATTGGTTTACAGCATCTCATGCATTTGCCCTGAGCCAGGTTTTGATAAACATATATTATCGGCATTCAAACGTGTTTCTTACTCGAAGGATTCAGTTTTATAACGATAAATAGCGAGAACTAGCAATAGGTGATGTTTTTCCCATGCAGAAAATATCAATGGCGATTCAAGTTGCGTCTGTTGACTTTTATTCTATTCTGTTTCATTCTATACTGTTACTTATATTCGATGCATCATATGTAGCTCTAATATTAGTTTAACTTTGAGTGCATACGAAGAACAGATAAGAAAGTAAATTATTCGCGATCCATTGTTTTCTCTTTACATTAAACGATCTATTTTGGTAATATGGCATTCGTTGAAAACAATTAAGATGACTGGATACCTTTCTTGCTTTTCCATTTGCAACTTGGCGTTCTCATCCATAAGCTCCTTTGCTTTAACTTGATTTAATTCTCGCTCTTCCATTATGATCTTCAGTTGTGCATGTAGCCTGTCATTTTCTTCCTCAAGATGTCCTATGGCGGCAAAAATAACAACTTCAAAATTCTGATACCAAAGTCTAAGGTGCCATTACTGTAAACAGGGCGAAAGAAGAACAAATATATCGGGCAGGCTGCCCATCCCAGTTTTCACTATTATCAAGTTTGATTTTTGAATAAAAAGTTAATAACATCTTATCGCAATAACATTATCGATAGATATTTTAACAGAATTTCCGCTCCGAAAAAGAGCCTATTTATCGCCATAATAAATCAATGCGAATCGAAGACAATCAAAGACAATCAACTGACATAAAAATAAGTTCGCTTACCAACACGCTCGATCTTCGTTGAAGATCCAGCAACTTGTTCTTCAAGAACTAATTTTGTCTCATACAACAACTCGTGCTGCTCCTTTAGCTCCTAGTAAGTAAAGACAACAAACATCAAAGCAGAAATCAAAAATAAAATGCATTTAACGATCCGATAAAAAAGTGGGAAGCATAGATATAACGGAGAGCATATTTAACAAAGCTGACTACAAAAAACAGCAGGCCTACTCACATCAAACCTTTTCTTGTAAAAATCCAATTCTCTCAGCTTTTCTCTGTATTTGGAATTCTCAATTTCTAGTTTGTTGACTTTATCAACCTTAAATAAAATAAAAATCATTGACAAGCAAACATAATATCTATGTCTTTGTAACTTGGGAAGATAAAAAAATTTCAATTAAAATAGAATCGGGGATTCATTAACCTCCACTTTGCATCTTGCGAGAAAACTAAAATGGAACAAAGGACGGCGATAAGCGTAATTCACCATTCAATGACTTTTCACCTCATTCCAAGTCAACACTGCAATCGAAACTCGATGCGCACATTTTGACTGTGCCAAATATAAAAAGCCTTGAAAAAGTCATTTGGAACATGGGTCTAACAAAACGAAGCATTTTTTTGTTCAAGTTTAGTTGACTTTCTAACTGTGCATTTTTGCTAATTTTCGCATCAATAATTGGGGCAAGAGCCGGAAGAGGAAAAGAGGGAATAAAAATTCGCAAAAAGAAGAAACGAGGCATTGTATTTATACTGTCAACACATGGTAAGTGGGCAAGAAAAATTGTCGAACGTGAACACAAGGCAGCAAGAAGCATATTTCAATTTGAACCGAATAGTCAAAAGCAGTGCATGGAAAACTGGTTATCAAACGTGTTCGATTAGTTGACGGGAAATGATCAATATGGCGTCATCGAGGTTAGGTTAAAAGATATGCCTACTTGACTTTTCAGTACATCCATTTCGTCTCTGTATGTTTTAACCCATCTTGCTTCGCTAAGAAGCGATTTATTCTGAAAGATAATTGAAATAGTTTTATTTTGGATGCCTTGTTTACAACTGGGCATACCAAAGTCAACCACAGTTATAGCCAGTATAAGAACATGAAAACTGAACAAGATGCTTCAACATTATCATGCTCACAATAGGCAAGTTATATCGGAATTCTTTTAAGCACAAATAAAATTTGAAGTGTATGCTGATCAAATTCCGTAGCGGAAATTGAAATTGTCAATGCACTTGAAAAACTCCTTATTTGAAAAAAGATGTCTCAGAAATATATTCTACAAATTACTGCTAAAAATTGTAACCTAACCCAAGAAATAAGGTACCTAATTCTAGAGAAAAATAATCAAGAGAAAAGTAAAACTAGTTTAAACCCCTCTCCATTAAGCCTCGATCGAAAAATGTTTGAAATTAGCAAGTTCACGGGGAGCTAATTCAAGGATTTACTGTACTGAGCGTACACTTTTGAATTGGGGGAGTAGCATTTTAAATCGCGCTATCTTTTCTATTTGAAGTGCAAGACGTAATCAGATATCTTGACCCACTTGACGGAATTTCAAAAATCAGTAATTAATTGGTCGTACATACCTCTTGCCGAATATTTTCAAGAGATGCCTTCAAACTGGCAATTTCTTCTTTAAATTCATTAACTTGCATATTCCTTTCTTCTCTGCAATGATGATAAACGGCTAGATTAGTTCGCGTACAATACAGATACATACAAGGTTTTTCTAACGTCAATAATCTTGATTTTATAATTACTTGATCTTAAAAAAAATTGATGATTTAAATGTCATAAACAAAAGGCCGAAATATTAAAATGTAAACTAAACGACTTACAGCTCATTCTGTAGATCTCGTATTTTCTGCTTATTAGCTTTAAGAACAACGGATGTTTTGATCGACCCTGATCTTGAAGGACTCATTGGCGGAGACTTCACAAGATCAAGTTCTGCCTCCTATTATTGAATAAATATAATGTCAGAGAAATGAAAATGGCTTCCTTGAGTATTTCTTGTATACAAAAATCAACATCACAGTTATAGATATATTTCGAAGGCGGAATAATGGTATTTTAATATTAAATGCTTATCAAATTAAGAATTAATAAGATACCACAACAATCCTTATCTAATAATAATCTATGGGAGCCTCCTTCATTAAATAAGACTGCTAGAGATCAAATTAACTATCATCTTCACATGAAGAAGAAAAAACTAGAAAGTACCTTTGCAACCATTTCGTGCCTTTCCAAGTTCATGTCGAGAACAGCCTGAAGGAGAAAGAGAATTTGGTGTCAAGTTGACAAGTTCACAGGCAGCCTTAGCCATGCACACTTAAATATTAAAAACATTATGTTACGAGCATCTAAAACACATGAAAAGCCATTTTTCATCCCTTGATGGTCAGTAAAAGCTTCACCGTTGTGAGCAGCAAAACAACACGAAAGTAACCCCGAAATCCATAGACTGCCATTTACATAAATGCTTCGGCAAGTGAAGGCAACAACAAAATTAGTTGGTGCAATTGCAACAGATCAGAAAAAATCAACCAGCTCCGTGCAAGACCAAAAGTGTACAAATATAATTATCATGGAATATGAAACAAGATTTACCTCAAAATATTCATCTCTTTCTTCAAGAATTTTTTGAAATTGGAAGTACATTGCTTCCGTTACGGTTACCAATTGGCTGAAAATAGAATCAAGCATCACAATGGTATAACTGTAACAAGGAGATGTTTTCAATAAATCAAAAAAATACTGTTTTAAAAAAAATATTAAATAAATTAGGGAAGTACAATTCTCTTAAAGCTTAAGGCATAATTCCCCCAATTCAACGGTACAAGATTTGGCGGTAGGTGTCTCTTTCGAGAAAACATGACATAAAACATCTTTAAAATTAAGGCAAATTAAACGAAAAAATTGTTCTGTGTTTAATTATAAACAGGCACTGTAAACAATATGTAAATTTAAACATTGAGCTCATTTACAAGACATCCGAAAACCTCTTGAGAGCCTCTAGAAAAGAGAGGTACATGGACTTTAACACATAAAAAATTACAAGAAATATATGAACTAAGAAAATTATGAGCATTCAAATTGGAACACAGCATACTCTTGTGATAGTTCTGAGACTTCGTTTATTCTGTATGAAAATGCATTGTCACTGTTGTCCGTAATCTGAAATGAAAACGATTCTAGCTAAACCTCGTAATTAGATATGGCGAAGTTTGATATAAGCAGACGTTCAATTGATGTCATTCATTTTGATACTTTCAAACAGAATCTAGACATGCTGAAAATAGGCTACCCTAGTTTTAACTGGTTACACCCATTTCAGCAGCAAACTCCATATAATTTAAGACCTTGCGCTAGACCCATAAAAAGACCTTAATTAAAAGTTATTTCTTGCTCTGGTGCCTCAGCTAGGAAAAGCTTCACGATGGGGTTGCATTGAGATCTTCATGAAAAACACTTGAAGAGAATACTAAGTAGCACTTGAAACGATATTTCCCTTTTAACAAATTACTCAATGGTTAGATTATAACAAAAGAAGCAACATAATTTCTATTTTATAATCCAATATTCTTAATCAGAACTGAGGGAAATTGACTGCCCTTTAGAAAATTATCGGGTAGACTCGTGTAGGTGTGCCGCCAAAGTGTCTTATATGCCGCCAAGGTGCATCCAAACGATGCAAATAAAATTAAAGATAAATATGTATATATTTGAAAATAAAAGGATTTCTACAAAAATACGTTTGAAAAAGGATTTCTTCTCTAATATCACTGACCTCTCGAATATAAGGAACGAGCTGCGTCTGAACTTCAAAGTCCATTTTAGTTATTTTTTCGATGAAATACTCCTTTTTGTCACACTGAAATGAACAAAAGATAATGAATACCACACCACAGCAATCAAACATCCAAAAACTAAGTTAACACTTTACAATGCGCATAGGTTGTGCTTATACGTCATTTTCTGCCTTGAAACATTGCTAACAGGCGTTTAGAGCTTGGCCTAGATTCTTGAATAGAAAACAAAAATTAATGACAAAAAAACTTAACAGAGATAATTCACACACCTGGACAGCGCACCCAAGAATCAAAAGTAGAAACTTTTTTATTTCTTCCAAACTGCTACCTGCAAATGACAAAGGAAACACGGGTCAGGGGAATTCCTGAAAAAAGAGAAATTCGCTTTACTATCCGTCGAATAAAATGCTTGGTGTACTCGCTTACGTTGTTGTAGGAGTATGTACGGCAGTTACGGGCGATTTATGCACTGGGTTATGGGGGTTATTCTAATTCTTCCACTTGAGTAGGCGGTAATACGCTTTTCGTGGCTGGATCGCAAACTAACGAATGGGGTTTGAATCGAGTACCTTATCCAACTTTTATCTGGATCAATCAAATGGATTTTGAAGAAAAACAGCTTAACTGAAGTTTATATTAAATATATTTTCTAATATTTTGATATTGAATACCGCTGTGATCAAAAGGCACTTCTTCCTCAACAGGTATGTTTTGTGTCTGTAATATACCCTAGTAGAGGGCATATCAAATTTTTCGACTGCAGGATGTCAAAACCCCGTATACTTAAGTTGTCAAGGATTCCCCATAACATATAGTTTTTAAGAGATGTGGTTCATCTATCAATGCTGGAAATTCGATTAGTGATTCTTTTCTGGCGACAGATTATTATTTGTTTCACAGGGAAAATACTTTTGGTGTGTAGTCATCTTGACTCCTTCTTTATTGGATTCCTTCAAATCCAGTTGAACGAATTAAACATGTGATCGCGGAGATCCAAAGTGCAGTAGTTTTTGAATGTCATATTTCAAAATATTTAAATTTGCAAAATCTTATAATAAAACAATATCACAACAATTCTCAAGAACCGGTCGTGGATTTTCCTACAAGTTCTTTTGCTTGCATTTCTTGAAAATATATCTTGATGAAAACGTGTCCAATAAGAGTTAAGTCGCCGCAGAGTTAAAAGACTTTTACTGATTCCACTTGGCTTGAATAGCACTGTCGGGGATTGCTGAAACAGTGAAATAATTTGATGCAAAATACGACGGGAACAATTTGGTTTAAGGCCTCTATTTTTCACTTAACGGATATGTCATGTCTATGGATTGCAATTGTTGTATCCTACTCGAAGTTTTGCTCGAAATATTATTTAATTCCAATCATGTGACTTATTTCCTGCGAAATTTTCCGTTTCCGAATAGTATGGCCTCTTTGAGATGACACATTCTGAATCAAAACGTTGTTGTTAATGTTGTTGATGTTGTTGTTAATGTTGTTGATGTTGTTAACTCGTTTACTCAGTTTACTAACAACCAGAGACGCGATGGTCAGTATTGAGACGAGACGCCATTGGCCCTCATCAGCTTTTTATGCGTTTTGAAGGAGCTAGCGTTCGCCTGTAAGGATGTTTTAAACCTAAATCAGCAAATGAACCGAACAGATTTTCTAACCTAGACCTTTCGATTAAACTATGCACTTCAGCCGTTTGATGGTTACATGGGATGATCTCCTTCTCCCGTCTCTTTACTTACGGCTCCCAAACAATTGAAAAGTTCTTGCAGCTGTGATAACACCCATGGATGATCGTACAGTTTGGCGATAATTACTGATCACCTTAACTCTACATCAGACATTGGAGATTTTCAATCCTTTTCCATGGAGAAATGTGATGAAAAATCCCTTCGCTCCACGAAACCATTAAAAAACATCCCTTTAATCGATCGCACCTTCTACAGTCAATTCAAATATTATTCTCCAAAGGCTGGGAGCTATTCTAAAGATAAAAATCCTTTAGAAAAGATCTTTTCTAATACTTTCAAACGGTAAAATGCAACAATAAAGTTCACTTGCTAATCTTAAAAGCAAGCCCTGAGAAAAATACACTCTCGACAAGCAAACGATTGAATTCTAGCGAGTATAATTCTGTTGCCATGGAAACAATCACCACGACTGTTGATAAAAATACTCCAAGGTCATTTCAATACGTAACTGTCATTCAGCAACAACATATTGTGGATCGCCTTGATAACACAATTTGAATGAAGCCTTTGTCGGCCTTATAAAACCACATTAGTTCGGTCTGGGATACAATTAGTAAGTTTAAATAGCAAAATAAAAAATTTATCGAGCATCTTCGATCCAGAGGTGCAGCTTGGCAAAATTAAATCTCAATCTGGCATAGATAAATCCTAGTCTGCCATAAGCTAATCCAAGTACTCTAAAACTTAATCAAAAACTCTTCAGTTTGGGAAGAATATTGCATTGTTAATTTGAAACTGGCTACTCGTTATAAAGAACATTGCCCTTGTTCTGGGGTTGCGAGAGAGCAGAAGTAGTGAGATTTAATAAGCGAAGGTAGCGAAGCGGTAGGGGTGGGGGGGGGTTAAGTAAAAACACGACTAGGTCTATCTTCTAATGAAAATAAACCATTCAGGACCTGAGCCTGATCATTCGACGGAATCAACATTCGTATTTACATGCAGAACAAAAAAAGAACTTGGGGAAGTTGTCCACTAACTTTTGCTAAGTACCTAGGAGACCTCCTCAATAAGCCTTGAAAATTCAATTTTATATCTTTGAGGATCGCACGAAATACTAGCGGAAACACTGCACGGCAAATTTCCATGGACTAGCCAGAGCTGCAAACTTAAAGGATCCTGGAAAATGGGGTCCCAGAAAATTTTCAGAATTGGCAGAAAAATTTGTCAAGAACTACAATTATAGATAAAAACAAACGATATCTCAATGAATGCAAGGGATGTAATGCCCTTGGAATTGTCAATTAGTTGAAGTTTAAAATGCAAAATCAAATTAGAAACTCTCAATTTTGACGGAACTTTCAGATGTGAAATGGCAGAAAATTTTCATAAAATTTGATAGATTGCCATGAGATCAACCCTATACTAGGAGAGAAATGAAAATACTCAGGGTGGATTATTTTCGAAAATTTAATTGCCGGAGAGAACTTTTATTCGTCAACCCCCCTGTATGTATTGTGAAGATTTTTGCATACCGTGGTTGGGCTCCTTCGCAATGGCAAGAATATCAGGCATCTTCATCAACAACAATATTTGCAGCTTCTCCTGAAATTAGCAACAAATGCTGATTTAAAAGATGTTATCAAGAAATAGAATATATGAAACGTTTAAGATGGATGGACACGTAAACGTGATAATTATCGCCCTCATGTATCTCCATAGTGCTTAATAGGTGGAGGTGTTAAAAACAGGGACCGAAAACTAGGGACAGTAATTAAAACGAGGATTTGCCGTAACTGGATTAAAAATGCAAGTAGATCTATTAGGTCTAACCGCATGATTCAAAAGCACAACAACCTAAAGCAAATCCGACTCTTTGCTGCACTCCTCCATGCCTTTTCTAAGAGACGAGAGAAAACAGCTGGAACAGGCAACACATAAACTCGGATGACTGTGGCAGATTTAAGCCACAAAAATGCAGATCTTTTCAACAGAAGAAGCAGAACCTTAAAGAAATTATATTATATCAGCACTCAATGCGGCTGCTTTTTGTCTATATAGACGCATTTCGTTGCATCTATATTATTTACTTTGACTTAATCTGGTCAGTTAATTGCGTGGTTGGTCGTTGTTTAATGCTCAATAGAATAGCTCTTAGAATCCTCAAATACTGAAGAAGAGCTCCCGGTAACAACCAACCATCGTGTGGGCTTTAAACCTTTGTACGCCCCTACAATCACAAGCATTGCAACGACATGGAATACAGGTTTTTGTTTACAGTAAAAGAACACAGGCATCAGAATCAGCAATCGACAACACTGTCCAAGGTCAAGTTGGTGCAACCACTTCCCCCTCAAAACGATAACTGTGAAATAAGGGGCTTTGCATCACAACATACACAGAGATTGCTTGCATAATTCTATCGTCCTTGCAAATGGGCAGTATTCTATTTGTTTATTGGAAAGCAATTCACTACACAAAATGTCAACCAACAGCGAAGTTGTGATTTTTTAGAATTGGTTGTTGATGTTTATCGTGATCAATTTCTAATAATGAGCACATCTCTGTTATTTTTACAAATTCCAGAACGCAAGCTACTTGCTTTTATGCAAGAATAACTTCAAAATATCAACAACCGTTATGGAATTGAAACAATTTGTTTATAAAAATAATAGATTGTGAATAGAGCTTTCAGTGTCGGCGCTCTTGCTCTTGAACTCTAACTTAGTCAAAACATAAAACTTCAAAGTCTTCAGTCCCATTAAAAGCACCAGCATCAAAATCCACAGTACTGCCAGTATTACCAAGCACGCTGTCCTATTGGTTGAATTTGATCCGATGAGGATAACTTCTAGTCGTTTAGGCACAAGTTTTGTCGCCCTCTGGTTCAAATTTTCTGCTGTGTTCGGAACAACAATATCGCAAATCTACAAAACTAATTTCTAATTGACAATCTATGAATTACAACAAAAATTTTACGAAGCTAGATTTGTATGCTATATCTAGATAGAAAGAACATAGCTTGTTATAAAAAATCATTGACGTCACGATAAAGTTGATGCTGAATATGAAACTAAAAAAGTGATGCTAAAATTGGTTGCTTGTGTCTTCAATGTTCGAGTGATAAAATGGAATGCATTTATATCGTATCATCAATTGATATTTTTGAGTAAGCAATTAAACAGCAAGAAAATGAATAAAAATGGATTCATGGGCACTAAATGCGAAGTGAATTATTCATGACAACTTTTGTTATCATATGGCATTGGGCCTAGTATTCCAGTATGCACAATCAATTACGCCACATTCAATTCAAGCTGCAATTCATTGAAACTGCGTAAATAAACAAATAGAGACAAACAGGCAACTATGGAAATGTTAACCACCGACTGATGCAGCACTGACTTCTGCTGTTCTGGTCGAGGAATTCTACACAAGCGATTTTAGTCAATCACTGCCTGATGAATGGGGGGTGTTTAGTGATCTGCAAATTGGTTCCCAGAAGTAGCAGTAAATGAGAACTACAGTGAGCTTGCGTGTTGTCAAAGGCCTGCTTGTAGCTCGTCGCCTTTTGATAAATTATTAATGCAAACAACACAAAGGGCGCCCTTACGTTGATATAAAAACTACGGAAGACCAACTGGAGCCAAACACTAAGCCATTTTCAGAGTTAGCTAAACATAAAGAAATCGACTTATAAATATGTGTTACTGAGTGCAGCCATAAAAGAAATACGCACTTCAAGAACAACTTGAAGGAGACTAAAGACACTTTGCGATTGACAATGGTGATGATTAAAGAATATCTAAATCTGCCAGAGCATTAAGAAACTTTATTAAGAAATGGCTGACCTTGTTTCCTACAAAAATTATGAACTACAATGAACACATTCCCTCCAATGCTTGTGCCAAGGGGAGTGGGAAAATTCAAGATTTTCTGATTCTCTATGTACCAACAACGTGGAAATTTAATGGCACATGAAGGGGCTGACCATTCACCTCAATATGTTAGCTTCCAAAAATTATTCATTCACCTTGATAATGGTAATATTTGTTAATTTTGCCAGCGTTTTTCAATAGAAAAAGGGAGCTCTATTCACAGCATATAAAAACTTTTAATGCTGCACCTTGGGTCAACAAATCATGCATAACAAGCCACAGCCCTCATCTAATACATAGCAATGTGGAATCCTATATTATGCCTTTCTTCGTGAAAAACATTCAACAATGAAGTAAAAAGATAATATCTTCTAAAGGGTTTCTATTGTTTTACCACAATCAGATATAATTCTTATTAGCCACCCTAGAGGGACAAGCATGTTTGCAATCCATTCATTAATCTCCTTTGTCAACTTGTGTTCATTCATGAAAATGATGCATTTTTCAAATGCCAATGATAACTTGAATATACAAAGATTTATCTACACATGTAAACACAAGGTCCAACCTAGTATTTTATTCAGGCTGTGCCTTTTTGTGATTCATGCATGGATGTCTCAATAAATATAACTGAATCCAGATCTCTTCCTTATATTTTGCCACAAGGTTTATTGCAACTGAGAAGCACTTGGTGCGCATCAAAGAAAAAGGAAGCTGCAAGGAGTACATCCTTTAGTACTGATGCTGCATGTGACAGGTGCCAAGCTAAGCATTTAGGGGAGGCATAGAGCAGTCCCTAATTTACAACTGTTTATTTTACACACAGCTTTGCTTAGTTCTTATTGCATTTAAAATGCAGAAGTCACTATAACCACGACCCTCCCCCTTCCCCCCTCCCCCCCCCCTCCCCCCTCCCCCCCCATCTCAACAAATCAAATTCTGCATGCCTCCCCTGTTTGCGACTCTAAAGCAGCAATCTACAGGTTTCTTTTTTAAGGTGGTGAAGGATGATCCATCATCATCTGGCAAAGAATTAAAGTTCATAAACATGAGCTACTTGATTGCCATTTTAAACAATGTTGATGAACTCACCAACAGTTCCTGTCTTTCAATGTTCAATCTAATATTGATACAATCGAAATACAATTTTCATTTACCTGATAAAACCTTTTAACATTGCGAATAACTTCCAGTAAGTTTTGCACTTTTATATTCAAATCCTGTGGATTCTCTTGTATAGGCAACAAGTTGAATGTTGACAGGTCTCTGTGATAAATGAAAAACATAATTAGCAACTGTTAAATTCATTGACATCTTCAAAACATTCATTTTTAAATATTTCCTGACATCTGGATTAACTCATACATATATATCAGCAAAAATAAGCAAACCAACCTAATCCCTACAACCTTTCTGTTTACAGAAGCACAAGGACAACAAAACCTTGTCCTGGGTGATTCTGTTTGCATGGGTCACACAGTCAATTCTTTCTGAACAGGTCACCAGCCTGCAGTGTTTACATTTAGTATTTAGGATTCAAAAACCTTCCCTTTGCCAGGATTTAGCAATGGTGTTTAAACAGCACTCTAAACCAACCATCCGTTAGTTCATGCCCTCACTGGCAAATGATTCATGATTGTGAAAATTAAGAAGGCAAACAGTTTATAGATTATCTAAAATCAAAACCAAGACTGTGACATAACCCTAACTATTAAACATTCACATTCAATACATTAAGAGCAGTTAATCCTTCTTTGATCATTTTGACCACAAAAACCAGATTAGACCATCAATGTACACTTTCCATCAAAATGCAAACAGGACAAAAACAGCCAGAAACTATGAGTGACCAATCATCACAATGATATACATCTTCAAATAATTTGATAGGCATTGATTGGATTAAATAATTGTTATGTTATGTTAAATAATAAAAAGGGGAACTGTGTCAATCTAGAAGATCTCTAAAATAAAAACTATGACCTTTGTAGCTAGAAGGAACTATGCCCTTGTTCCTTATGACTGGAAAATTTTGAAAAAGATCCACATTGCTGAGATGTTCGACTTGGAAATTTTGCTAAAAATTCTTAACTATTGAATAAGAATGCAAAACTGTCTGTAAACACTCACATGCATTGAAGAAAGTATCTTATGAATGGCTTTGAAAAAAGCAAACATTTAATAAACTAAAGCTTTTCGTCTGACACTCTTCAGAGTTTAAAACGTCAGAACATAGATCAAAACTCTACGCTAGGAAATATATATACCCAGATGTGGATCGAAATAGGCCAATCAGAAAACATGAGCACATGACTGTTGAGGTTAACCAATCAGTGACACTTGCCTATTGAGAATGTTACCAATGGAGTCCTAAGGTGAAAACAAACTCCTTTTGTCTGCACAGAAGCGGTTTTTTCGTGCTTATGTAGATAGATTCCAAAACTGCTACGTGGAACGACGATCAGGCTTTACCAATAATCCGAAACATGTCGCCATTATAGTTTTTTGCACAATCTGGGTTTTCCAGTAAATGCTGCCCGATAGCAGAATCACAGGTTTTAGTTGTAATTTTAGATTTGCAAGACTGAGAGGGCTGTTCGCTTTGGGGACGAGTTTTGTTTCTAATACTAGGCGGAACATGTTGGTTTTGTTCTATCCTCCAATCTTTGGGTAGTGCATCCTACTTAGCCAGAATCACACTGGCACGTAAATTCATAAACAACGGAACTTTTTTGCGTGGCAGGAACACAGTCCTTTTGAATGGATGGAAGGGCCTTTTTTGTACTATATACAAAGGTATCTTATATACAAAATGAGTTGCAAGACATGGACATCAATCAATTAGACCATCCCTGTTTTAATGATTACAGAAATTGCAAATAATAACAGGTTATTCAAAAGTTATCTTCATTGCTAAAATATTAGCAAGGAATACATTTTCAGAGGTAAGAAAATAAATCTTCATTGAACTATGCAATGCATCATTTCAAACAGATGCACATCTTAAGTTGAGATACCAATTCCAAAAATACATTACAAAAGTGAATAGACTAAATGTGAAGCATCAAAAATACCACTCCAAAAAATTTAAATTCAGACTCACATTTCCTTTAAAACCTCTGCTAGAAATTCAGAGCTGACAATTTCATTAGCTGAAGTAAATGGCTTCCCATCATGAAAGGTATCTTGGGCCTGTGAGAAAGGAATAAATCAATCATTTGACCTTGAGCTCACACCCAATAACATATCAAGCATACTTTCTCCATCAGCAATGAGAGGAAGATTAAAAAACTTCATATTAAAATGAATGAGTGTACACATATTTCTTAATAAGAAAAGTTAGTCTATGATTATGCTGCAGTTCAATTCCTTGTAATTTTGTTAGCAAATACATAATATATTTATATGAAAAAGCTGGAGAAATCCTTTTCTTGATCTTTAAATAAACATATTACTTTTAATGACAGGTAGTTTCATATTTTATGATGCATGGTTAAATTACACGACGCTGGTGTTGAGCAAGTGCGGTAACCAATGGCCATATATTGGTTTATCTGTTGATATATCCTGCAGTATTGTGCAGGTATCTGTCGTGATAGAAAGCCATTAAGCCATTTGGGTTAAAATTAACTTCCAAATACAAAAGTCAGGCGATCTGATCTCTTTATACAGTAGTAGACGATAATGTTTTTCACTCAAGGTATCTAGGCCAGGTAGGCACTTGAAATGATGCCAGGAAGGCACTTGAAATGATGTATTTTAATAGAGACCGACAGCGGGTTGAAACTGAAATGGCAAATTTGCAACGCAATGACTCACGAATAAGCAAATTTAGCAATATTCAAAGACTTCAATATTTCATTCCTCAAAATTTACGAATGCAGTGGAATTAAAGACGATTATGAACCTATTGGCTCCTCCTCACTTGACGTTTAGATATTACCAGAAAACAGAAAGAAAATATATTGTTTTATATAGAAAGCAGGCAGAAAAATAAACGTTTTCATGATATCGATAATATTGTTTCGAAAAGAGGATTAAGAAGCTTGTACGAATTTGTCGACCTTTTTGGATAGATAGCACCAAAGTACAACGCGCTTTGTTTTTGATTAATGAGCATCTCACAAAACATCCGTTTTGCTCATGGGAAATCTCAGCTACTTATCTGTCATCGGAAAATAAACTTTAAAAGTAAATCTGACAAATCATGACTTATAACTTTATAAAAAATTTTACCTACCCACACAACAAGCGGGTTTCTAAAGAACTCTTCGTTGAGTTCCATTGTCTTTCAAGTGAGTTGCCAAACCCACGAGTTCAAATTATATTCCAGCAGCAATGGCCCTCTGAAAGACGTTGTAATAAAGTTTTTCCCCGTTAAATTGAGAAGTCCAGCGATCTGTCATGATTTCAAATCATGCTCACTTTGCATACCATGGTAGCGTCCAATTATAAAGCTTCTAGGGTGAAGCGGGGCCTCAATTTCTCCAGTTACTCAACTTCCGCTCCAGTATATTCAATTTTCCAGTAATGAAGTAAAAGGACTAGATTAATTTCGATCGTTATTGCTGGCTAATTGCCCCAGATTTAGTGTTGATTGCCCCGAAGGACAACAAAGTTCTCCCCTTTCACTCTTCACAACTTTGTCTTTTCATATTGTTTACAGAACTCTTTGCGGCATACCTGCCAAGTGCTTAACATGGCCTGGAACCGAGTCAGAATCTATTTTGAATTGTCTTGTAAAAATCATCCACCACATGTCATCAGTTGAAGGGGTCACTAGCACTAGTCACTAGGCACATTTCAGTATTTGATGCTAAAATCTGCGTAGAAAGAAAAAATTGGATGAACGATATGGTGTAGCTCTAAGGAAGCCCTGAATCCCGTTGGGGCCGAGCAGCCATTGGGCTAGCAGGGTCTATACCCCCTTCCCTTTTCTCTAAAAATAGTTAAAGTTTATTTACAAGGGCAAAAAATTTTACAAGAATAATTTTGTCCTGCGATCAATCGAGAATATTGAAGCCGGTTCCATTTATTTGCAATCAAACTTGCATTAAATGTCCACTCTTTGGGCATTTTCTTGCGCCTGTCTTATTTTTAGAGCCCTAAATATAGGAACCATGAAAAGTAGGGTGTTATTTTTTCAAAGACTTCTTGTGACCACAATGTTCGGAAAAACTTCCTTGGAAAGTCATTAGGAATTTTTTGTTAGAATTATGGGGGGCCTACACCGGGGGGGCTGGAGGGGCGCCTACGCCGAGAGAGAATCTTCGTTATTTTACCAGAAATGTCGAGATGGAGGGGAGAACGAGTGTGCATGACAGAAAAAAGGGCTTGCTTAAATTCAATTTCAGCAGTTCGTCATTATTGGGAGCTTTTGTACTTTGTGACTCAGATTGCAGTTGCTGGCGAAACCAGGGGGCCGGGGGAGCCATGCTCCCCCCCCCCCCACTTTTCTGCAGAGCTAAAGAAAAATTTTGGGCAAAAAGTGGAAATAAATGTAGTATATGATTCTGTAAGTAACTTTGTCTAGTATTCTCTTAAACGTGTCCTTAGCTTTACCTTGGTTGCTATGCCTTTACCATACATACTTTGAATGTGGGAATTAGATTGAAGAAATCGATCATTGTCTAAGTTTTACAACGAGCTTGGTTTGGCAAATAGATCGAAAAACCTAGTCCAGAATAACTTGGTGCCAGCACAAATTGACGGAGCTTCGTTTTTTCCATTGCCTAAATTTGGCACACAAGGTCCATTTGTTAACGAAAACTTTCTCAGAAACATTACAGCTGTTGAAGGAAAAGGAACAGCTAGAAAGAACTTTTTTGAGGATATGAGAAATAAAATATGGACAGATTTGTTTTTAAAAAGTATCATCAAGAAAACTTCAGAGTTTGATCGTTTGGATAATCCATTCCTACTAAGAAATTAAAAAATTCTTTTTAAACTCATTTTGACAAGCCCAGTTTGATGGTTTTTCAATTTTTTTTAAAGCATTTAATTTCTGAAAAAGTTAAGATCAGAAGTTACAAAGCTATATTTTACTGTACAAAATTGCTTAACTTTTCATTTTTAGTTGATAGTTCTTCTGTTGATATTTCACCGTTCATGTTTTTTGTTAATCCGTGTTTCATTTATTTTTCTCCCCCATCTTATTTCGGGTACTTTTAAAATCTAAAAAATGGTTTCATTGCGAGCTATATGATAGTAGTTATCTTAAAACTTTGCAAAACTTTTCTATTTCTAGTCAACATCACAATAGACGCGACTATGCGACACTTTCAGTCAAGATTCATTTTAGATACAGTTTCTTGCCATCCCTAAGACACCATAATACTTTCGTAAGCCCTTTCAAGATTTTGGTATTTTGGCCCCTCCACTTTCAAATACGTTTCGCCGGCCCTGGATTGTATTGTACTGGCAAAATATCAGGGGTCTCCTCTGATATTCAGAATAAACTAATTCAAGACCCTATCTACCATGCATCAGACCTATCCATGCTGTGACAAAATATGTTTACTTTTTTCAATAATTTGCATCAATTATGTTTCCTGTATGTAGTACAACTGTATATACCTATTAGCACAAGCAATTTCTTTTTAGTTAATGATTTCAAAAAATCCAAACAATGAAAACATTTTTAGATATTACTTATTTTAAAAAAATTTTTGCGCTGCTCCTTTGACTTCTTTAATTTAAGACAGGAGGAATTTGAAAGGATCCGAATCCTCGTTCCCTTTTTCCAAAAATGTTTCACTACAACCTTGATTTCCCAATATACAGAAGGATGTTTCCCCTTTTCCGGGGGTCTTTAGGGGGTGACTTCGCGCAGACCCCTTTTGGGCAGGACCACCTGTTCTTGGTTAGCTTCGCCACTGAGATCTCGCCACTTGAGATGGTGTTTTACTATCTTTGTTAAGCGCATTAAAGTTTGTAAGAAAGATGAAATGATTCTTGCAAGGTGATTATTGTTCTCTTTGCAATACAGTGTCCGTCTTTTTTGTTTAAGTCGGAATGGCTGGAAATTGGAACACGGTTGGCAAAATGAAGTGCAAACAATGAAGAAACTCTCCTCTGTGCAGATGAGAGAAGAGGGCAACTTTGCTAGAAATATGGAAGAAGTTGCTTTACAAAATGACAGTCATTAGTCTGTTTTCTAGTTGAAGGTCTAAATAGTATTTCATCAAAAAGGAAAAAAATTGGAAAACATTGTGCATCATTTATGAAAAGTCAAAGTGAAAACTTTTTTGTTAACCCAGTATTGCAAAGCTACAAAAAGAACAGGAGCCCTAGGTGCAAGTGAAAGTACCTCAAACACCCATACCAATAAGAAGAAAATTGTTACTTTCTGCAACGGGAGCTAGTCCCCTCCAGTTCCCCTAGCATAATAAAAATGTGCTAAAATAGTTTTATTCTTTCTCAATGTAATAAGATTATTTTCTTTTGGCCATTTATATTCCTTCCAAACTACCTAACTTTTTGTGAGAAAAATATTTCATCTATGATTTCCTATGACTAAAGGTCACACGGTCACGGGAAAATAACGCCCTGAAAAGACTTTGGCACAATAATGTGAGCAAAAGAGATTGCAGATAGAAGAAACCTATATAATGTTTGTGTTGATATACTTTGCGTTTTATATATTGCTACTCACAGGGCCGTAAATCCCAAAAATTTGAAGCAACAAGATTTTCTAAGATAAACGATCATCATTTTCTTTTAAAGAAATGGAATCTATACGTTTTTGTGTGTTATTGTAACAGACATCAGCGACTAATATTGACATCGATTCCTATATTTTGCTTCTGCTGCCGTTTTTGGTTTTAATAGCAGAAAACACCGTTGCGTCTTGATGAATTTACTGATTAATTAATCACAATAGACGTATACACATATAATGAAGGGACGCTTTAAAAATGTTGCTGATTACATTTCTGTAGATACGTACACAATAGAAGGTTTTAAACACAGTGATACAATGATACAATCAATGATTACAGTTCCGTGATGGTCACTACAGCTGTGTCATATTCATTTGTCTTTTTCTCTTATCCTAGGATTGCTTCACTTTCTTTTAATTGTGCTGCGAGACTAAGGCAAGCCACAGTAGTATTCCTCAATGCTCTTGTTTGGGTTCCATCCTGTTTCACTGTATTTGAATTTTGTCGAAAAATGTTTGAAGCTACGTTCCCAAATATTCATGGTAATGATGCGTGCATGATCATTTCATTAAATTATACCGAAAATATATCAAATTGGATGATAAACCTGGTCTGTATATGGCACTATTAGGCGAATTCCATTTTGTAATGGTTTGCCCCCTCGATCATCTTGCTGTTGCATTTCAGTTGTTATAATTTTTGTAGCCATTTGTAGTAATATTTCAGATGTAGAAATTTTAATTAACCATTTAAGTTTACGACGATTTGTTTTGTTGTAGTAGATTATGAGGGTATGTTATTATAAATTAAAATATAAATTAATCAAACCTGTGGTTGATCCTGGAAGGATATCATGTTCGGTCGAGATGAGGTATGAGTTTTGTCTTGGGAACGAAATCTGACACTGACAGATGAGTCATGTTTGACTGACATCAAAAGTTGATTCTTTTCTTAACAGGGGAAGGATAAATGCTTTCTTTTGATTTCTCGATCATTGGTGCCATTGAGCTAACATCCTGTTTCTACGAATTAGCCCTGACTGGCGAAAAACGGGGTGAAAACGGTCTCTGGTAGAATGGCTCCTTGTAGTTGGAAAGAAATTGTCGATGAATGTGTGGCGCCCAATGATGCCAATCACGTGGAGCAAGGGGCCTATAATTCCCATGTGCTCTGTTTTCAGACAGTCTTTTAATTGGTCATATTAGAATCTATGTAACAGTACCTGCTTGATAAGCTTATTTGTCTATTGTTAATATCATAATTTGTCATAAACCGTTCTTGCAAATGCTGTTACCAATTTTTTAAAACAACGTTCCATTTGTTATCTTGAGCCAGCTTTCTGAAGTCAGCTTCTGCGAATGCAAAATTTAAAGTGTATACAAATGCACTGGCTAAATTTGTACTTCCTCGATATGTGAATTTAAACAGCTGGGTCTCGTAGGTATCTTTTATGAATAAAAGTCATTTATAACAGCTGGTGATCAGTTTGAGATAAGCAAATGATTGCTAAATGAACTAGGCCATGAAAGGCAGTCACATAACCCTTCACCAATAACGCGAACAGTTAACTTTTAAAAAGATTTTTGAGCCAGAAATTTGAAGAATTTTCAAAAGAGAAGCATCAAAACATTTTCTTCAATAAAGTCGTTGGAAATGTCAAAAGGAAGAAAGGATGTATGCAGTATGGGGTTCCCCAAGGCTCGTTACTGGATAGGCTGTTTGTATCTCGTCCTAAAAATCTAACCCCATTCATATATTGAAAAATTACTTTTGATTATCTGATGAATATGTAGTTTAAATTTTCTTGGGCAAGTGCTCGGCTGAGACAATGTAGTTGATAGATCGGTATTCCAAACTTTTGCATATTTGGCTATTTAATGATGATTTCATTTTTACTTAATGGCTATTTAGATTTATACCAATTTTACATATATTGCAAGCATGGCTAGGGTTTTACAAGGCTAGAGAAGCACTTCAGGAATTTCACCTCGGACCGGACAGTAATGTTTCGATGTCTATCACGCACGCGCAGAAATGAGTCTTGAAGAAACATTGCAATGCAGCTAGCTACTGGACCAGGAAAGCAGAAATTCGCTTGAATTTGGGTACCCTTTGAAATGTGATGAAAATCTAATGAAACCCAAATTTATAGTTAATGAAATGGTTGATGAATTTGAACATTTGATCAGCTCTGGCATACATTGCCCTGATACACCGTTTTCCCCAAGTGACTATACAAATCATTTTGAAAACTATACTTTCACCGACAACCAAAAAATCTGATTCACGGGATGAAACAAATGGCTCTCAGTATCTTCAGTTAGAGCTTCAAGATAAAATAAGCGACCCAATTGTCTAGAAGACACACAACGAAAAACTCATTTCACATATATACAATTGTTTAAATATCAAGCAACATTACATAAATTGGAACCATTAAAAACAATTCCGGTCTTGACAAAATTTTAACCCAATAGATAAATGCTAGAATAGTTCTGTAGCTAAAACTTTGTATTTAAATAGACTTATTTCAGCGTTTTAAATGCCTCATCAGGCCGTCCACTACATAACACAATTTAACGTTGTTTATTGTTGATTCACTAAGGACAGTACGACAAGGCTTTAGTTGACAACGTGTGACAGTAGCGCTTTGCAAATAGCAAGACGCAAGACCGTAAAGGTTCGGCATTATCTCACTTTTTATATCGCTTTCCAAAACAGTTCGCAGGCAAACTAGCCAACAAACCAATATGAAGCAAGCATGTTTCAGGTACAGGCCACTGACCTTCAAGCTTAATCCCGCTCTACTAAGAACACAAAGCCTTTGTCGTACTTTTTCCTTTTATGTTACATTATTCTTAAATCACATTTCTAACATTCAAATAAATATTCTAATCATAACAATAATTTCTTAAACTACATTAAAAAAGCAAGGAAGAACAAGTTTAGAACAATGGTTACATAAAGGAACTAACATAAAAAACAAATAGAACAGTGGTCCAGGGGAAATCAAAGATGCCAATTATAGGCATGCTTCAATCAGGGCATGCATCTTTCACATAGGGGTTTCATAATCTTGCAGTTTCTAACGATTGTCAGCTGACAACGATGAGCTTATTAAGATATCCTCTATTGGTTTTGAAAATGGCTTTGAAAAAAGCAAACATTTTACAACATACTTAAAGCTTTTTCGTCTGACACTCCTCAGAGCATAAAACGTCATAAACGTCATAAATATTCTGACGTTTTATGCTCTGAGGAGTGTCAGACGAAAAAGCTTTAAGTATGTTGTAAAATGTTTGCTTTTTTCAAAGCCATTTTCAAATTCTGTACCGCAAAAAAATTGTTCTATTGGTTTTCCTAAAACTAATGGACTGATAAAAAAGTTACGGACAATCAACTGCTATGAAAGGAAGTTTCAAATTCTCTTGCTGGGTTGAAATCAGTTGCTGCTTACCCACTGATCTCAGTGTGCTTACCATATTATGCAATTCAATTCATATCTCAGTGTGCTTACCATATTATGCAATTCAATGCATCACTAGATTTACACAGCAAACTAAAAAAGGAACAGGATTTTTTAACTTAGCTGGCTGGAATGGTATATAATAACTGCTGAACCAATGACACTAAAAACCCCACATATGATACCAGCATACATGAGCCTAAAAGTGCATTGGGCAGGTCCACTGGGAATGGGCATATCACAAGAGCATTGGGGTAAAAAAGCATGTTTTGAAAAGAACAGTTGTTATATCAGATTACGGAAATAACTTTTATGTGCACAGAATCAACCCTGCAAATGCTTTCTGGTGTTACTGATATTGAAACCGAATTTCAAGCATTATGAAGCATGAAAGGCTCTATAATGGTGCAAAATGGGATCTAAGATGCCACAATTTTAAGACAAGCACTTAACATATCAAGGCAAACTAATTCTACAAATTTCAACAGGAAATATATATAGATAAAATTTTTTTAGCTACCAAATACAACATAACAACTAGAACAAAATGATTGCTTTATCAGACTTTTAAACCAACAGAATTGCAAAACTACACTATACATGAAAATTTTGATTTAACATAACCTAACATACGAAAGTAATCTAAGATTACAAAGATAATATAAGCAATGTGTTAAGTGTACAACACCAGAATAAGCTGAAATCCAGTTAATGTTTGAACGCTAATATACTGCAGGATACTAAGTACCATGATACAATTATCTTGTAGGGTGCATTATTTGTCATTAATATACTGCTTTTCTTACCTGAAACTCACATGGAAATAATTAATGGCATTGCAGAAAACATTTACTGCTAGCAAAAATGTTATCAAGAACAGCATTACAGACATTGGCAAGGATGCCTTTAAATAATTCACAAAATGCATCAAGGCAAATGTTTTTACAAGGTTGTTTACAAATATTTGACCATGAATTTAGTTGATACAGTAGCTGTGTCTCCTATATTCACATAGTTAAGAAAAAGCGGTTTAAAATCAATATGTTTTAAAGAAGGTATGGAAATGATTCATTTCGGCCACTAGACAATTATTTCCCATTCAATCACTTTAAAAAAACATAGAAAAACTTTTTGTAACTGATAAGGCATTCTAGTTCATGTTATCTTATGTTACATCTTAATTTTTCTTAGATTATGAAAGGAGTGTACCTGCCAGAGGTTAATAGCAAGATACAGATACACAATCCTTTACAATATATAAATATATATTGATATTTTGCTGTAATTTCACATGCCACCCCATCTATAACAACAGATAATCATACTTTGCAAATGCCTGCATGCCACTGTTAGTTTAACCCAAAACAAATAGGTTTAGTGAACAACATATCTACATGGTAGATGTAACTGCATGAAAGGGTGCGAAGAATAAAAAAATTACTACCTTATACATTAATTTGTACCAACAAAAGACATAAATTACAATTTCAACACTCTATATGAAAGATAGCTTTAGACACTAAGAAAGTCTGATATATTTTATATGAAAGATTTTAAAACCCAAAATGGCAATCTGAATATTTACAAATCAAATGATTATGATTAAACATATCTACTCAGTTTTCAAGTGACAGGAGTAAGAGGATCAGGAATAGAAACTTTCTTATGCGTTGGAGCAACAAATCACTTATGTTATTATATTTCATTACAGAGAAGTACCGACGATCAGACTAAAAACATGTGGCAAAAAGTAAAACCATTCCTGAGTCTCTTACTGTCAATCACTGGACAAAGTGAGAGCAGAAATATATGAATTTGAATTTATAATTCAAAAATAGCATCCAAATATCTATATGTATTACCTGTGTTTTGTATATTACATACCCACCAGGACTTGCATGATCTGGTCGAGGTCATCAAAGAAGGAATCTCCTTTTTTCTTGTCCACTTCAGCAGCACAACTCATGGAAGGCAAAGCAAAGTGCACAGCATCTGCCCCTTTACCCCAATCATGTTGCTGTGGGGTCCAGGCCATGAAGTCAAAATCATAAAGGGTTATATCTATATCGTGGAAAAATGATTCAATGTCTGTCAAGTTTTCAGATGAAGGAGGGAGAGAAATCATTGGCAGCTGAAGCTGGCTGCAATCTTCCCAGATCTTCATGTCAGAGCCAAGTGTGTGGAAATAATTTTGCTTGTCGGCGTGCTTTTTTGTTAACTGAGACTGACCCTGTTTTCTGTGATCACCGATGGCACCAAACTTATTTGGTTCTTTGTTAGGTGTCTCTTGAATCACAAAAGCTTCATTATCATTGTTGTTGTTTGATGAAATTCCAGTACCAATGTCTGCAAAACTGGCTCTTATTTCATCTGGATTTCTAGATTCATCAACAAAAGCTTTGGCCTCTCTTTTCGTCCAGTCTTTAAATTCAGCTTCAATTGATCTGCCATAAAGTGGGTATAAATCTTCATTTTTCAAAACATTCATTTGTGATTCTTCATCCATTTCTTGTTCTATTTTATGTACAGTATTTGTAATTAGTATTTGTCTGAGAAGAGGTGGCTCCTTTTTGCCATAGTCTTTTTGTAATTTGCATATTGACATGTTAAGTATTGTTTGTCTTTGTGTAAGCCTTTCATTGTCATCTACATCAGAAAGCCTTCGCTTTGATCCTCGGCTGTATAAATCGTCATTCATATTTGCAATATTCAATGTGTGTTTCTATAAAGAAAACATTTTATCAAAGTTAAAGCAAAGTTGCAGAATAGGCAATATATACATATTTATCAATGTGAAGGTTGAAAAACAATTTGGCTCTGTCTTGTTTTCAATAACAAACTACCTGAAGAAACTTTAAAATCACTTTTAACATTTCAGTCAAAATGTTTAACACTAAATTTAAAAATATATTTGATGCATGCACACAACATAAAAGTTAATCTGGTGCATTTGCTATACTCTGTTTTAAGGCTAAAACTCCCACAACCAACCCCTTCATCAATTTAGTAACAAAAAATAGGAATACCAAAGGTTCAAAATAGTGCCTAAACATCACTATCAATCAATTAAATAAACGGGTTCTTCCGCAAAATCAGTATGGCAATCTTTTGGAGAGCCTGACCAAGGGGCTGTGATATGCGCAAGCGCGAGTTCTTGTGGTCAACTTGGTTTGCTTTGGTATTCGGTTTCATCAAATTTCGACATCACTTGCCCGAAAATCAAGTCTTAGTGAAGCTTTCCCGTGTTTCACTCTAATTGTAAATACTTCATTATCAATTTAGTGAATAAATCACAATGGCTGGCTGAGTACCACATCAGGTTTTCTTTAGTACTAAAATTTGAGTCGATATCTGAAACTGGTTGACAAGGTCGGCATCCATCTTTGCGATAAACATCGCAATGAAAAGAGCAAGCAGGAGAGAGTTTGGCAAAATACAGACGATTCTGACCTTGGAAAGCTATCTCATAATTCATGTCTAAAAGGCAAAAGGGTTCGAAATACATTTTTGTACAATACTACTCCATGAACTCACCAAGCATTTAACTTCCAACTTTCCAACTTCGTCCTTCCCGTCAAAGGCGAGTCTCGACGAGCAAACAACCACAGATAATCCAATATTGATTGAGTGATACGCATGTGCGGAGCGATAACAATTGTATCAAAAAGAGACCGCTGAGCATGGCGATCAGCTGGCTCTTATTTACTAGTAACTTCTTTCACCGAATCTCAATTTACGTCACTAACTAATTCAACTCAACTCAATGGTTTTAGATCAACACGCTAAAGATGTTTTAGCCCAAAATATTGATATTTGCATCGCTTTGGTGATCTTTTTGTCAAGTATTCAAGTGAACTATGTATTTTGAAAACACATTATAAACGCAAAAGTGAGGGCTTGACAACAACTTCCATAGTAGAGGTATTCGAGAGGGAGGGCTTACTGGATGTCACTTGTCAGTGATAGGAAGCCATACATAGCCCCCTTAATCTAGTTACATTTTACGTGCCCCTCTCTGTATCTCTCGTCCATCCGTGACGCCGTTCCAAATAATCTTCGAAACTGAACATAGAGGCCCATAAAGGTTGAACATCTAGTCCAAGTCCAAGCATCCTTGGTTTAACTGGTGAGAACGTGAGAAAAAATCCTTTACGGTTCAGAATTGAATCTCTGCAACAATCCCTTTTCAATAAGAACTCTTTTTCAAATCTTCACTTTCTAATCCCCTCATTTTTAGCCTGCGCGCAGCCTCAAACTTCTATCCCGAAGGGATAGAAATGTTTGAGGCTGCGCGCAGGCTACTCATTTCAAGAATAAAGATGAAACAGACCCCCTTGGGAGGCGTGTCCAGAAAACCTCTGGCAAAGGAGTAGCTTTTCTTTAAATCTAGGAAAATAAAACGTAGAAAAAGGGGTACCTTTAGGAATTCGAAAAAATCACTGAAATAGGGTGTTTTTTACAATCAATCTAGGCCGGGTTCCTCGTTGCTGACAATATCAGAGCACCTTATGCATAAAATCAAATGTGTGCATGTGATTTGCTTGCCCATAATTCTTAATATGAAATCCAAAGATACTTTAGAAATATTTATTATGGGGTTTGTCTTGTTTGTGAATAAAAAAAGCGATACAATACCATTGTCGATGTTTCTTTTATTCTGTTTTAATCGTGATTGTGGATTTGCACGCTTTTTATTTTATAAGGAAAAACTTTATAAAAAAAATACATGTAAAAGACAGAAAAAACTGTTAAGTAAAATCTCTAAGCAACTTTCCAATTTTGAATATTTTTATCATAGCAATCAACAATCAAGAAGTAAAAAGCCGATTACATCCATTTGGAGTTGAAAATCACATAAATTAGCTATGGAGTGTTTCATTGCGTAATTTCGAGCGTTTCCTGTTTCTTCTTGGTTAGATTTTTCCTTTTTCTTCTTTTTCATAGATCAAATGTCTTTATACTAGTCTTCTTTCTGTTTTTTCACCTTGTTTCTAGCTACAGATTAAGAATCTTAAGACAGTAATACAGGATTCTAATGCACTTTGTATAACTTTCAGGGCACCAGATGTGCAGTTTATATCAAGGAACATTGAGTACTACAATTCGATAAAAAGAGGTCCAAAAATGGAACTGAAGTTGGCCATGAGCTAGGTTCCACAAAAAAGCGTGTAGCTGCATTCGTATACTGGTTAAGGTCGATTGAAAAACCATATACCTCTGCTATAGTGTCGTGGAGTTTGAAAAAATAACACTGTAGCCAAAGAAATTTGAAGGCATCATGCACATCTTCCTTAAAAACCTTTCTGTTTTCGTAATTAACTGTGCTTCTGTTTAGCGGTTTTCCGCTCCAAATCTTAATCTAAGTTATTAATCAGGAAGTGGTTTGAATGTGATCTGGGGCGTGGTTAAAGAACATCAGATCTTTCGTCAGAGATTCCTTCTCTCCTCCGTTACCAACTTTCCGGTCGAAACAGCTCACAATCTGCTATGGATTTGTAACCGCCTTACCACCTTTTTCTTGCTTTCTTCCTCTTTGAAAAAGAATCGTTATTCTTTCGCTGGTGCGGAAAAGTTATGTTTCAAGAATGAATCACTGATTAGATGAACTAGAGTATACACGCTTTTGCCCCCTGCTTAAGGGTTTTCATATTGTATATATATTCTATGTATCCTGCTATGAAACATTGAATTTTAATATAATATCAACCGGAGGCATAAACATGTCGTACCCTGGGTACCAGACTCACTGTGTAAAATCTAGATTTTCTAAATCTAAATTTTCTACAAATAACAACGCAAGAACTTGAATTCTGGATTTCTACATTTCTTTTAAATATAGCTTTCTTCATATTTCTTTCATTATGGTTTAGCATATTTCTCCCTTTTCCCGCTAATCTGGAAACTTCTTTTTGGGAAAGCTCTATCCTGCACTTCTTTTTTTGGAAATCAGTTTGATTAAAGTAGTTTTACCTATGTTCAGCGTTTTATTTAGAACCTGTTTCTTTACCCAATCTATCCACCTTTCAAGGCTACCCTTTATAATTGCCTTAGAGCAATGAGGTGAGGTTGAAAGTCAATTGACCTCTAAGATTCTGTCTTTTAAATATTATCGATCAAATATTTGAATATATAATTTAAATATAATATATTATATATATTAAATAATTTATTAAATATAATAAAACATGATATATAATAAATATAATAAATATACTATATTTAAATATCATTTGAAAATAATTTTCGACCAAACATCACATCGCAATCTCTTCGGAATCAGACGTCTTGGCACTCCTTCGCAACGGAAAGTAAAGTCTGCAAGCAGGCTATCAATACGTCATAATTCTTATTGAAGAGGTATCTCATCTCATTTGCTTTGCTCTAGTACAAAGGAGATTGACGGGGGTAGCATTCAGCTTCAGCTTTCCTCACGACCGCTGATATATAGGTTCGAGGATTCAAGCGGGTTGATGATTCATAAAAATCGAGATCGAGGCTATGTGCGAAGAAAATTTTTGTTGAACTGTCGAATGGGGCAGAGAAGTAGAAAGTAATTCAGAGGAACAGAAATGCTTCGAGAATTTGGTGAATGTATTAGATTGACAATGAGTAGTTCCTATTGAGATATTATTGATGACGCAAAGGATCATTTTTGTCTCTATTGTCACGATTGGTACGAGAAAGCCTAATCAGCGTAATGTCTGAGGTGTTAGGCCCAGTTGCAGCCATTGTTTTGGCATTGCTTGCTGTTGGATACTTCGCACAAAGTAGGCTACCACCACCAAAGCCTGTAATAATTGGAATTGACCTTGGGACAACTTTTTCTTGTGTTGGTGTTTATCACGCAATTAGTGGAAACGTTAGTGTCTTAGAAGACGTAAGTGGGAATAAACTTGTTCCTAGTGCTGTCTACCTTGGAAAACAGCCACCGTTAATTGGGTATCCTGCTTTGGAACTGCGGGAATTGTACCCAAATCTAGTGGTATATGATGCCAAAAGATTCATTGGTAAAAGGAACATAAGAGAAAGTTCCATTCAAAGACAACAAAAACTTTACCCATTTAAAATAAAACTAGACGATGAAGGAAAGGCAGTATTTGCCCTTGTGGTAAAAGACAACGTCAGCTATTATCAGCCTGAAGATATAGGGGCCTTTATATTAAGTAAATTAAAAAGGACTGCTGAAAAATTAATTGAGAGAAAAATAAGCATGGCAGTAATTAGTGTCCCAGCAGAGTTTAATTCCTTACAAAGAAACGCAACTGTTGAAGCTGGAAGGAGGGCTGGCTTGAAAGTAATGAGAGTTATTAATGAGCCTACTGCCGCAGCTTTAGCCTATGGCCTGCATAAGAAGAAGGGGATCTCATATGTCTTGGTTGTTGATTTTGGTGGTGGCACTTTTGATGTTTCTTTGTTGAATATCCAAGGTGGAATGTTCTACACTATGGCAATGGCTGGCAACAACAGGTTGGGAGGACAGGACATTAATCAGAATCTCGTGGATTACCTTGTTAATGTTGTTACAAAAGAGATAGGGCTTGAAAAATTAGAAGGACTACATCTGCAGCAAGTTAGAACTGAAGTTGAAAACGTAAAAATAAATCTTTCTAATTCAGATTGGGTTGACATAAATATGAATTTTAAGTCCTTAGCCAAAGATGGGACAGACTACAATTTTAGCCATAGAGTAACCAGATATATATTTGAGCAGATAAATCAAGACGTTTTCAAGAAAATTTTAATACCTATCAAAAGAGTGCTGAAGGAGGTTGAAATGAATGAAGATGAAATAGATGAAATTGTTCTTGTTGGTGGCTCCACAAGAATCCCTAAAGTGAGGCAGATCATCCATAACTTTTTTAGAAAGAAGCCAAATATTGCAGTGGACCCAGAGTTAGCTGTTGTCAGTGGAGTGGCTATTCAAGCTGGAATACTTGGTGGCATGTGGCCTTTGAGGGTTGCTGTTGTTGAGCTGCCTACAAGTAATATTCAGAAAATTGAAGTTGGTGAAGAACTATAAAAAAAACCAATGATATTAATTTTTTGCTTGTTATAGATAATATTATGTGGTGAACCATTCTCATTAGAATTCTGTAAATATGCATTTTCACATCCTTTTATTGTTCACACATAACTACCATTTTTTAAATGTATTTTAAATACTCTTTGTTGTTTCTAATTGCACTGCACATTAACTCATATCCATGGAAACAATTTAGTTTAAGTTAGTTGTGATTTTCAGTTAGTTAGGATCAAGGAATGAAATTGAGATGGAGAAATGAAAGATTTGTTTATTAATTTGAATTCTCAAGCGGTGAGTTTGTTCTATTTATTTTATGTTTAGAGTTCTCTTAACAAATCTCTATAATTGGTGACCACGAGGTGAAAATGCTTATTTATAGAATTCTAATGAGGATGATTCACCACAATTATACGTAAATGTTTTGAAGGAAGAGGAAAACAGAAAAGAGAATATTATTTTACAGGCATTGCTTTTTGCAACTTTTGTTTGTTTTTCTCAAGAAAGTGGAATTGGAAGACATTTATTTGAATGTAAAAATACGGTTTTAGTGGAATCAAATACCATAAAATCTTTTTGTGTAGATTGCAATGTCCTCTAGCTTTATAGATCATCTAAAGAATATAACACAAGGCATATGCTGCAAATGGTCATAGCATTATTTTGCATCCTTTTTTATTTGCGATCTACATGCATCCATATCCCTATTTCGTAAATTTTATTATATAGAAATCTGTATAAGATCTGAAACAGGACTGTCACCAGCTATTGTACCCAAGGGGAATGCTCAGTTTGCATTTGCAGACAAAGTTGTTAAACCATCCTTTATTTGCAGATGAATCTAAAAAGTTGCCAACAAAGCACCCCTAGATGGTAAAATAATACTAATAATCATTTTCCAATGGGGGATATCACATCCCTACACACTCCCATAGCCAAGACTCTGATCTGAAACATCTGAATAATGGCTTTCCAGACCCATTTATGGAGTTTCTTGTCTTCCTGAGGATGCTGTCATATAAAGAATCCAAGGACCTAACCTAGGCCAAATGCCCAGTGTTCCTCCGCTGATATTTGCTTTGGCGACCAACAATTAAACTAAATAACTCTAACCCAGATAGCAAAATGCAAACACCAGTTAAGGGAACAGTAAACAAGTTACATAATAATATGATGTCATGTCCGTGACAAGCATTTCCCAAAAAGAGAGTTATCAAAACAACAGCACCAGTTAAATTATGAAGTACAAAAATTAATCAAATCATCCAATTAAATATATTGACAAAGATCGATGAATGCAGAAGCCCTAAAATGTTACCTGATTTCCAGATTCGTTAGCAAGAGATGTAATTGATTTGCCCTGCAGTCACAGTGGAATCGATGATGAGCTTTTTCAGCCCTTTTAGGAACCTTGTCTGATTAAAAACTCTTTAAAATATTCACAACAGGCCCTCCGATGAGAACTTTTTAGCAAAATCCTTTGCTTTGAGCACCGAGAGGTTCCGGGGGCTCTGTGGCAAAACCGAAAGACCACGCCCCGTGCAAGCGGATCAAGCAGAAAATTTTCGGGACCACGCCCTTAAGATTAGCTGAAAATACATTCCAGAATATTTCTTGCAGTCATTTCTTTCAATCCCTTAAAACGTTATACTATTTTAAGGCACGCTACGTTTGATTAATTCCCATCTTAAGAAATAATCAATTAGGCCTTTTATAGGGAAGGAGTCATTCGACTTTTTGAAAGGGGACCCCCTTAGTGCCTTGGTGGGGAATGGATGAAAGCAAATTTTCTCGGCCACGCCTTTCAGACTCTTGCAAAAGCCTTTTTAGTATTTTTCATTTACTGTATTTCGAAATCTTTTCGCAAGCAACTTTCTCAAGCAGCTTTTCCATAACGGTGGCTTTTTGCAAGTGCGAATATCGAAATCGATCTGATCAGTCTAAAATGAATGAATCCACCACCCATACCCTTGAGGTTTTTCAACGGATTTTGAGAAAATAGAAAATTTCTTGGTCTGGGAATTTCTCACTGGGGACAGTTTTTACCTGGCTAAAAACTTTCACTTAGAGGGGTGCCAGTCACCAATTTACCGACAAAATAGGGCATTTTGACGCAGTTAATTTTATCTGTTAAAGAGTACATTATGGTCAGTCAATCAACGCTTCGATTTTAGCGTTGTATTGCAATTACTCTAGAAGTCAAGTTTTCAGCAATGAGATTCACGTTTAAATAGAACCTTAGTTTGTCTCACAGGCAGGGCAGAAATTTTTTACCACGCCCTCTAGGTTATCTTCAAATGCATTTCAGAATATTTTTTTCAGTCATTTCATTTCTTGAAATCGTTTAGAACGTTTTACTATTTTTAGGCATACCTTTGCTACGCTTCATTAATTCCATTCTTAGAATTGAATTCATTACTTTATGGGGCCCCCTAGACCTCGAGGCCCTTTGGAACTTTGTCTCCTTGCTTTTCCCTCTCGGTGGTCCTGCTCACAGGGGCTTTCAGTACCTCCAGGCCCAGGGGGCACTTGGCACACAGACATACGGGGGTCAAATGGTCAGTCCGATATTTTTGGGTCAAATGTTTGCCAAAAGTGATATTTTTGGGTTAAATATTTGTCAGAAAAGATATTTGTGGGTCCTGCGAAAATAGTAGATACAATTCTGATATTTCTAGGTATCAAATTTAGAAACACTGATATTTTTGGGTATTCGTGAGATTTCCATATCCGAATCAAATGTATTGTTCATGGATCTAATTCGCTGAGGTTTATTTTACCCACTTCAAGTCACGTCGGGAGTCATGTTACCATACTCTTTGGAAGTTTTAATGCTACTTTTTGTACTCACTGTAAACTTTATATGGCACGAAATATGCTAGAGAATTCAAACGATGTCTTACCAAGGGACTAAAAACATCAAAGACACCTGCAGCACTGGGGCAACAGGGGCAATCGCCCCCTGCCCTCTGCCAACAGATGCAGCGGGGGCAAGATGTGCCCTTCTAATTGAAGTTATTCGTTATCATCATAAATTTTCAAGGAATTTTTTTTGAAATTATATACATCAAATAACAGCTCACATTTGCTTTTTCAGTCATCTGGGAATTCACTTTTCAAAAGTGTTCAAACCATAGCTGGCCTGTAAGGAAAACTTCTGGATCATGCAGCTCTTGGTTTCTTATAAATGGGCTTCATATAAAAATGTATGCTGCTAAATCATATCTCTGGTGCCCTGTAAGCAAATTTTGCCCCCATGCCCTTTTAGGTTTTAGCTGCGCAAATAGCACTCAACATTTATACACCGTAAGGAAACGCATGGCAGTAGCAGCCAAATTTTAGAATGAAATCCCAATAATGTAAATGAGTGCACGATGTCGAATTGTTTATCTCCACAACATTTTTAATAAAACGCTTCATGTTATCAAGAAAAATTTCGGTGCTACGAAAGAAATGTAAATGAAGAACCCATTATCGATTCTGAGCATGTGCGAGAAATTGATATTATTTTATATGATTTATGTTATGATATGATATGATATGATATGATATGATATGATATGATATGATATGATATGATATGATATGATATGATATGATATGATATGATATGATATATGATGTGAATGATATGATATATGATGTGATACTAGATATTCTCAGTTTCAATTGTTGTGAATATCCAAATTTGAATTGCAGATCTTATAAATTACAGCTATGTCATATTATCTCACCCAAAATTCCAATTTGTGATATTTTTGGGTACAAGATATAAGTAAAACTGATATTTTTGGGTCTTATTGAAAATGAGCTGATATTTTTGGGTTGCCTTTAAAGTTCTTGGACTTACCCCCCACCCGTATGTCTATGTGCAGAGTGCCCCCCCCCCCTGGGCCTCCAGGACCAGCGTTCAGCGCTTTTCAATAAACGTTGACCCCTTCCAAATATTTTAGGAGGAAATTAGGTGGCCCTGGATACACCGACAGCTGCCAACAGGGAGTCATTTTAAATTTTATTGGGGGAAATTTGCCCCTTCGTGACAAGCAAACCTATTTTCAATTGCTGGGGGCTTTGGGGCCCACTGTTTGAGAAGTAAACCAGCCTCTTTAGCCTCTTGGTGAAGTCGAGGACGGGGTTATTTTCAAAATGGCCGCCAACCAGGCTGAAAGTCAGCTACGCATTTCATGGCACGACAGTGCATGGATTCCGAGACTAAATGGAGAAAACGTGCTAGAATACTTTTGCCAGAGGACCAATCCTTTCTATGATAGAACTTGCAATAACGAAGTGGTCAAAATGCAGCGTCTAGACCCGGCTCAACTGCAGTGCGTATCAATCAGTTTTAGGCCGTTTCAAAATTTGTTGGAACATTTTGCTTATTTTCGCAAGCAGAGCGCATCTTTTTACAAATTAAAATAATAATCTCCCAAATAAACTCCTTAAAATTTACTTTCTGGTTTCATGCCAAGAAAGGCCTTACCAGGATTGCAGGCGTGCAGTGAATCACACCGCGTACCATCCAGCACCAGACAGATTCATCCCCACATTCATCCCTACATTCATCCCCACATTCATCCCCAGATTCGAAAACTTGCTTGTAGTGCTCGAAATGTGCCAAGATGACAATGATTAGTAAGAAAATATGTTATTTCCGGAGTTTTCATTCAATTTTCACTCGATAAAATCTTTTCCTTGCCAATGTATTATTGGTGTTTTAAGCGGGCCTAGACATGCGTATTTTCCCATCAGTGGTGGCCCGGAGCCGCAAAAAATAGACAAGCGGTAAAATAGGAGAATCCGGTCTCAGGCAGAAAATAGACAAGTCCCTAAAACATCAATTTTTTTAAATAATCATTTATTATGTTATTTAAAGAGCTTTATCCCATTAGATAGCGCTTTTTACGATTAAGAACAACATTTTAGGCCTTGATAGGAATTCAACAGTTTTAAAAATGAGATTCTCTAATGTTATTACTAGCAGACTTATCGTAAAACTACCCTGTCATTTTATGTCAGAATGATAAATCAATCGTTTTCTAGTTATACTTGATTGAATTTAACAATAAACGTTCCATATTTTATTTAAAAAGAACAAAAACAAACCTTCCTTTGGCAGGCCTCCATTCACTGCTATTGTCATCCCTCTCAAGGATCTGAAGTCCCGCGCCGTACAAGATAGTTCATGATAACCAAACAATTTATCATTAAATCTACATTAAAGGCAACATATTCAAATATTGCCACCCTAGCAACAGTTTGAAGCTAATCATGCTTCCATTCGTCCTTGCTTGCATTTCCCCTGGAGAAATGCATACATTTTAGCAAGGATCTCCGTGGCTCCAAACTGGCAGAATATAGACAAGCCAGCTCCAACTTTTAACACAAAAAGTTATTTGCAGAATTTCTTCTCACCTCGCTGGGATTTCAATTATAATCGAGTTTTTAAGCAATTCTTTGCAATATTTAAGTCTTGAACAACCTTTTTATTTATTTCAAACAAAATATTGCCATGATAGTAACTCCCGCCATCACAGTGTTCCTTTTTGCTGCACACCCAATGCTGAATAAAAGTTTTGCTTTCTTTGCTTTGGAAAGCCTGAACAACGCAGTCAGCAAACGATTCTCGGCTTGGAAATTTTTCCAGTACACGCTTTGCACAGTTCTGAAATGGAATTCAGCATCAAATTCAAATGTGTTCGCTATTATTTCGTTTCTAAAGCCAGCTACCTTTTGTTTCTAAAGCTAGGCCAATTAGCAACATTGGAAACAAAGTGGTAGAAAAGTGACATTATCTAGTAGAAATTGATGGAGAACCGCATATTACTACACATTCTCTTGAATTATTGTCATTGCGACACATCTCAAGCTGTTTAAGACCCATATTATGCAAAACGCGAATCTGGGGATGAATCTGAAGAAGAAAAATATGCATGCCTAGGCCCGCTAAAGACATCAAGAATAAACTGTTACGAAAAAGCTTCTGAGTGGAAATATAAAGGAAACTCCGGAAATAACATATTTTCTTACTAATAGTCGTCATTTTGAAACATTTTGAGCAGTACAAGTGAGTTTTCAAATCTGGGGATGAATCTGATCCTGAATGGTATGCCATAATCAAGGGGTGCTATTTGTATTTTAGTATGACAAAGTATTTAGGCCTATGAACATTTATCTGAAGAACAAAATTTGAAATTTTTATCCATTTTTGAATTGTTTATTTTGCACAAGGGTATGCACTTTTTTTCAAAGCTGTTTGGCAAATGGAATATATTGGATTTTTAATAGAGAGTGCGGGAAAATAACCGACCCAAGCGAGGCTCGAACTCACGACCCCTGACTTTGTACGTCAAGATTTTATTAGAACGGAGCACAAAAACGACACCAAAGCAGAGATTTAAAAAAGATGTTAAAAGAGAATATCCACAAAAATAAAGGTTTTCTATGTGTGCTGGATCAATGTGATCAAAACCACAAAATGGGTATTTTCTACTAAGATTCTGTGAGCAGTTTTTAGCGCACAATAATGGATTTTTCCCCCTCTGTTTTTGTTTGAAATTGGAGCAGTGTGAACAGGTGCTGCATATCCACAAAAATAGATAAAAATTAAAATGGAGCAGTGTGAACATTAAAAACCACAAAACGGGTATTTTTACTCAGTTTCTGTGAGCCATGTAAATGCAACAAAAACAGGGCTTTCAAAAATGCTCAAAACAAATTTACAAAGGGGAAGCTGTGTGAATCCGATATGCTTCATACTGTTTTCACATTTTCAAATAAAATGCTCTAAATTGGGTTGAAACCAATCCTATGCTTGTAAACGGTTTAATCTAGTATAAAAAATTAAAACAAAGGCAAACTCCCTGCAGTATAGCGCTCTGGTGCTCTTTAGCATTACCATGTAAACAGAGCCCTAAATCCAAGATGGAATGAAAACAATAGCATGTAAACATACAAAATTCTGTGTCAGATTGGAAAACTAAAAAGAATATAATTTGGAAACATTTAATCAGGGCTTAAGAATGTTTCCTTTAAAGGTGATAACTCATAGTCTCTATAAGGCGTGTGATAAAGCACACTTCTTGGGGAAACCAGCTGGCTTGAAATTCATGCTTCAGAATCTCAAATTTAAGAATGTTTCTGGGCATTTTGTAGAAACATGGTCAATTGAAGTGTTTGTAGTACTTTCGTTGGGTTTATAAGATGCAGATTCTGGTTTTGATGTGAATCATGTTATTGGCAATACTCGGAATATCACTTTTCATGATATTGCTGTTCCATTGTAGTTTGATGACTGGGGTTGAATATGAATTGATCCATGGTCAAGATCCAATTCTTTATATCATTAGAAAGCAGTACAGACATTCTTCAGATCAAGGTACCATGTTTGCTATTACACAAAATTGTTAATTGCTATTACTTAATTTCTCTGCTTTTTAGCAACTGTTGCACTAAACCCCCCTCAGCTTACCCATTCCACAGTCCCTGATAATGGTTACCTTTTGGTGCATGGCTCAGTCTATTTAAAACAAATGTACAGTTGAACATTAATCGTTCAGTTCTAAGGATGTTCATTATTGATTTTTTGCTTCTTTCTTTGAATTTAATTAGTATTTGATGAAAGTCCTGATATTGTAAATTGTGGAAATAGCAGAGTCTTTGTTATTGTTTACAGCTTGCATGAAATAGAGTCTGTAGTTTGAAATCTATAAGTAAAACTAACTGGTTTGTGCTTTGTTTTTATAGTGACTTTTCTGTCTTTATACTATATTTTGGCTGGTATTGTTTATCAAGCACCTGATTTGGGATCAGTCTTGAACTCAAGGCTTGTAAGTTCCTAGTATCCATTTTATGTCTTTGTGTATCAATTATAAGTAGCAAATGCTTAATAATATATTTTTATCTAAATTTCTATTCTTTACTGCCAATCTCAGAAGCAGAATTTTCTACATGATTTGGAGATAAAATTTTGTTGCTTTGATTCTCTAGATTTTGTTGGCAGAATTTTTAGTTAATGATTTTTGCGCTTTTCTGCCCTTTAAACAAAACTTTTGTTTTAAAGCTTTCAACAGTGCACAACCTTGAGCTTGCTTTTGATGAAGGTAAGGTTTCAAGCCATATTTTTCATGTTTTTGCAAGACGTGACGTGAGGTATCAGCAAGCAATGTACCCTTTTAGATCAAATAAAACTTCATCAATTAACTTTTTAAAAAATGTGAAACATTCGTGTAAACTCAGTTATGAACTCATTTGTGAACTCATTTGTGAAACAATATAACATGTAAATATATTCCTGATTAGATAAATTTATTTACGTAAATTCAACTTTATGATAGAATTAGCGCTTGTGTTTAGAAAAGAGGTTATTTCTTTTCTCCTGCTAGAATATTGGACATTCCTATTTTTACTTCCTATTGGGGTAAATATTCCCTCTTCTGCATCTCACCAAGAGTTCACAGAGCTTAGCATTATTTAGCATAGTTTACAGTGGTCATCTGTTAATCTGGCTTGTGATCTGTTAATATGTGTTGATTTCATAGCTCTCTTAGGACATTACTACTTTTAATTTTAGTTTTTGCTCTTATTTCCAGCTTTATCATATTCAAAATATACACCGTCAAAAGGTTATTGGTGGGACTTCAATGGTAATTATGGTCCATTTTTTATGCCTTACATCTTTTATTACCTATCAGAAATGAAAGAAATTTTAAAGTTCTCCTTTTCATAATTAAGATGCTTCGCTTGATGACAATGCTGCTCCAAAAAGGAAACAGAAGAAGAGTGAGCCAAGCTCCTTGTTTCAGAGATTTCGTGTTGATCAGCTTCTAGGTGATTTCCTCAACAAATTTCCACCAAAGGTTATACAGGTGAGCTCTCTCTAGGCTTTCTGTTTTCATATTTTGAATTTGTTTGTTTGGCCAGTGCTTCAGATGAAGGTTGCACATTAGCTCTATATGACAGATTCCCCTTCATTCTCCATGCAAGGTCAATGCACTGTGAGCATCTTTCTTCATTGTTTCTTTTCAGCTAACCCACTATGTAACAAGAAACAGATTTTCTCATTGTGTCCTAAAACTCCGTTACAGGATGACCTGCATCTCAAATGCACCAGAATTGGCTCTATACCGGACTACCCCGCACCAAAATCAATGAATGCAAAGTGGCATATTCATAATGCGGTGTTTCCTTTGGACCCTACTAAACGCAGCCCTGGGATTGAATAAGCATTTCACCCTTGGGTGTCACCGAATAAGAGCTCATAGCGGCCCTTAGCTTTTTGATATGAAGAATTTCACATAGACTAAAATCTACTCAGACCAGCAGTATGCCTCGAAATTAGGCAGCTCGACCTCCGCACAGCTCCAAAAAACGGGCTCAGGTACCGAAAAAATTGGGGTCACAATGTACTTCAGTATGAATTTTTTCAATTAGAGTGCGATCGCCCAAAATCCCAGTAACAGCTAAAATCCATGGTAATAATGCTTGACCCGTTTGACTACATCTTGTATGTTACTAGATATTGTTTTCAAGTAGGTTGCAAAGTTTGATTTAGTCAAGTAGCCCCACTGACAAATGTCTCTGTGAGGTGATGTCTCTGTGAAGGTGATGTCTCTGTGAAGGTGATGTCTCTGTGAAGGTGATGTCTCTGTGAAGGTGATGTCTCTGTGAGGTGATGTCTCTGTGAAGGTGATGTCTCTGTGAGGTGATGTCTCTGTGAAGGTGATGTCTCTGTGAAGGTGATGTCTCTGTGAGGTGATGTCTCTGTGAGGTGATGTCTCTGTGAAGGTGATGTCTCTGTGAAGGTGATGTCTCTGTGAAGGTGATAATTCTCGACCAAATTCTTGACAGGACACAATTTACTTTTCAATGATTCGTTTAATCAGATCAAAAATGTCTTCGAGTTTAAACGATAATTGAAACAACAATGCTGTGCTGGCTTTTAGAAATGCATGATATCTTTGCATCAGAAGGATTAGTGAAGCATCATAGGGCCTGTGTAAAATAGAATCACGTGGCAGGCAGTTGTATGACTGATCTTTAAATATAAATTTTTGCATAAATTGGTAGTTAGTCGAGAAAAAGAAGCCATCGTGAAATTTTTTTTTGAAAAGCTTAACTCGTTTTCCAGATATAGACGCTCAAAGTTGAGAATCGCCGTAAAAATACGACAATGTTTTTTTCGGAAAAAGTACCGTGACGTATGAAGGGACCATTGCTTCAACATTCGGCGCTATTGTTATACGTTCGCACTGGAATTCGCACGACTCGGTAGAGGCTCGGAAGAGGCGATTCGTGTCGGAATCTCGGTTGTCGTTTTATTTATTTTCCTTCATTGCGATTGATGTCCAGCGGAGGCTTCCAGCCAACATGGAATAGTAGTTCGATAAATCAAAGATGGAAACTTCAACCTGAATGCAAATCCTCATCTTGGCAACGCAGCAAGCTTTTCAAAATGGAATGCTTCACGAATTTTCAGATGTGAATGGATTTCTGACCGAAGGCATTTCTTATCGTCGTCTCATCTCAGGGATTTCCAGGGAGGTGAATAATAATTGATGTCTTACCGCATTAGAAGAAGAATCCCATTCACAAGATGGAAGCTTTCCCGTATATCACAATCCATCCATATCCAGGCACTGCGGAGCAGGGACGGGGGCTGGGGAGGGGGGCTTTAGCTCCCCACTTTTTGCAGAAATGCTATACCAGTAAAGCCTCTTTTTATATGGTTTTAGCCTCCCCCCACTTTGTTAGACCCCCACTTTTCTCAATGCTCCATGGTGCCTGTTATCATTTTACCATGGTTTGGAGGGGGTTTGGGGAAGGTGTGACACACACCCCCTAAGCAATGCAATTTCCCAGGCTTTGAGAAAAATTTTATCCTCTAAATGTAAGATTTCTAATATTCAGTCTCATGAACTGTCCACCAAATGGTTAAAGGTGTCAGGTGTGGTACTAAGAAGAAAAGTACAACAGGGGCTCTCAAGCAAAATGTCATATAAAATAGTACTGAAAGTAGAAGTTTGCTACTTTTTGTACCAACAAGGGGGCATGAGCCTCCTAGCACTACATCCTTGCCAATGATCTGTGCAGTACACCCTTGCCCGAGGTACAGATGTGTAAAATTTTCGAGGGTTTGTCTTCTCAACCCTTAGTTTTCATGTTCTACCATGTTTCGCCTTCAATTTTGGAGTTCTGCCTATTTCATCATAAAACTGATGCACAATTTCAAAATTTTGCCAAATCAATATCCAGGGCAAAAGATCTACTACCCTAAAGAGAATACATGGAATTTACACCCTTGCTTTTAGAAACAGATGTGTCATATCGTCATTTGCAAGAGTTACCACAAAGACCTTGGCACATTGTTCTGTTTTTGTATTAAAACTTTTACAAAGGAGACTATTTTTGAACTTATCAAAATTTTATAGATAATTTGGTCATTTCTATATAAAGTTTGCAAATCCACAGCTACTATTTCAAACTAGTAACAGCATATAGGTAGTTTCTATAAATTTTGCAATAGATTATTGTTTCATGATACTTTTATAAGAACATTTCTCATGTGCAATTTAAATTACAAATTTGCTAGCTAGTTCACTGGCCTGACTGTATATATATTGATAATATATTATTCAATGTAGCTAAGTATTTAAATACAAACATGTATTCATTATTCATTGATATATAGCAGGTTAAAATTCTGACAGCTTAAAGGACCTGACAAGGCCACTGCAATAGCTTAAAGATTCAATACAAAAATTATTTTTAAGCAAGTATATTGAAAAAGATGAAATGTTAATATAATCTCAAATCACTTTTTTGTCTATAGATATAAGAACAAATGTATAATTTTTGAAAAAAGTTGTTTGACTCATGACTAATGGTAGGTTTTTAGTCCTGTCTTGAAAGTTTGTATACTTCCATGTCCATGTCCTTGATTGTCCTGTTTTTTTCTCAATAATTCATGTTGATAAGAAGCTCTTTATCCTGCTGAATCTATTGTATCAATCTGGTATACTGGTTTTGTTTAGGTCTTTCCTCCCGAATAAATTGCGTGATGGCTGTTTTTGGCTATTGCACTGAATGTAGAGCTGATGAAAAAGCGCGAATCTTCTTTTAAAAATCAGAAAACTGGCCTGCCAAAACAGACTGCATCAAAAGCAACGTTCCATTATCCAGACCTTCAACATCCTCATGTCTCTTGTCTCGCTGGCCTACTTTGACAATTTGACTGCTCTGTCAGGCAGATTCGTGCGATATAATACTTCCATATTCGATCTGAAAATCAAGACTGACCGACGATACTTGTCTTTTTATATAGATAAAAGTCTGGCCTTCTAACAAACATGCCGCTGCTAGGCCCTGTTTGCCATTTCGCAACGTTATCGTTGACCCTTTGGACAGCTGATGATACTTGCCGCGAACTTACCGAGGCCGAAAATGCCTGTGACGTCAATCCGAAGATCTCCGAGAACACGGTTGAAAAACAATTCAACTCAATGACCAATTAACAAACGCTAATAACTACAAAACGGCTAAAGATATGAAAAAAATAATAACAGATACGTTTTCAGGAGGTCTGATTTCATCGTATTCGGAAATAAAAATTTTGGGCTGGAGTGGCCCTTTAACTAATCGTTTTGGTGCTCTTCACCACAGTTAAGTTTATCTTTGTTAGTTTTAGTGTAAAAGCTGAGTTGCTTTTATGTATTTGGTCGTCAAACACAGTCTTCTCTTTGGCTACTCTTCAAAGTGGTGCCGTGACCAGTTTTTCTTCGGTCAGCGTGGCCTTAGATCCTCTTCTTGCAACTTCAATTCTAATTTTCATGAATTTTTCAGAGAAAGAAAGTCTATTCCCTCAATACAAAACCTCAGATTCTTATTTGCATCCGTATTTCATTTTGTCTCTTTTTGTTTTAAAGCGTCCACACTTTCGAGCTAGCCACCGGATTTTCAGAAAACAATAGCTACCGGTTTCAATATTGGCACGTAGATAGCATACTCCAAACTGTCACATCGAGTGGTTACTGATTTCCTCGATTTTGAATTACTCAGATACCGTGTTTTCTCTAAAGAACGCCGGGTTGTTTATTACAAACTGCAAATTTTGGATGCGGCGTTCATCAGACGGTGACGTTCAATACAAAATGAGAAGTTTGTCAAATCAAAAATGACAAGAAAAATGCGATGAGAAAAGATAAAATGAATGTCAAGTCAAATCAAGGAATGTCAATATCCCTGCCTCCGTCAGATTCCTCGTCTCTATGAGATAAAAGTTTTCATGGCTCTCGAATAGTAAACGTATAAACGATTCCCTACTTTTTGTTTGGTGTGTTTTCTAATGAACGCCGCTTTTCAAGTTCCGGCGTTCAATAGAGGGCGGCGTTAAATAGAGGGCGGTGTTTTTTCCAAATGGTTGGCTAGAAGTGCGGCGTTTAATAGAGGGCGGCGTTTATCAGAGGGCGGCGTTTATTAGAGGAAATACGGTACTTTGGGATAAAAGATGAATTGGGATTTTATAGTTTATGTTTTTGGAATGGCCCCCTGAAAAGCAGTTCTCGTGGACTGACGGAATCTTGTGGGGGTTTGTAAACAGAAGGACTGTAGTTAGTCAGTCAGGGAGAAATGCATCATTGTTGCAATCGAAATTTAGATCGAAAATTCAAGATTTACAATGAAATATAGTTCTTAAAATTTGACCGGTTTTTTTAAACCTGTGCAACCGGTCTAGATCCGCACCTGGTCGGTTTAATCATGTATGTCGTAGCCCTCAACTTTTATCATAATCAACTTTATAATCCCAATCAAGGAGCAAGTCCTTCCTAGATTAAAATGATCTTTTTTATGAAGTCCTTCCAACATATTTTGCATACCGCTTTTTTCTGACTGTACGCAGACACAATTATGGGAGATTCGACTAGATATAGAACTCACAGAATGACCTATGACATGTGATATTTATGTAAACACTTATAGCTTCCCAATTTAGATTCCGTGTATCTTACGCTCTTCAGTTGTGTCGCAAAGTGCTTTCCTGGGCAGACTCCAACCATCCTTAATATCAACTACTTTTAAACGTTATAGCTTTTAAAAAGTTTTTATAGATTGAAGTCTTGCAGTGTCAACGCATATCTTAATAAAACAGCTTGTTAAAACATATTGGAAGTTGTGAAATACTTTACAAGCTATTTTCCCAGTATCATTGTAGTATATTTATACTACACTGCAATCACGTTGCCTTGAATTGACTAAAATAACAAAATGTCCATCAACAGTTGTGTATCAGTTCTTCTTTTTTCAACAGCCAAGGCAGACCGGTGCTCCAGGTATGACTTTCCGTCTTCACTAGCCAACATTGGGGGAAACTTAGCTTTTAAAATGGGCTTACAAATTGATTTCCCTTAAACTTGAGCTACATTTTGTTTAATTTCATCGTTCGTATGTGATGAATGGCTTTATATTTTTTTGTAAACAATAACCACGTCTAGTAAACACGAGTTTCAGTAAAATCACAATGGTTATTTCTACTCGTTTCTTCATCTAATTGTAAATACCGTAAATCCTCAAATTAGCCCCCTGAGAGCTTATTCATTTTTTCTATTTTTGAATGGGGGCTTTTTCGAGGGCGAGGGGAGGCTTATAAAATTATTGTAGACATTAAGAAGACATTATTAAAATACCTCGTTTATTTAAGTAGGAATTTCTTTATGAGCATTTAATTAATTACTACCAAAAGAGTGAATTTGTTGTGATAATTCGATAAAACGCCATGGGCAACCTCAGATGGCAAAATTCATCAAACGGAAGGGTTCAATTCGAGAATTTACGGTAGCAGTGGGGGCCTATTTGAGGGGGGGGGGCTTATTGACAATCTGTAGTTCTAGGGTGGGGCTTATTCGAGGGAGGGAACTTTTTCGAGGGGGGCGGGGCAATCCGAGGATTCACGGTAATGTCGTTTGGCAAACGATGCACGAGGCCAACACGCACTGATTTGTTATCTCATCACTGGTTTTGTTTCTTTGCTAGAAATCCTAATGATACCTAATCTAATCGTTGAATAACTGTTGTTCATCATTTTGTTTAAAAGAAGACTCAACGAGCTCCAACGCTGAAGAAATTACGGAGCAGGGTAACCAAGGCAAGCCTATCTCGTTGGAACCAACCGGGTCAATGGAACCACCCACAAGTAATCAACCACAACGAGGCAACCAACCAAACACCATTGTAACAAAAAACATAAACAATGATGCTCCCTCGCCGTCACCTGCTCAAGGGACTCCGAAAGCGAGCACATCTTTGGCAGATGTCAAACCAGTGGCATCACCCCCAACCAAAAAGAAAAAGACGTAATACAAAGAAGACATTGGTATAACTTTTTGTCAGAAACGCTTTTCGTAACCAAATATTGTTGGGAGCCATCAATATTCTTACTTCCCAAGTTTAGATTGACTAAAAGAAAACATAACTGGAGAAAAGCATGACAAAAAGTGTTTTGTCAATCGTTCATTTAAGTTTGGACCGTTACATGAAAGCAGATAACTAAAAAAGTTATGTTGAAGTTAGCTCGTTTTGTTGGATTCGCCATATTGGATTGTTTTAGCACATTGAGCTTGCGGACGCGGACTTTGCTGGCATCTTTGCTGTCCACGTCTAACCTAACCGTAGGTTCGTATTCAACATTTAGGTTTGTCAGACAAAATGTAGTGTGGTATGCTGTGTTTCTACTTTTTGGTGCTATTCAGAACATTTTCTTCTTGGAATTACAGGTGTTTTTATGGATGCCATCCCGTCATTTGTCATCTTGACTATTCGCGCAGGCACGCAGAAGGCATTGGATACCGATGTTAAATAGCACCTGATAGAGACGAAGATGAGAGTTGCATTTTACCGCTCATAGGGTCACAGTCACAATCACAAGGTACAAGCGAAGGAAATAACACTTTGAAAGTATTTAATGCTCATAGCCTCAGTTGATTGTGCCAACAATGTTATTTGACATAAAAAAAATCGTTGTATGATTTAAAATCATAATTTAAAAGATGTATGTTATATGAAGCTTGTGATCAAAGAAAAAATTTCAATCGTGAAATCTCTACGATAATAAACAGTCTCGTCTATGGGTTGATAGAATTCAGCAATCCTGTTTTACAGGCCAAATAAAATACAAACCTGTTTGTTGCACTAAAGAGACCTTTATGTATTCACGATAATAAATTAATAATTTTAATGATTCATTTTGAGACCATCATTCATCATCTTAGTATAGATATTTTAAAATACTTTAATAAAGTAATGTTATTTAATAGTCTTTTATCTATTCTGTTAGCGATAGAGATTTTCTTATGCGGCCTATACATATATTAGTTTCTATATTAGAAAAAGTGTCAAAATAATCGTTGAATGTATCAAAGTAAATAGCATTGCAGTGACCTTTGGTTTTGCTAAATCTAAATCTAGACACGTATCAACAACATATATATTTGAATACATACTTCCCTTAATGCCCTGTCAGGGACGACAGTTCATGGGGGATTGCAGATCATGACCATCCTTCTGTAGCTATTGGCGTCGGTGGTTGAACGAAAAAAGTTTTTAAGGTTCCGAAGTATACAAAATGTACAAATAATCTTGTTAAGTTTGTATGTCATCCCTCTGCTGTTGGCATCTTCTTTTGCATTTCATTATCTTCGCTGAAGACAACTTCTTCAGATTGATGAACTTTTTTGTCAGTGTCCTGTATATTTGTTGCACTGTTCTTTAGTGTAACCCTTGAGCCGAGTAGGCTTTGCTTGTCAGTGTCCGCATCTGCTGTGTTTTCATTAACCATAACTATACTGCTTGTGCCTTCCTTGCTGTTTTTCAGATCATTGTTGTTTGCGCTTGTCTTGTCGGCTTCTATTATTTCTCCTTTCTCGGTTATGACGTATGCATCTTCATGTTCGTGTTCACTTATTCTGCTTACCATCGTAATGTTTTTGCCCGGCTCTTCGTTAATCGTTGATTGTGAATTACTTAGGCCCAGGGTAGTCACAGTCTTTTTTCTGATGCTTGATGCAAGTCGTTTTGTTTCACTGATAAGCTCCATACCCCCAACATCTATGAAAGCTTTGCCGCCAATATCAAGTGTCTTCTCTGCTGCTGATTTTATTATTGATCCAACGAGCGCAAGGATGATGGAGAGAGCAGCCAATCCGGTTAGAAGGTAGATCATAACGGAAGCCTAGAATTCGAAATCATAGCTGAACACATTTCTACAAACACATGCGTTTTGATCCACTTTACGCTTCGATCGGCGTTAGCCACATTCGATGTTTATTGCACACCTCATTGTTGCACATACATTCTCTTCCTATTCGTGTTAAAAATCATTCTCTAAAGAAACGATTTCCTTTTGAACAGGCAGGAGATTTACTACGTCAATACAGTGTGCTTGTTAAAAGAGAATACTTTCATATGGTTAAAATTAGTCAAAAGTTCCTCTTGAGAAAATCCGTTTTCGTTCGCATGAAGACAGGCCTGTTTTCATAAGATGCTCAAAATAGCGGCGCAATTTGATGAAGAATGAAACCTCCCAAGTTGGTGTAAGCTATTTTATTGTTGTCACTTTTTAAAGCTATTCTGCTCATCTTAAATTTATTCCGCGATCCTCTGGAGGGCCGTCGCAATATGCGGACAACTGAGATGTGGTATGTTTTTATGAGCAGAATAGACCTTCAAGGATAGGTGCCACCCACGCCCCTTTTCGTGATGGCGCCTTATCCAGGGCCGCCGGGCGCAGGTTTGAGCAGGAAGGGAGGCAAAAGGAATAAAAAGGGCACAAACATACATTTTTTCGTAATATTGGTTATTGCCAAAATAGGACAGCTGACATGGTAATTCAGAAATTTAGAAAAAAATAACAGCGTAAATGGCTATGTCCTCAATTTAGGAGTCATGCACTCTTGGGCATACTTAATTGTATAATTCCTCATGGACGTTGCAGTTTTTCGTTTGTGTAAATCTTTCATCGACGTATGATTCATATTTTCTTTAAAATTCGATTTACCCTTATTTGTTTTTTATTTTTATTGTAATTGGAGATCGCGGCAGGCACACATCTTTCCCCCGTACTTATGGTAGATGCATTATATTCGACAAATATTCCGATCAATTACAACATACCAAAAATAATAATCCCACATTAATGCAATCATTCATATAAAAGTAACAAAAACCTACAAGTTAAACCAAAGATATGGTGTACAAAATTGAGAGGAATTATCGAATTTTAGGCTCTATCTATTTGAAAGCAAATTTTCAGTCTTTATGTATTTCAAAGCGAGTTTTCAGTCTCTATTTCTTCCAAAATTTAGCAAGACAAAAAATAAACATCTAAATTGTAATCTTTAGGCCAATTGAATTCTCCAAGATTATATACACTGCAAAGTAGTACGCTGGTCGACCTGGAGCTGTCTAGTTTCCATACTGCTTGACCTGATGACGTAATTAGTTTACCTAACCCTAAACCTAAAACTAAACCTAAAACTAACCCTAACCCTTACCCTAACACTAAGCCTTCACTTGAAATAATTAATCATACTAATTTATGACTATTAATCATGCTTATTTATGACTATCAGGTCGAGCAGTACATCAACAGTTTGGTTGCCTGCGTGACCACTAGTCCCAGAATGCAAAGCGCAAATTCGCAATGATGACGTAATTAGGGTAAAGGTCTATTCCGGTCGACCTACCGTATTCTCTCTGATAAGCGCTCCCTTTTTGAGCAAAATCTCCAATAAGCGCTCATTGGAGATAGTATTGGAAATACAGATATTCAAGATGCTACGCCAGTGTATCTTGAATATCTGAATATGCAAGTCTACGAGGGTTCCGATTCGGAAGAAATTGACATCTTGTAAATTTTTTTGCTTTGAGCAAGTGTGATGCAAATTCAACATTAATTTTTGTAAAAACAATGATCGTTTGAATTTCAAAGCTCAGTTTTTATTGATGGATATCCATCTACTGTATCTTCAATGAGCGCCCCACTCCAATGACCACCCCTCTCTAATGAGCGCCCCCTCTCTGAGGCCAAGGAATAAAATGAGTTACCCCGGCGTTCATTAGAGAGAATACGGTGTCAAACCGGCTGCGAAACAACTGGCGATACACTGAGGAAATTTATCTCGCCAAATATACAGTCTCTTTTGCAGTAGATATTGTTAGAAATTGAGAATCACTGGATTAATGCCTTGATTTAAGTTGTTTTACTTGGCGTCTAAAGGAAAAATATCTGGCTTTGAAAATAGTGCACGCAATATTTTTTCAAAAATGGCACTTTTCACACTTTCTCCAAACAGGGGGCCTGTGCCCCCGGCTCCGGCGGCCCTGTTATCATGCCCTTTCCCCTCATCGTGCTCCTACCCTCAAATTTCACTACAGCTGTAAAATGAGTAATAGAAATGGTTATTTTTGAATGGTCAAATGTTTGCCTCCTTACCTGAATAGCACTTGCCTTCAATAAAGACGCATTAATGCCCTCTTTGAGTTTGATTTGGTTACTTGATGCTCCTGGTGTAATATCTCCTAGTCCAATGGTAGTGAGGCTTATGAAGCAGAAATAAAACGAATCAAAATACTCCCAATTTTCTTCCACTTCGATGAATGCTGCTGCTGGTATGAGCAGGAATAAGATACAAAACAGGGACAGCACGAACGCCAGCTGCAAACGACGTATGGTGACCTTGGCGTTTTCACCTTTAAGCGAGAAGCATTGCTTTATTCTATCCTCGACAAAATCATCAGCTTTGCTTATAAGATTGGTAAGGCCGACACCCATTTTGCCAAGAATCACGCCCGTAAACGGGATACCAACCAGGGCTATGAAAATGCAGAAAAGTTTTCCCCACATCGTACTAGGTGCAATGTTGCCGTATCCTTAAAAAGAACAGCAACAAGTTAATATTTTAAAATCATTATTAATATACCTTTTTACCAAAAATGTTGTTCAAGATCAAAAAAAGCTTGGATTGAAAAAGACTTAACCCACTGATAAATATGTAAATGAAGAAATGGCTTCAAAAATGATAAAATTTTATACAACGTGATATTCCGATGATAAGCCTAGGACTTACAGAGCTTCAAATACCGTTTTGGGGGCCCATAATTGGAAGAGCAGGGACTATGTTCGGAATTCAGTTAACGTCAAAAGAAAATGCAAAATCACTTTGTTCAAACCTAAGTGAAAAGATCGGTCATGTTTCCAAGATACTTAAAAGTAAGCTGATGAAGCTAGATAGGCCCCGGACAAGCACGTCTACTCAAGGAGAAGACATTCAGAGAGAAGGCATTCAGATCAGTTTTCTCAAAGATCTCTCCCCACATAAAAACCATTTTCACAAGTAAAACAGCGTAAACATGAATTTTGCCACAACAGTGATTAGGGGATGCTGCATTCCTGATATAATTTTTATATTTTGATATAATTTTCTTTCATACATATATTTCAGAAAAGACCAAATGCGTACATTTGCGTTCGAAGCTCGCCCAAGTACAATGGCATGCAACAGCTTTCTCGCACACGCGTTTCCAATTAAACTTCAGGTGAGGCATTCCTAAAGAAACTTCTTTCATCATTATAGAAGAGAGGGTTAATTTGCAATCCTTGTCGAACATCATTGGTGGAGAAGAAATGTTTGTAAGTTTGACCAGAAGTAGAATGATTGTAAGACATCCATTCTACAGCAAAGTAATTTTTTCTGCCACGAAGTTATATTTTTGAGTGAGTCTGGTGCCCAGGGTAACAAATTTTAGGTTAAGGAGAGGCGTCCAAAGAACTTTCGGTCTAGCAACTTTTGATCACATGTGTGACCACTTGTGTAATTACATGTGATCTACACGTGATGTTTCAACAGACTTGACAATGTTACTCAATTTTGATTCCCAGCGATAACATTTTTGCACCGTCCATGAAAACACTTAGGAATTGTTTGGAACGCCTTCTTTTTCAGAATTTTATTTTTCAGTTTATGCATTACCTTTGAGAGAATATGCAAAGCAGTCTTTTCACACTTCTGTAAAGGAAAATGAGAAGCAAAAGTTCAACTGGCGCTCGGGTGCTGCCTTTCAAGCCAGTATCAGTTTTGAGACCAGTGGCGTATCTAAGGGTGGACCAGGAGGTTTATGAAGACTTTTTTGTTATTGGTTAGTGCCCCCCCCCCTATGCATTATAACTAATTTTCAATATATTATCAATACCTATATAGACTCTGACTAGCATTTAATATCCACTACATCTTTTGAAACAAGTAGATTTAGGTCACCTTAAGGAAAGCCGTTATTCTACCAATAAATTGCTTCCATACACTACTATTCAAGGATTTCCTGTGACTGCCCCCTCTGTATATCCTAGGCTTAGGCTAGAATCGTCCCTGTTTGAGTCCAAATTCAGCAGAACGTTTTGAGGCCTATTTTCTTCCCATAAACTGTGCAATTACGTCGGATGCCACAAAAAGATAAAAAGTTCCTGCACACTTTAAATCATTCCAGCCTCAAATCTAGGTCTTTTTATTATGCCGGTCCACCCTTGCCCTCGTTTTAGCAGCTTTTTGCAGCGAAAGCATGAAATGTTTGCTTTAGTTGCAGGCTACATTGTAAACGATTTATGAGATGTTTGCAAACTTGAACAAAAAGTTCTAATTTGAAATTAGATTAAATTAGCACTGGTTAAAACCACATTGTTTGACCATGGTTTGACGGTATGAATTGCTCTGAAGCTGAAAAGGATTTTTGAAAGCCAACTCTGGTTGACTGAAATAATGGGCGTTTTAATCGCGAGAATATTCTGATCAAAGCAAGCGAGAAAACAAACACGTTGGACAGAGGCAAACCGGACCATAATCGTAAGAAGCAGGCTGCAGGAACGTTTTATTTAAATGATGCCGTGCTTACAAAACATCAGTTGCTATCACAAACTATTCAAACAAGGAAATCTACAACTATTGATTTCATCTTCAATATGGCGGCAAATGATTTAGCTGATTGAGAGAACACGAAAACATGACAGCGTGATTAAAAAAACATTACCTACCAATGGTAGTGACAATGGTCCCTGTAAAGAATACCGCGCTGCCTATGTGCCATTCAGAATCAACGTCGTTTGTGAAATCACTCAAATCGAGAGCATTGACATCAAATGCATCATAAGCGGCTATCACTATGTCGTGAACCATGCTGTCGTTCTTCGTGAAATTGTACTTGGCTAGCACGTCTAGGAAGGCTTTTCGCTTCCGATCTTTAGCTCTCACATCTTCATCTTCCTCTATGACAACGAAGATGTATCCTGCCAGGATGAGGAAGCCAAAGTACAAAAGTAGGAGTCCTATTGCATGGACTACTGATCGGCAGCTAGGGCAAGTAATTTGGCGGAAGATAAGCATCACAACTCTTTCACTGTTTCGCCACACACAAAATTACGTCCTGATAAGTACTCCCTTTATGCCTTGTCCCAAGTCAGGATGTGACAAGGCAAAACACGGCAAACAACGACAAATAATCAACTAGTCTAAGGACTGACGAAAATAGTGGTTGTCATGGAGTTTTAATGAAATGGAAAAATTTTCCTCCTCAATGAATTGATAGACACCCTAATATTGTGCATATCGTTAAGTGGAAAAACGTTAAATTTTAATAATGAAATGTCGCCCTGTGCTATACAGAAGTTAAACAATAACTCGCGATTCATTTAATCATCAATGTGGTAAATGCTGCAGGTGTTCGTGTACATTTTTTTAGTTAGAGGCCGTCTTTCATATACACCAAAAAGCTTGTGAATAGGCTTTCAATGACGGGGGCTTCACTTCAGCTCTATGTTCTGTGATTACAAGCTATAGATAGCTTCTTATGTAGGGCCATTTTACACCAAGCATTTTTCGTTTCGTTTCAGGTTGCTTTCGCAGGAAAATGCCCTTATATTTGACCAGTCACTTTTGTCTTTCCAAATAAGATAACGTCCATAATCCAATCACATTTGAAAACCTTTTGGCAGCGACACCTGTTAATTTTGTTGGACAACAGCTGTCTTCTAAATCTTAGACTTTCCTTAAAGTTGAAGATAACTAAAAAATGCACTGACTTTAGTGCTTTAAATGGATAGCAATATTTAACATTTAGTGCTTTAAATGGATAGCAATATTTAACACTGGCTGTTCTAGCATCAAAGATGTTGACATTGTGTTGACGCAAGGTTCCGTTTTGGGTACATTTTTACTCTTCATAGATTAGTTACCCTCTCTTTCCTTTAAAAAAGGATTGGATGAGCTAATAAATAGATAATGTCTGAAGATATATACAAATGACTTCCGATCTCAAACTCCTCTACTTTTGTATGGGCTGAGGGTTTCCGCTATTTCGCGCCGAATTCAAATTATCTTCTTATGGGAATATCACGTTAGCACAGCATAAAGTAGATTCATCTTCAAATTTTGCGGTACCAAATTTTGCGTTACTACATACAAACTTTTTTGCATGAAAAGCCATGCACAGTAAGGAGTAGGCTATATTATATCAGCTCAGTGAATACACAAATATATTTGAGAGCTTTAGATTTTTGCGATTTTCAGCTGATGGCTCTCGAGTGGTTTGCGATAAACGGTTCCTACAGCTTCATTTTCTTCTAAGACAGTTTGTTGTTTACTGTCACTAAAGAGTAACATAAAAAACTTGTTTCCGTTCAGTAAACTTTTGAGCAACTCTTTTGTTATGTCTCGTGTCAAGTAGCTCTGTATTCATAGGCAGCAGCGTGGACAAGTGTGAATCCCTTGAAAATATTCTGTTATCAATTTGCGAGAATAATTCTTCGAAAACAATTTCAAGCAAATAAACACATTTAAAGCATACAAGGTACTTTTGTGTAAATCCTTTGAAGAAAGCTATAATTCAACAGAAAAAGTTTTGACAAGTTTATCAGCCTTAGTCGAGTTGAAAAGAGTATCAGTGGCCCAGCGAGTTGATGAAGCAATAGATAGGAAATGCTGACTGTTTAAATATCTTTTTGTTCTGTTACTGTCACATACATGAGAAAGGAGACTTGTAATGCGAGCAGCTGATAAGCTTCTCAGCTACAGCCTTGCGTTGACAAGCAAAAAATATCAAGATGTTCGTTTTGAAATCAATATAGAACGAGACAGTTCAGCTGCGGCAAAACGAAGCAATCTATATATCATTTGGTTTTCTTTAAACCTCATCAAACCATAAAACGGTTTAGGGCAATTGTGAGAAAATTCCAGCAACTGATAACGAAGAAGTATTAGATTGACTTTCATGGTTGTTAACAAAGAAGACGAGTTTTAATCTCAAGCCATATGGAAGCATTTGATGTCTGTTTAGGTATCAAACACACCGCGCTGGAAAGATGACAAAAGGTGGATATTAATGGGTGGAAAGTGTAAACACTAAGATGAATTTGCAAAGAATTTTACGTGCTGCTGCTCCTGCAGCATGCTGTCGAACCGTAAAAAACATGGGTTGAAGTTGAATAACTCTGAAATTGAACGAGTTTCTAAAACCAAATCATTATAGAGTCATAGTTGATGAAGATCTGAAATGGAACGATCAACTGTTGAAAATAAAATTTGTGAGGAACTTACTTCACTGAAGAAACTAAATAATATGCTCCCCCAGTCGAATCTATATAGTGTATATTACGTTATTGTTGAAAGTCATCTAAGCTACGCAGATGTAATCTGGGAGAAAACTCTAGGAGAAAGGCTTCTAGAGAGAAAACTCGAAACTCTGCAAAATTTACAAACATGACTGGTCCTGTGATTGGCTGTGCGTCAATATTACTTCGTTCGATCGGTCAGTTATGAGCTATATAAGATTAAGAAAAAACTAAGTCGTGAAAAAACTTTTGGGATAAAATCGATCTAAGACAACTGTGCTGTTTGTGCTTTAAACATTTTCCAAAATTACCATTGACAACAACAAAGAGGGTTACAACGATATAGCGTTTCTTTGTTTGCAGCAGGGCTCGAAAATTAATTGATTTAAATACTTTTACTTTTGAGTGAGCAAGTATAATATCACCCATTTTCGAAATCATTTTGCGATCAAGTACATAGCCGGCGCGCCCCCCTCCCCCACTACCACCCCCCGGATTTTCCTCACTGACAATTCCTATCGTGACCTAATTCGTTTCCTCCCGATGATCTGGTTTTCCTTCAATCTTCTTTGACTGAAACTTACTATAATTTTGTCCCTACGATTGTCCAGCGGCATACGAGCTTCAAGGCCATACTTTGGATCACGCAACGATTGTGTGCGGATACGAGATAAAGAACCTCCCAAATTATTTGCTCTTTCAGCTCAAATTCCAGGTCGGCAGACTCGCATGGGTCAGCTAGGGCTCTCAGACGGGTATGATACAGGTCTAGAGTCTCGTTTGGTGGCTCTTCAAGTGTTTCTCTGAAACCATAAACGCCATACCTGTCTTCCTCAAAATACTCGATCAATTTTCCCTTGGGTATGTTGAATCATCTCCTCCATTACCCTGGGCACCAGACTCACTTCATATAAGATAATATTTAAATTATATTATATATGTGACTCTCTTATTTTATATAGAGTGAGTCTAGTACCCATGGTACTCTTCAATCCACCTGATACAGCAAAAAAGCACTTTTTCGAGTGTCATTGGTTATTCCAGAGGCAGTTGAGTACATCTCAAAACCTGCCAGCCATTTTTCCCAACGAGTAGCGAGGCTTGCTCCAATCTCCGTGACTGGATAAATTTGGGCATAGGGTGAAGCAAAATGCTTGCCATTTTGAATGAAAATGTGTCTTGTTATTCTCTTTTGCCAGTTTGGTGTCTCAAAAATCTTTCGGGTCGTTTGATTAAAGTTAACCTAGAGAAAAAGACATATCTACATATTTCTATGCACACAAGATCAACCACTCAAGCTTACAATAAGGTTACATATCCAAAAGAGTCCTGGGTAAGAGTCCCAGAGCCCCTACTGTATTACCTTACTAAACACAAAGTGAATTGATATGCAAATTTTTGAATTGATATAGAGAATTATTTATTGAATTGATATACACTATGAAAATGACTTTGAAATTTCCAAAATATGGAACTGCTCGCCTGTTTATATACAGGTGGCCTCCATTTTCGGTTGCTTAGGAAAAACCTGAAAGCAAACCTCCTGACTGATTAAACAAGTTTACTCCACAACAGAACCCCCTGGAAGAAGAGCAATATCAAAAATTTACTTAGCATCTTGCTTTTGTGATGTTACTTTTGTTTTTTATAAGATTGTAAATTTGTATTATTGGATACTGAAGGGTTTATCCTTGTGTATGAATATATATTTATCACAGGTATAATTTGATAATATTTCATGACATGTCTTAATTGCAAATACAATCATATCCTTGAGAAATTCAAAGAACAACCATATTGCTTTGTTTTAGAACATTCATATCTAATGCTAACAGTTCTGTTATCTGACCTTTTTGTTTACAAAACAAATGCACGGCTTACCTTATAAAATGTACAGTTCATATTAGTAATATTCCGAAGTTCATACTATGAAAAGCACCGGATTCTGAAAGCCAGACATGGGGTATATGAGTAATTAGGTTGGAGATATTGGCCTGTTAAGTATCGGCAATCATTTTGCAAACTAAATTCTTTACATTTGGATTTTCTTACAATATCATATAAAAAGGCTAATTCAGATCAACTATCTAAAAGGAAAAAACAATTTACAATGAAATTGAAATAAAATTTTCCTATTTCCTATTTCACCCTGCCATTTTTTATCAGCTTAAGAAATCTAAAAAGTCGGTGAGCTTTTAGTAGTAAGATGCGAGCCTTAAAAATGCGCAGACTTTTCTGCAAACTTGTTCACATTCTGTTTTAAAGTATTTTTCAAATTTCAACTCATCTTCAGAAGTTATCTCAGACGTTGCAACATTGATAACTTTCGCACAAAAGGCACGTCAATATTTCAGTCATCAAGTTACTCATGGACTGTCTCAACGTAAATGTCAATTTATTGCAATTTTATGGACTTTTGTTGAAAACTGGAATATCAATATCCTGAATTTTAACAAATGGATTCATGTCAGTAGAAGTTTGAATGCTGCCATCACGCGATCTCTTTATGTCGCCATGCTTGCTATTTGTCTGATCATCAAGCTGCGTTGCCATTAGTCAGAAACTATTGATAACTTTGTGGTTAATTTTTTAGAAAATTGTTTGATGCTCTTTCAGGCCAAGGAGCAGAACGTGATTTTTTTGGTATTGCAGGCGTACTATTATCTTTAAGCCAATCAAAGGATCTAGAGTTTATTTTTAACGACAATCCTTGTGCTTCCATCTTCAAATCACCCATCATCGACGGCTTCCCCCTAAAGATATGCAATACAAATCAGTCAGTGTCTCCATATCTTTTAAGAAAAATTTTATAATTTGAAAAGGAGGTCGCTTGGAAGGAGGCAGTAGGCATTTTTCTTTCCACAGATTTAGCTCAATACGGATCAGCAGGATATTTCCTAGGAAAGTTGCGCCCAAGAGCCCCCTTGAAACAATCCGATCCGTGAAATAAATCAGTCCCTCTTAGCTAGAGATTACATCCATCCTGTACGGTGTTTTAAACCCTGGAATTTCAAACAGAGAAGTTGGAATTTGGAAATGAAGCATCCAGTTTCGTTTCTGCAAACACCAAAACATCGACGGAGTCTCGTTTAAGACTTATATGTTGAACGAATAATCATTGATGTTGAACGAAATATTCCGCACCCAAGCTATTCACTGACTAAACTTACTAACGATATTGCATTGATTAAACTGAAAATGCCTGCAAAACTCAATTCTCGTGTAGAGACAATCTGTTTCCCGGCCAAAGATTCTAAGCCGATGATTGGATCTTACAGATGCTATTTGTCAGGTGGGTTTCAAAACTACCAATCACAATCTACTTTGTTATAAAAAGGTGGTACCTTTATATGATAGTCAGTCTATTCAGATATGACCAGCACATAGATTTGAGAAGATTTTTCTTCAAATCTGTTAGGAAATCTATATTTTTGCATAGCTTTCTTGGCCATTTGTGCATAGTTTGGACATATGTTAATAGGTAAGAGATCGAAAATGGTGGAAGACTGGTAAGAAAAATATTTTCCATTCTCGCATTTATTTATACATTAACTATTTATTCATAGCATAACACTGCTGTTTTAGGTTGGGGTTCCATTCAACATCCAGGGCCATCGCATCATACATTGCAACAAGCCATGCTTCCGGTAGTGAGCAATACCAACTGTTTTAACAGAAACAGCGTTATTTGTGCCGGATATGGAAAGTCCAGTCCAATAAATGCATGCAGAGGTGACAGTGGCGGTCCGTTTGTATGTCAAAAGAGTGACGGAAGCTGGGAACAACATGGCGTTGCAAGTTTTGTTGTGGAATACTGCAAGTACTACACTGCATTTGCACCGGTTGGTGACTACATCGATTGGATCAATCAATATATATCACAATAATTTGAACAACAGTTTGATAAGAGATGATCGGCTGATGCTCATTTTATCATGCTATGCTCATTACTATCGTGTTCATGAACCTTTCAGAATCAAATTTAATGAAATATTCAAGAATCAAACAAATCCAGATTATTCATTTCGTGTCTTATCTATATATCCTCGATCTAAAATTCATCCCTACTTTTATAGGCAAATTTCTTAAAATAATTCAACAACATCATGCTTACGTGGTATTGAATAAAATTTAGTTCAAATAGGGCGTTTTTTATTGATAATTAACATCAGTTGTTATTGTTTGCTTATCATCATGACCACCATTTAAAACACTTACATGGGCTGAATACGTTTCAGAATATTATTCAAAATAACCTGTTATATAATTTCTGAGTTACAAATAACAAAACTTTTTACAATAACGCCGATAATTTGTATTAAATACAGAGAGTAAAGTAAGATACAAACGAATGCTACTCAGTCCGACTTATTAGAGCGGGTTTATGACGTATCAAGAGAGGCAGCTAATTGACTACATTTGTAGTAAATCCAAGCTTTCCAAAGGGTTTTCTTCTCTTGCAAAAAGATTTCTAACCTGTCTTTGTTTTGAGTAATGTTATTTTCAGACCTGCTTCGTCACCTTCTTCTTGTGCCTGTTCTTAAAGTTGATGTCCAACGAGGAAGTATTTTGGTCTCATGAGGGCTTCACTTCTATAGTATTTTGGTCTCATGAGGGCAAAATTACTTCTATAGATGAATGACCTACAGCCTTATTACTCGGTTGGTTGAACTAGAGGTATTCAAGGATCTAGCATAGGAGTGTATGATGCATAATTTTACTGGGTGACAAATCATTGAAAGAGCTTTTCTTTTCAAAAATGAAAAGTGCTGAATCCAAGCTTTTAAAGTCAAATGGTACTTCACCAAGTTTGAATAGATGTAAACAAGCTTTTTGTAATCAATTATGTAACCAAACAAGCAAACATTTTTAAACATATTAAAACTTTTCGTCTGAAATCCTACAGAGTATAAAACGTCAGAACAAAGAGCGAAATTTCAACGCTAGAAAATATATATATCCAGTTGTGGTTCTAAATAGGCCAATCAGAAACGTGAGCACGTGACTTTGCATTTTTCCCCATCTTGACGCTTGCCTATTGTTATGGCGTTTTATATCTACGTCAGTGCCCAATCCCTGCCGCTATCTATTTTTTGATGTTTTATTTCCGTTATATGCATGTTTTAAAATGTTTGCTTTTTCAAATCTATTTTTAACCTCTAGATTTGTGGACTAGAATCAGGGTCCACAAATCTTTCATTTAAATCATGCATAATCTTTCATTTAAAGAGGCAAACGTTGTACAAGCGCACGTGTCTTTGCAAAGAATGTTTCAACCAATTGCGAGTATCAAATTTAATGCTCCATGCCTTCGGAGCCGAACTCGCCATCTTTTACTTTTGTTTTTATAATGTTATGGCTTTATAATGTTACTGAAGTGAACTGAATTCCAACTATCTGGTACGCGCCTGCGCACAAGAAACAATTCCTTCTTCTCCTCGTGAATCAGTCCCATCTTCTTTGATTTTGCAAAAAGTTTGATCAAAATTTATTTCTAAACTCTTTATGACCAAAGCTGCAACATGTAGCATTTCAGTGGCTGATGCTCCTCCATCACTTTCACAGTGCTAAAGCTGTGGATAACTTGAACGATTTATTTATTGAGCTGGCTTGGCGAAGACCCTGCAACTTAATTAGTCTATCATCTTCAAATCAAGCATGTTGATGCGCAGCTAATCAAACTGTTAGCACAGCGATCAAAGAGATCCTATTGAGAGACTATTTGAAAGTGAGCAATAGCAAAACTAACGGAAATTTTTCAAGGAAGCTGAAATATAGAGCGATGAAAAGCAATCAGAAAGCTTGGCTCTTTGTTACGAGATATAGAAAACATCCAAAGAAGAAAGCAGTTTTCCACTCTGCCCATCTATAGATTTAAAAACCTAAAGATGGGTGCAGTGGAAAACTGCCTTACTGACATATGTAATGAATGAAATGTCAAAATTACTCCAAGAAATCGTTCTGAAAAGGAATTTCAATCTAATTTATAAGGCGTAAATGCCAAATTGTCTGCTCGCTTCGCTCGCAGGTTATCTGCCTTTTCCCTTTCTACCCCAGGGACCTCCATAACCTCTCTGTGCCGCAAAATTTGAACATGGCATAGCTGATAAAATATTAGCCAGTACTAAATAATCAAACAAAAATATATGACAAAAATAAAAGGAGGTTTCTGAATTGTATATTTAATTTCAGTTCTGTAAAGATTAGCCAAAACTTCCATCGGATTCTTCCAACTAAAAGCTATTTTCAGACGTATTTCCCACTGTAGAAAGCAAGATAAAATGCAGAAAATGAACATTACAATTACAATCATGTTGCTATCATGAATGACTTGCTAAAATTGTAATCTTTCGCCCTTTTGTATCATCAATTATCTTAGATGAGATATCGATCTTGATATCAGAAATCATAACTGGATTGTTTATCCTGCTGCTTAATTATAGCGTGTTCAGCAAAGGTTTCTAAAAGGTCCGCCAAAAAATCACCTATTTTCATCAAAATGTGAAGTTTATTTAAAATTAGACATGGTCCAAATTCCAAGATGATATCTTGTCGGAAAATCGTAGGCCTGCCCCCCCCCCAACCCCCTAATGAAAGCCTGAATTCCGCCACTGCCTCAACTTAGTGACTTGGCAAAAGGACACAAAAAGATACCACGCCAAAATTTCTAATTATAATTTCTGATGCGGACAACGACCAATAACAATAGATAGCCTGAAAAGTTGCCGCCGGTTGTTTCATTAAATGTCTTATGTTTATCTGGTGAGACAACAGCAGCAAAAGCGATGAAAGTCTACTTGAAATAGAAAAAATGGTTTAGAGGCAGAATTTAAGAAACTTTTGCCACAACATTGATTAAAGACAACACAAGACCAAGATTTGTTAAAGAGACTTCTAAAATACCAACAATAAAGAACATGGTAGATTTTAAACAAATAAGTGCAATAGCAAATGACCCCGCAAATGCAATAGCAAAGACAAAGTTTGAAGTACATCAAAAGCAGATTGAAATTCCGTGCTGTAATTATGTATAATTATGTGTAATTATGCCTGACTGAAATTATGCATTATCAGGCTTTCTTGAAAAACTTGAAAAATGGGACAATTTAAAAAATATGGACTCTAGAAATGCGCAATACGCAAAGGAATGTGGACTCTATAAATGAAAATTGTATTCGTGACTATGATAGGCTTCTTTGTAAAGAGTTGCTAAGTGCTACTTGCGTTTATTCGGCATTTTGTATTTATGCGCAGGATTCTAGTGTCTGTTGTTTACACAACGGATGACACAACGGATGATTTTGGAGTCAGAATTTCTATGGCTGTTAAGAATCGGGACCATATTCTAAGAAGGCGGACATTTAGTTAAGAAAAGAATTCGTTGGTGTTTGCAAACCTGGAGACAGATTTGTTTATATTTCGCTTATAAAACTGCAAGCGCAGAATCACCTAATTCAAAGTTCCAGAGACTGGCCATAACATGAAGTTGCTTCTCACTCTTGTCGCATTTGCTGCCTTCATTGGCTTGAGCATCGGTGAGGTTTTGCTAATGTGCCATTTACTTTTCAATTATAATGAATTATCTTCATGTTGACTTTTGTTTGTATAGATCTGTTTATTTTTGCAATGCATATTGGTGCCTACAGCATCCTTTGAATCTTCTTTTAGACAGATGACCTTTCACAAAATATGCTACAAAGTTAGATACTTTTTTAAACATGCCCGTTTGGATTCTTTAGAAGTCATATCTAAGAAAATCCTGATTCACCATTATCATCAGAAAAGACAAGTTTGTCATCATAGCAAATAAGATGCTGTAGCATCTGATTTGGCTTGATATGGTATGAGCTGCTTCGTCAATGCTCTAAATTTATAGTTTGAGCTTTCTGTCGATCGCTTCTTTCGTTTATCTCAATTCAACTATGATTCTTGATAGCATTTCATGGGCGAGGGCTGGCTATTGTAAGATATGAAGACTATATGAAGATTAACTGCATGAAAAGTTGTGGATTCAGGGGTGAAAACACCGGGGGTGTGGGGGGGGATGACACCACCTAAATCTAAAAAAATAATCGATTTCGCAGGGCAATCGAAGATTTTGCAGGGCGCCAAGAAAAGCTTTATTGCCGTGCAGAAACACCATCTCTAAAGTTCATAATGGACCGTTTATGAATTTTAAGACTGAAGTATCATATTGGCTATGAACCGAACCTCCCTTCTTGACATTACATTTTAGGGAACGGAACAGGTATGTCAGGAAGAGCTCAGTTATTAGCAGAGCGAAAGCATTTCTTACCGAATGTCATAGCCAATGGATGCGTTGATGATTTATGCATATGTTTATGAGGGTAAGGCTGAGTTCACACATGAAAAGAAACTGCACATTTCTGTTCAGGAAATAAAATTCTCCCAATCAAAACAACATCTTCCTCTGTCATTCACAACTATGTGCAATCTGAAACGAGAGGGTACCGTTTATTTCCTTCCCCATGACATCTCCCCTATTTTTCCCAAAAAACAATAATCAGTTCTTTTAGCAGTATAATATTTTGCTAAACTTTAGTCTGGGAGATGCCTTCTAGCCTTTTTACAAGGTATAATTTCAAAAATTTTCTTTCACCTCGGATCCAACTACGGTGAGTCCTCCTACCTTACTAAACTTGATTCTTAGCCCTCCCAGGCTCAATTTCGTCGCTCCTCGTCCACATCATGCACCTCCCAAATCATATGCCATGAAGATACAAGCTTTATTACAAAAGAAAATCAAATTTGCCATTAAATTTTCGCTAACGTAGAGAAATAGACATTTCATAGGCAATGAAGTTTATTGCTTAGAAGTTTGTCCTTGGTAAAGACAAATGTAAACTGGTAAAACTGTCACTAGTAACCTATAGACAAACCTTTGCTTCTTGGTCTACAGGGCAACACTCAATTTTGGAGGGCAGAAACCCTTTTCACCCCCCCCAAACCTATTGGCCAAGTTACGCCCCTGTGTGGATTGTGTGGTGGAGGTCAGTCTTATTCGTTATCTCCTAGTGATAATAATGTAAATATCAAGCAACAGTCGACTGATGATCGCATTAAGCGTAAACTCGGAATGGCAACTTGGAATTGTCCTGTTCCATACACCAAAAAGTGTGTCCTGCTCTACCTCTACGGCATCGAACACTTTATAACAGACCGATGAACAGTAATTTTCATTAATGCAAATATCTTTGTGGATATCAAATTGCTGAAATCTAGGGAGACACGAATCTACGTCAAAAGGTTATGGCAGGACAGAAATTTTATCAGCTTGCTGTATTCGAATTGATACAATGCTTCTTTCATTGCCAGCTTATTTATCATGATAGGCAATTTTAGGCATGATAGGAAGATGGCAAAATGTATTTAATTTTAATTTGCTCATACAGAAAAATAGGCCAAGGACTTTCTCTGACGCTTTTAACACCTGTTTAAATGTTAATATTAGGCTCTTCTTGCGGACGCTCGTCTGTCCAACAATCAAGAATCATCTCTGGATACGATGCTAAACCCGGCGCGTGGCCATGGATGGCCTCCCTCTGGATACACAAATGGATGCACCTCTGTGGAGGCTCTCTTCTAAATAACAGATGGATTTTGACAGCCAGTCACTGCGTTGTTGGTACTGGGGCCACGACAAACTCCCTACAGATCAAGCTGGGTGAGCACAATCATCTCGTCCAGGAAGGAACTGAACAGGTAACCTTCAGAAATCATAGTCATGCTTTTGCTCTTTGAGGTTCAAGCACTCCAACACTTTCCACAATGCTATGCGAATAATATGGTACATTGAGATTGCGGGTTACTTTGAAAAGGTAGACCGTTCACAGTCAAAGTTTCATGTGGGTTTGTTGCTGCATTAACTGCACTACAGTAACATTATTTAGTATTATATTTGTATTGAGATAAGAATTAACATTTTGTCGGTGTTGACTTTTAGCAAGTTAAAATATTACAGATTGTAAGATCGAATTATATAGACCTTAACAGTAGCTTGGATTTGGAAAAAGAGATTAGAAAAAGAAGGGGTCTCAATACACAGAGAATTCATGCTTACACTCTCTGCTTACATGTGGTGATAGGCAGTCCTTATAAAGAATGATTGTAGACGATGTGACCTGACAGGAATTGGCAACGTGTTATCATTTCATTGGCCTTCTGTTAACTAAATATAAACAAAGATATTCATTTAAAGATTTTAAATTTTAAAAATCCATTGAATGTGCTCCCTGACCTGTTTTCCGTCATCAAAATCTGCTTTCCGCTTTCCTTACCACTTATGTTTATCATTCTCTGACAATGACATCTCAGATTAACCAGTCGATAACGTCTCCAAAACTCTAGCAGTCTTGTCTCGATTGACCACTTTAAACATTTTATTATCATAGACCATTGACGTTGAGCGTATCGTTGCGCATCCACGTTATTCACGATCAAGACTTATTAACGACATTGCGTTGATCAAGCTGAAAACTCCAGCACAACTCAATTCACGTGTGCAGACTGTTTGCCTTCCTGCCAATGGTTCAAGGCCAACGATTGGGTCTCGTCAGTGCTATTTGTCAGGTAGTATAGTGTCTTAGCATAATTAACATAATTAACATAATCAATATACGTAATATAAAAAGCTACTTGCCAGCTTTGATTCACCCTTAAAGACCAAATGATATGCTTGGTAATTTTTTTATAAATTGAAACTATTTCCATTTCGTTTGCCTGAATTTTTACCGGTAAGGAAGTGCTCTATGGTACACAGCAACTTAAGAGGGCCACAAAAACCATTGTGATTTGCAAACAAAAAGTGATTTTCTTGATAACTTTTAGCAAGTCTTCTCTTACCATGTGAAGTCATTAAAATTCTGTTTTTGGTAGCTTTTGTTTGACAAGCTCCTTCATGTCCGTATAGGATGGGGTTCAATTCAGCACCCAGGACCATCGCACCACACACTACAGCAAGCCATGCTTCTAGTCGTGAACCACACAAACTGCTTCAACAGAAGCGACTTGGTTTGCGCTGGTTTTGGTACATCAAAGCGCATCAATGCATGCAAAGGTGACAGTGGTGGTCCATACGTATGTCGAAAGAGTGACGGAAGCTGGGAACAACATGGCGTTGCAAGTTTTGTTGTGGAATACTGCAAGTACTACACTGCATTTACTCCTGTTGGTGACTACATCGATTGGATCAACCAACACATCTCACAATAAATTGAGCAACAGTTTAATGGAGATTAATACGAAATGCTTTTGATCATTTGAATTTATATAATCAATTTCATTCTACATTTCTTTGAGAGTTTTCTTTTTTCCGCCAAGTTTTCCTTCTGCCCCAATTTAACAAGATAAACATATCTGCTGAAATATCTGTGATTGTTGTTTTTTGGACTTCCAGATTCTCATCAAACTTTTGTTAACACCAAGCTACCCTTCTAAAATCATGAATAATGTAAACGAGCCAATTAATAGTGGTTAATCAGCGTTTTAAAGGACAAAATGGTATAATTAAGACATTTGGTCCTAGCACACCTCTCCTTCGATGAAGTACTCATCAAGTTATGGTATAGCCTTCACTGCATAAATTAGCATAAATTAAATGAATTATAAACTTCTAACCTTTTAAAGGGATCTTGTCTGGTGGGGGAACAGCCATTTGTTTATTAGAGGCACTTCACGTGAGAAATTTCAGGCCGGTTTTAAACTAGCACCGGCCTGACTTCAATTCGATGTTTGGTCAAATCCCTTTGAGTGTTCACATGAGTAGGGCCAATAAAAACTCCCGGCGTGAAATGTTCATGTGAACAGGATTTTATTCAAATTGGGGGGAACTGAACTTGCAAAACCAAAACTATAGCTACGTTTTCAAGATTTGTGCTAGGTTCACGAACTCTTCCGTTGACATTCTAAAGTTTGCTAGCCATTCCACTGGTAACATTACACCATCCCACATATATGTCCATCATTTCTCTATGCGTGCAGTGTTCTTCCAATGCTCTTCCTTTATAAAACTATTCGTGAGTTGTCTGTTACTTGTTTGGTGTGTCATAGATGTGTGGTAAGACAGACAAGGTTTGAGTGTTCGGTTTGTAAGATGTCTTTCGATAATGATTATAGAAAAAGACCACAACAAGAAATACCACAGTGACGACTGATAATTGTAATATTTCTTACAAGACAGTAGGAGCAGCTCAAAGTCCCTTTGCATTAGCAAAGATAAGTAAATCCTGTCAAGTTTAGCAAAGAAAAAATTCTAGAAAAAGTAAGGATCAACAGCAATGCCATTTTCTTGATGAAGAAATTTTACGGGATTCAGCAGATATTCGCTCTACCACCAGAAATCTCTAGCTACGCCACTGACTCTTATGTAATCATCATTTCCCTCCCATCATTTCTCTTATGTAATCAATGTTCCTTTTCCCACTACTTTCTCTTATTTAGTCTCAAACTCTAATGGATGAAGCGTTTCAAGAAGTCTGTTTATAGCTTCACACTTATCACGTGAAACTTTGTACAGTTTTTGGCGGTACAGAACCAATAGCTTTGAAAAAAGCAAACGTTTTATTACAAATTGACAAAAACTTTTTCGCCTGACACTCCTAAGAGTATAAAACGTCAGAATGTGGAAATTACAAAATGTGCAAACTTTAAATAGCAATAACTCGTTATCTGCAGGTCTGATAGAATTTATTTGTTGGAAATTTTTGCTCCTATTACAATGCCAAACAAGATGGTGGGAGCGATTTTTCAAAACAGAGAATTAAAAATTTTGATGACCGGGGACAATGACGTCATCGATCACGTGATTTCTATTGTGTTACAATGTATCCAAGGCTTAAAATATTCAGCAAGGCTGAAAGTACCCAAAATCAAGAGCAAGAACTAAGGTTAGGCACTTTGCTTGATTGTTGTTAAAAATTCCCTGTCTAGCAAGCCACCACCAAATGTTAGCAAGTTAGGGGGGTGGGCAAAAGGTCTACGGCCCGGGGTAAAATGATAGGATATCTTGCAAGTTCACTAAGACCAGAAATTTTCAATCTAATTTAAAGCACACTCACTCTAATTTTGTCGAAATTTTGCCCCTGTCTCAGCATGATTTTGATATTTTGAATTTTCTATAGGCCCATCTCCCCCCCCTTTTTTGCTCTCTTGTCTTACGTTTTACAAAAACATTCTTACCCATGCTTTGGTTCTTAAACGTTTCCCTAATGAATACGACCCACATGCACCCAGAAAATGTCCCAGTATGGATCCTGACTTGTGTAGATAGAAAGATCTCTTTCAAAGTCTATTTCAAAGCAATCCTTATCACCGTCTCACATCATTTCAACAATTTTAGCTTTCGCTGCTGTTTCTCCACTTAACCTTATGGTCTTTTTTAAGCAAACATCTTTCTCAGCTTGGGATCATTTGTTTTCCACTTGACTAAACCCCTAATCCAACTTAGGCTTGCAAATAGATTTTATGCATCGACAGTATTTCTGGCACCAGTGACAAGGTCATCTACATAAAAGCCTGGCATAAAATTTTCGAAAAGTCAGGGTTACTCAGGGCAAATCTTTTGATATGGTAACATACACTGCATTCAAGAGACAGGGTGATTGATAGAGAATAGAATACTTGATGCAAAAGAAACTTGATTGTAAGATAGTCAACCATTTTTCTGCAACATTTTATGCAGGCTGGCAACCATGTCGGTCACTTTGTATTTTAATATCATGGAGACTTTTCATTTCAATTCAATTAAAACTACAATTACAAATTTCACTATTACAAAGGTAATTTGCAATTGGCTAGCCTGGGTTTACAAAGAAAAGGACTATTACAAGCACAAACAAAATAAATTAACAAAAAAAGGAAAAGTGTGTTCGTCATTGTTTGTTTTAGAAGTTGTGGCTTAAACTGACGTTTTAAGTATTCTCTGACTTTCTGTTAGCATTGCAGTTGAGATTCGTTTCAAAGCCAATGGTTAGCTCTAAAACGTACAGACAGTTTTCCTTAGTGTAATGTCATAGTATTTGTGCATATCATTATTTAGGATTGACCTTTGTACTTTGTATTGTCACCCTGTTATTTGTATGTAGTCTCTATTGTAAGATAATCAGTTCACGAGAAAACAAGCTACAGCTCAGTCGTGTGTGAACTCCCTCTCACTCAGAACATTACACTTTGTTTTGAGAAGTAAGTCAGGGCGTTGTTGATCTCCAGTTATGATAGAAGGGGAAAGAAAGCCTGGCAAATCTGCGTAGAGAAAAGACCCATTTATTGTTTGGAAGGAAGTGGCTAGAAAGTTTAATGCAGAGCTATGACGCCAAGTATAGCGGCCTTGGTCAAGGGACACTTTGCATCCAGCAACAACGTGTAGAAGTGTTTCTGGAAGAAGACAGAATTCACAGTCAGATGTTTGACTAAGGTTCCATTTCAGCAGATTTTTACGAGTTGGAAGAGTGTTGTTAAGATACTTGATGGTAAAGTTAAAGATGTTACTAGGCAGATTGCTCTGTGTACTTGACCAAATACCGTTCAGCTTTTCCAGTGAATGTTTTAGTAGGAAGGTAATTGTAGCTCCCTGAGATGGTAAGTTTTGAGAGACGTTCTTTGTTGTCGGATTTGACAGCCTTTAGTACCTCTTTAGTAATATGATGGATGTCGTACTGTAAGTTCGTGCCATGAATAGGGTTTGAATGTCAATGTTGGGAGAAGATTCTAGGGCATTGCGACAGACAGCTTGGCAATGCGTGAATTTGACAGAAGGCAGTTGTAGATTTAGGCCAAACTGATTTTTTGAGAGGATAATTCCACTCAAGGTAGCAGAAACAGGAAGATCAAGCCACTGGCGAATATAATTGGACACAAGATTGTCTAGGTTTTGGACAACCCAGGTTTTTGGTAGATCTGCAACAGTAAATGCCATGAGATAATAATAATAATAATAATAAGGCCTCAAATGAGGCCTGGGATATAATTTTTATAGCATTGTTTAATTCGCATCCAATTATGTGTGTCGGTTGATGGCTCTCAGGTGCGGCTTTGCGGGCGGGTGGTGCCTCTTCCTGATTCATCTGGTAGTTTTTATTCTTTCTATGTTAATTTGCCACGGGGTTGTCATGGTCTATTGCTCCCCGTGGTATCAACGTCCTTGTAGTGTTTGTTGAGTAATTAGTAGGTAGCGTTATAGGTAACTTGTCTTGTAAATTTTTAGTGGAATGTAAAAGAAAAATAATAATAATAATAATAATAATCTATATATTTAAAGTTGGTGCTACATAGCTATTTCCGGTAAAATATTCAAGAGTGAATTCAAGCCAACTGTTAAAAAACTTATACATCTTTTAAGTATATATAAAATTAAATACAAAAGATTTCAAATACATAAAAAACTATCAGAACAGGACTAAGAACGTACTGATATGAAAATCTGAGCTATTGAAAAATCATAACAACCATCTATCTATGTAAGATTACAGTACTTATACAAAAATTCAAGTTGTGGTACGAGCAAAAATTCAAAATTTTCTAAACTCATTGTCAGATTGAGCATTTTTTATGTACTGAAGAAGAGAGAGCCAAAGACGCTGCCCATTATACCGATAGTACCTTGTTGTTCTTACCCTAAAGACCATGAATTCATTATTGTTTCCCAGATTATAAATAGCAGGGCGCTCGCAGAAGTCCTCCCTCATAAAACGAGATTTGACATTTTCCCTTTAATTTAAACATTCAAGTCATTAGAGTTTGCAGGTTCTTTACATGAATATTTACCGAGTCATCTTTTTTAGCAGAGGGTGTGTTGTAAAATTTCTTGCCATTTGTGATACTTTGCTTGTGCAGGGAGGGCACCATAATTTACAACGTCAATTCCTTGGAGGCTATAATTTGCGAATAGTTTAAGAGACTTGATGAGAGAGAGAGGGGATCAAAAGGGGCAAATAGTGGTTGATGCTCCCAAACGGAAGAACTCACCGCAAAGGATTCTGGTACTGTGTGTAAACTGCACAGGGGACATGGAAAAGTAATAATAGCAAAAATGGAGGCTTGGAGGAAGGCTAAAAACATAAGGAAAAAAGGAGCACAAAAACTGCAGCAGTATGTTTTAAATGCAGTGAAAAGAGGGCAAGCTCGTGTTGACAAACTCTACAATGCTGGCATAAAAACAGCTAATGGAACTGGTGACGTAGACTGCGATTTTAAAGTGCTTCCCAATTTCAAGAAATTTAGTCAGAAAAACGAAATATTTTGCAGATCTTGGTGGGACGAAACTGTTAGATCTTCAAAGTCTGAAAATTTTTATACCT